CAAGTAGCATATCCTGAACAAAATTTCTTTGTGTACTAGTATACGGCATGTAGAAACCTAAATACCTCAGGGTAGTTGGTGAAGATTTGGAGTAATAGGTGTCAATTCGGTGTTTCCTTAACAGTGTTGACCAGGAAGACACAGTGTCACCACTCAATAAAAATGCTTCGGTCTTGTGCTGATTGAAAATTGCATTAGAGACCTTAGCGTAATTGTTCAAATGAATCTGAAGGCGTACAAAGTCATTTTGGTCGTGGACAAAGACACAGATGTTGTCCGCATATGCTAGGCATTTGATCTGTTGGTTGCTTGAGGAATTCGAAGAAGAATAACCTTGGTACAATGGATCTTGAAGAATAGACAATAATAGTGGCTCCAAAGCAAGATTGAACAGTATTGGTGAAAGAGGATCACCCTGACGTAGACCTCGCTTCTGATTGACTGGTTCCGTAAAGAATCTATTAATATTAATATACACTGAATTATCAAAGAATAGACTACTAATGCTATCAATCAGTGAAAGGGGAAAGCCAAAAGCACGTAGCACCTGAGTCAGATATCCGGTATGAACTCGATCATACGCCTTCTCTTGATCAAGAAGTAAGCCGATAACAGGATGGTTTTGGTATCTTGCTTGTTGTAGTATCAGATGCACCAACATTCCATTATCGCCAATAAATCTGTCATTGAGAAATCCTGTTTGATAAGGATTGATAATTTTTTGCATAACTGGGCCGAAGCGTTTGGTCAATAGCCTTGTAAAGATCTTTGCATCGCAGTTGATTAGCGAGATAGGTCTCCAGTTCTTTAGATCATTGAGGTCGCCCTTCTTTGGCAGCAGTCTTACTCGAATGTCTTTCCAAGATGGTGGAACAACACCATAAACAAGAGCATCGTTGTACAGTTGTTCTAGTAATGGATCCAAAACAGGAAGTTCAAAAAGCAGGCGTATATACGCATAACCTAGGCCATCGCTACCTGGACTACTTTGTTTTGGACTGCGTTTAGACATTTCCTGAAGTATATTGATGGTTATCGGTTCAAGCAGGAGATCAGTATCGTCTTCGTTAAGTTTGCGTTCGAAATTGACTAGCCCTAAGTAGTTGTTGATGTCTTCAGGAGCGACAGTGTCGGGCGTGTATAGTCGTTGGTAAGATTCTTGAGCAATGCGCTTCATGCTTGTCGTTTCAGAAATTACTATATCAGGATGGGGGCCATTGAGGTCTCTGAATCCAGAAATATACTGCTGTAACGTTCGTTTTTGATGTATCTGCTTCAGAAAAGGAATGTTTGTCTCACCATTTTCCTGCCACCAGATGCCAGATTTGATGATAGCAATTTGAGCCATCTCTTGTTGAAGCTTGTGAATCTGAGTGTCTAGGGGAGGAAGAAGTTGTAGCTTGAGTGCTAGAAGCGGCTTCGTTCGTAAAATACGATTGCGTTTCTTTTCTAAGCGCCGAAGTGCCTGTTCTCTCCAGTTGTTATGATTGATTGCATACGATTTAACAACTTTTCCAGTTGTCGGTTTGACCTGCTCCCGCCGTTCTTGAGGTGTATCATCATCAGTCCATTGTGCTACCAGCTTGTTGATACGCTTCTCTATGAAGTTGCGTAACCTTTTGTGTGTAGCAAAAGTCGGATTTCCTCGCCATATACCTGGTCCAAATTTTGACATACCTAGGACAAAATCAACTTGCAATATGTAGTGGTCTGACCATGAAGCTGGTAATGATGAGATATTGGAGTTTGTCAGTCCTTGTCGTATATCTTCGCCAACAAAAATATAGTCAATGGTAGAGAAACAGAAACTATCCCTGGATCGTCTTTGAAACGTGGGATTGTCCTCTAAATTATTAATAGTCATAGCATTTGTGAAGGACTGTTTTAGTCGAGCTCTCCATTGAGGATAGGTAGCATAGGGTAGATCAGCAATTCGTAAATGAGAGTAGTTGAAATCTCCAAAGATGATCAATTGGTCAAGGGAGATAATGATTCTGAAGTCATTCAGCATATTGTGTAATTGACAGTAAAAGGATCGACGTTCGGAATTGTTTGACGCAGGTGCGTACAAATTAAGAATATAGAAAGGTGCATAGAATTGTTGGGGGTGTTCCACCTTATAGAGTTGAAATCGATCTGAAGAAAAGGAGTGTGAGGTATCTACAACAGAGATAGTAAAATCTGAAGAGAAGCAGACGTTTCCCACATGTTGGGTCCAAAAGGATTGTGTTGGTTGAAAGAGAATGTCGAGTGTATCAATACGGGATTGTGTATCCGCGTGGTTTTCTTGAAAGCATATTATGTCTAGTTTTAAAAGTCTTAAGTATCGAATGTATTCTTTTTGTGTTTTAGGTTGATTTGTTTTCACTAAACTGTTTGCATTTAGTGACGCATAGTGTAGTTGGAGTTCTTTAGTCATGATGAGATAGTGAAATATACTTATTGATGGCCTGCAGCGGGGCCCGTCGAATGTATACTTTCTTCTAAATGGAGCAATTGTTGATTGAGTTCAGCTAAAGTGTTTTGATCGCCCTCGCTCAATATTTCTTCAGTAGACCTTTGTTGTATTTGGTGGATCTGTTGAGCCAATGCCCGTTTGCAATCCATCTGCATAGGTAATAAACCTTTTAAATCAAACATGGCGTCCCCCTTGACTCCATCTAACTCCATTGCTGAAACGCTCTCCTCTTGTTCAGATTCATCTCTGTCACTGTCACTATCATTGTCACTATCATGACCATTGTTTGGTACATAGTCTGAACCTTCCTCGTCACTCTCGCCATCTTCAGACATATCATCATTACTATCATTTCCTTTTTTAATTGAGTTTGGTCTCACATTTTTCTTGGTCCTGGTCAAGGAAGCACGTTTGTCGTTTGGAGCATACTTGGACTTTAGTACTTCGATTGAAAAGGCCAGTTGATCCGCTTTAGAAGCAGGTTGGGGCATTTCCTGAGAAGTCTGATCCTTAGGCGCTGGGGCCTTGCGCTTTTTTGATGAATTGATGGGTGCTTTTCGTGGGCATTCAAAAGATCGATGACCAAATAAATGGCAGTGATAGCAAATGATTCGTGCTTTGGACTTTTCACACTCAAACTTCGTGTGGCCAGTCTGATGGCAATATCGGCACCAAGTGGGCATGTTATTCCATGTAGCATGAAAAACCTCATCTTTCTCCTCCCGCCAACGGATATTGTGGGCTAACTCCTGATACTTGATTTGGTCTTCTCCTGACTGTCTGGGAGTACCAATGACAGCATAACCTCCTTCCAACATCCAACCAAATGTTACCATTTCTTCTCTAGTTACAAACCCACGCCCAGACACACCATTAGATTAATGCTCTCTTCTCTATTTCTTTTTGCCGTTATTTTCTTAAGGTATTTTTTAACTCAGTATAGACATTCTTATAAATTGATCAAGTCCGAGTAGCCAAAGGCCATATTGGGCCATGTGTTCAAAACGACCTTTTCTATAAATTAAACTTTAAGTATTGGTTTGAAAAAATTAATACCAGTGCGCAAGTACTCCATTTGTGTCAACAGAAAAACATTTCTAGAAAACAATTTTTAGACTAAAAAAGTATACTCTCACCACAGCGTAAGAGATTGTATTTTTCTTTAATATTTGAGTAAAGGTTTAGTCAAAAAAATTTCATTTCTGCATTCAATGAAAGATTCCTTCCATCGCTTATGCTGTAGTGCCATTAATTTTAAAAGAATTAATATGAAAATGTTATCAAAAATGTGGTCAAAAATTCTGTCAAAGCATTAACATAAAATATGCATATATATTGTCAAAAAAGGGCTCAAAAAACTAACAAAGAATTATTTTTTTACAAATCTATTACGCTAGGAGCGAACTAATATCGAAAATCCAAAACTTATACATTTTTTCTATTATTCTGCTCATTCATATCTATTCATGTTATTTCTTGCTATTCCTTGCTATCAAAAGGTCTTTAATAATGAGTAATAGGCCCTGAGTGATTTACGATCCTAAAAATTTGTATTTGAGGTTGATTTGCTCTGATTTCAAACATATCATAGCTTCAAATGTAATTACATGTTAGACTTGTATCTTTGTAGCCTATCTGATGCTGTAGTTGTAAACCTTATAGACATACATATATATCTCAACAAATGTGATATTCAATGAAATAATTTCAATGGTGTGAAGTAATAAGAAATACATTCTGAGTTAGACGGATACATATGCATCGATGATTGATATTTTTCTCAAGACAAAATACCATTAATTTCATTTAAATCATGCAAATAACAATGTAACCTTTGATCTGAATGCATCTTTTACTATAGAAGAATTCAATAGCTAAATTGAAGTTGCGAGTATATGCCAATTTATACTAATATCTAATACATGTACCAAAGACTATCTTTCATACATCGTACATCACAAATTGAAGTAAGTTCATGGCATTTTGACATTTTTCTAAGCAAACATTCTCTTTCTTTAATTTAAGGTGATTAAGTATCTTTTTAATAAGTTATTTTATTTGAACAAGAGACTCAATATTATATAGTTTATTCATGTAGCAAAGACATCAGAAAAACAGATACTTCAACAGTGAGGAAGACATCCCTTCTTCTTTTTCTTAAACAATAAAAAAGTAGTATAAAGCCTGCTTATGTACGCATAAATACCCTAAACACTTATTGACAATGATTACTAACATACACGGTATTTTTGAAGTCGATTTGGAATAAAAAAAAAGGCCAAAAATATCTTTCGACCAGAAGGTACTAGTGAAAATCCTCAACTTGACGACTCTTTCAGCTTCTTTTTAATGCTATAAGACGAAAAGTAGAGCTATTAATAGATTTAAATACCCCAAATGCGCTCCAGAGGCTATAGTTTCTGATCGCAGTATTTGTACTATGAAAATAGTAAGATGTAAGCAAAAAAATTATTCACCTCGGCGCAATACTTCACCAGCAATAATGGCATGTTCTTTATATCAATAGGCTCAGAAAGCAAAGATTTACCAATTTCATTACTATGCCAAAGCCAAATAATTACATTTTCATTCAGTTCTCAACAAAAGCTCAATTTTGTTTGGATTAGTCCTTTTGAGTGCACGACCTAATTTGGCCTTCAATCGCTCAAACTCCATATTCCATTTATGAGCAAATCATTTGACAGTATAACCGACTGGAGAGCTGCTTAGGAAAGCCATAGTTGTTGACACCAATTGAAGCAAGCATAGGCATAGTGGAGCGATTTTTAGTGGCACTTGCATCCACCAAGTCTTTAAGGCTAAAGATGCCTCTTGCTTTGAAAGGAATTCAAAATAGGATGGCTTGCCGTGGAATGACTCGAATATGATCTACACCTGGCGCTTTCTTCGAAGGTAGCGTCTGTATTGCTGAGGTAACATCATCCAATTTCAAAGGAAGCATGTTATCATAGGGTGCTGATGAAACAGTAACAGTAGAGGAATTCGATTCAGATGGTAACAAACAGTCATTGAATATAGTTTCCAAATGTGATGCCATGGTATTCGAAGCCTTTTGGACGCATTCTGATAAGATGAAGGTAGGAGCAGTCTTTCCTTTCTTAAAATTCGCCGTTGTTTGATGAGCCATCGTAGTGTTGCTTTTGAAAAGCTCAATTTTGGATGCTCCATAAGGAAGTCAAATTACTTTTAGTTTTTATCTTTTTCCAATCTTCGCTGTACAGCCATTCAGTCTCTGCATAATATTTTGACGCCACTAAAGAGACTAGGGGTAAGTACCTTATTCACATAGTACAGAGAGCAACCTTACTTCTCTTATGAATCGACTTGCGTTAAGTAATACAATTAACTCTATTACTCATCAAGATGGTCGTACCGTTTTAAATAAAAATGCTTTTTATTTATGATTAAATTTAGTAATGAATGGTATGTACAACTTGCATCTAATTATCCTTCCTCCTTTCCTTTTGGCTTATGGATGTGTACTCATCAGTTCCTCTACTACTTTACATAGATCTTCAACTGATTTGTCCAACTTTCTTCCTCCTGCTACACCATCTACAACACCTTGCATTTGTTGTGGCGTCAAATCTAAAAAGCTTTCAATCAAATCACCATCAATGAAGTTCACAGCGTCGTCTTTTCTATCCATAATAGACACACTTCTCCAGCTAATAAAAGAAATCAATCTATAGACTTCATCTGACCAGACACTTACTCTATATGGCTAAGGTCACCGATACTCTTGACAATGCGGCTCATGTTGTATTGCATTTGATCCAACAACTTAAACCTTTCAGCAGACAGATCTGCTATTAAGCCGATAGAACCGTTAGTCGTAGCAAAAATCAATGTAGATGCTTCAGGGTTTCGATCAGGATCAGATGCATTCATACCCAAAGACCCTAAGGTATATGTCAATTAGAAGCACTGATGTTATGATGCTTACCAAATCGAAATCGCTTGACAGAATCACCCAAGTGCCATACACTGACTGTTTCCAAAATGGGTTCATCACTTTCATCTTGGCATCGCTCAACGACAAACAAATGGCCTTCTCTTTCAGCAGCTACATATAGGTTTTCATCAGATGCTTCAATAGCCACGATTTCCTTGAGTTTTTCATGGGCTGCTACTTCAGTTAGAGTTTCTGTCTTGGGATCATAACTCAGGACCACAACTGAATAAGCCATATCACCTGTCATAATCAAGTCATTGTACGTCGTGATAGATTCTGTGATGGAAGGTAGTCTTTTGGAACAGCTTGAAATCAATGCACCTTTGCCATACGCATATTCCCATTTGAAGACATGAAGCTACTTGCTATGAGTATCAATGCTCAAAGCGAGTTGTGACTTACCATGCCACGAATGCTAGCAATCAATCGGCCATTAAAAGAACGAACAGAGTCAACCATGCCATCTGTCTTGATTTGATTTACAAGTTTCAATTTACGTTCAGGTGTCACTTGAAAGACACAAATTCTGCCAATGGAACTGTTCTCGTATTCATCTGTTTCTTTTCCAGTGGCTAAAATGTAGTATTCATGGTGATCATTTTCAAATGTGATCGAAGTAGCTGACAGTGGTCTTTCAAACTGTTGGAAATAAACACGATCAAGCACTAGGATGAGATGAGAGAGAGGTCAGAGTATAAAAAAGAGACGTTACCTGCAAACGACTGGTCTTCAAGAATTTCAAATCCACCTGTCGTAGTTGTAGGCTTATATGGCTCAGAAGTGATTCTTTCTGTAATCAAACCAAATGTCTTGGATGTTTCTTGATAGGTAATTCTTCGAGGCGTATCTCTGGTTGGGATTTTTGTAATATGTAATTTCTGAATTTCCTCCATCTGTCCAATGACAAGCCCTTCTTGTGTTGTTAATGCAACAGCATCGGGAAACAAAAGACTGTTGAATGAAGACACGTAGCGTATTTGTCTTAAATTTACATTGGAATAAATCAGTTTTTTGTTTCGACTATGAATCACACTAGGCTTATCCGAAGCAGCAAAGACGTGTGTGGTACCGTTGGACGTAAATCTGGCTAAATGAATAGGTAATTTACCCAAGAAGGACCGTTTCTTATCTGACAATTTTCCTTGACGTACATCGAGCTTAAAATTATAAAATTGTCCATCGCCCAAGGCAACTAGTAAATAACAAATATTTTCAAATGTGGCCATCAATAAGGATCGGGGCATGACTGTGCCTGCTAGTTTTTCTTGCGTAATGAATTGAAGTGAAGGTAAAGACAAAATACATACGCCTACATGGCTCCATGTACCCACAGCTACAACACTTGATTCATGAGGATGACTGGCATCAATAGGACTAATGTCGATACAAGCAATTTCGTTTTCAAGTTGTGTTGTGCTATAAAAAAAACCAGAGTTAAGTCAAAACATCTATGGATGACTTACGCTATAAATTCTAATGTACGGTGTTTGATTTGGAAAGCATAGAGTGTACCATAACCAGTAGAAACAACACATTGAGTAGGGTTAATACTGGCTACTGTGATCTGTGCATGATCCTTAGGCACCCATTCGTCTAGCAAGACTCCATCAGGCTTAGATTCCATCAATCGAATACTCTTGTCTGTCACTTGAACTAATAAATCATCCATGACATTGCTAGCCACTAATGTCCTAGCCTGAGTATCAATGGCTGAATGAGATGCCAAACGAGTCATGCCATTGCCTCTTAAGGCCAACAGACATGTCTGATTGACAAAGGAAAGGACAAGCATATCATCGTATATTTCATCAAAAGAAGGACGTAATGCCCATACACCTTTGACACCATTGATTTTGATAGCTGCTAATTCGTTTAATCCAACACCATTACGGATGATTCTCAAGGAACTATCTTTGCCTACACCAGAACATGTAATCAATTGTGTCTGTCCTTGTTTGTCGAGATCAGCTACACAGAAATCAGTGATAGGTCCCAAATTAGGGAATTCATCAATCACATCTAGAACTTCGCCGTCTGTGTGTCGAATATGAATGATTTGGGAATCAGCTACTGTGGAGCCTACAAAGACAACATCGTTGCCTAAATAAGATAAGCAGGAAGGAACTGAAATCTATTACAATGTTGAATAGGATGCGTTTTGACCATTGCTTTGAATTACCATGCCTAATCGAAGAAATGATAAAGCGTCCACACGGTTGCTGAAGATAGTCATATTTAGCAAATGTAAAGCGCCTTCTGCATCACCTAATAAGATACGAGATCCTTCTTGGTTCATGACAGTGTAACTATTGATAGTACAAGATCGAATGCCAATGGCGATAGGAGGTTGATTTGGTTTGAGGTATCGTATGAATTTCCCAGCAATTAAAACGACACCACCTACAGTAGCAGGCATTGAAATCAACAGATTCGCATCAGGTTCAAAATGATCCATCAAAATATCTCCTGGTAACAATTGTCTATCCTTGATGTCGACTGTAAACTGTTGAAGATAACGGCGTCCTAATGGATCATCATATAATATCAACAGTGTAGGTTCAGTTGTCTTGTCTTGTAAAAATGCCAATGATACAATCTGTTTATCAGATAAACTAAAAAACTGTCAATTTTTTTATATATATAAAATAGTTATAAGCATATCAACACACACGCACACACACAAAGAGTATTTACCTCAAGTTGATATAATCTGAAGGATGTTGGACTACATAATCTTGTGTTTGACGTCGTTTGCCTTCTTTGGCTCTTGTGGTCATTTTACGAATAGGAGCTGTGTTTTGTTGATGAGAGGCGTCTGGTATCACAATTGTCACTGTAGATTCATAAAGTGAAGTAGCAAAATAACTGCAAGAGGGATCTATCACTAACATGGTATCCAATGATTCTTTGCGTGGTTGACCAGGAAATCCTATTTCACCTGATGCTTCTGTCACGATTTGCTGTAGAGTATCATAGGATAATACACAATATTTATGCCTGGAAGTCATCAAAAAGAGGGATGCCTTGTCTTTACCCTATAGAACGCGTTGAGATAAAATAAAAGAAAAAAGGACTAAACTTACTCGAGGCGTATATAATTTCAGGGCAACAATGGTGCCATACACGCCAAATTCAATTGTTGACTTTAAGCCGTCTGGTGTCAAAGTATAAACTTCAATACGCGTTCCTTTACTAAGTACAAAAGGTCAGTCTTTCTTTTGTGTTTTTTTTTATGAATAGAAAAGGTACCCTAAGATAAGATTGATTTCAAAAGGTGAAATAAACGAGCCTTTGACTGCAAATTGAGTCGCTGTTGGTTTCTGTGCGGTAACAACGTATTTATGATAAGTCATATATGAACGCGAAAGAAAAAAAGAGAGAGAGAGAGAGAGAGAGAAGAAAGAAAAAATTGAAAATTGAAAATGAAAAGTAGGCCAATAGAAATAATTTATTGGAGAGGTTCATGAGTAGAAAAGACAATGGAAGGTAATTCGGACCATTCTTGTTCAGCAGTAAGCTTTAAAAATTCACCTTGACCAAGTTGTTGTTTAGACCATAACAAATCAGCCACAGAAGGGAAACTATCTACATGAGCATAAATCATGAATTCTGCAGCATCGTGAGTGGAAATAGTTTCTTGTTCTTGATCATTTTCATGAAGGTTACAAGTCAAGTTTAAAAAGTTCATTTTAAAGAAGAAGAAAAGAGTGAATAAAGCACTTTATTTTATTATCAAAAAGATTCTCACGGCATTCCCCTCATCAAAAAAAAAAAAAGAGGGAAAAGATCCCATTGACAGTTGATAAAATAAAATAAAAATAAAGAGCGGATGATTAATGAATGGACCGGAATTATATCATTTAATCACTCTGCTTGCTCAAATCTTTTTTAGTGTAGTTCCGGCCATTGTCTGTTTCACATGATAAGCAAATAAAATACACATCCGTGAAAGAAAGTTGTAAATTCGTCCAAGTGTTGTTTCTTTGTAGCATACCATTCTTGATTTTAAAAAACATTTGTCAAACTAAAAAAATGCCTAGTGGTATAAAAATAAAGGAAAATCTCTTCGTCTTTTTCCTCTCTTTTATTCATCATGACCAAGTTACTCTCTCTCTCCAGTCTTGTTGTGTTAGCCAGTCTTTCATTCGCTAGTGCACAAAGTAAGTATCATCCATGTATAGACAGTTGTGTAACCTATTAGAGGACAACAAATGTGAACAAAACATCAAGGTCATTGCTCAAGCTCATTTGGATGAAATCAAATCCTGCAAGAACTTCAAAGGCACCATTGAAATTAACCAAATGCCCGAAGTCAATCTTCGTATGGAAGGTGTTCAAGAATTGGTCGGTGATTTGATTATAACTAACAACGGTGCTCTCCAATCCTTCACTGCGCCTGATCTTCGCAAAGTAGATGGTACTGTCCGAATTGAAAACCATACATTCTTGAACAAGTTGGACTTGCCCCAATTGACAGAAGCAAATGCCATCTCCTTGTTTGTCTTGCCTGCTCTTGAAGTGATCCAATTCCCTGCTGGTCTCTCCAAGGTCAACACCATGCGTATTGAAGACACTCATGCTCCTAAAGTAGACGGCTTTAAGCCAGAGACCATTGAATCATTTACTTTGACCGGAAACAAGTTGATCAAGGCGTTTGATTTCAATTCTGTCAAGCAAGTGACGGGTGATTTACTAATCATTGGTAACAGTGCTGATCTTGATTTCCAAGTAAGTGAATTCCCCTATCTATGCTTAATTGACATTCTATGATGATAGGCTACTCAATTAACCAGTCTTAACAAGGCTGCCTTTTTCAACATGGATAAGCTTGACTTGCCTGCCTTGACTCAAGTTCGATCTGATATCTCCTTCCATGAAAACAACTTTGCATCACTTAATATGGACGCCATTGAACATATTGGTGGCACAGTCACGATTGCTAACAATGAAAAATTGACTGAGACTTCCTTCAAGAACTTGAACCGTGTGGTTGGTGCTTTGTCGATCGGTAACAACACTCAACTCAATGCCATTGATGGCTTCCCTAAATTGACTGAAATCCATGGTATGGTTGACTTGGCTGGTGGTTTCAATAGCTACTCTTTACCCGCTCTTCAGGATGTACGTGGTGGCATGCGTCTCCAGACAACCTCGTCTCAATTGGGCTGTTCTGACATTGAACATAAAATGAAGGGTGAAAATATCGTCAAGGGAAACACATGGAGTTGTACTGCTAGTATGCAAGAGTCCAATATGGTGCCTACCGTTGGTCAAAGTCCTTCAAAATCAACCACATCGAGTGGTGGACAAAGTGATTCAAGCGCTGCTCATAGTGAAAATAAGAATGAAGTCACTTCTTTAGGTGTAAAATGGTCAATGGGAGGTCATGCATGGTTGGTAGTAGCCGCAGGTTTTCTTTATACTGCACTTTAAATAAAATTGTGAGGAATGAGAGGGATCAATCTGACTCAGCGTGACTAGCTTAGCATGCATAACTCTATATATAGAGTCTTGTATTTCTTGATGATGGATAGCATTTCTTTAGTTTTATGGATACTTTATCTAAAAGTTATACAGATAGTATATCCAGCTATTTGGTCCAACATGATCAAGATGCTATGGATCAAGAGTCCATTTGCTCTTATTCAACTCAACCTAGTTACACAATGCCAATGGTTCAAGAAAGGAGAACATTGTCATTGTATGAGACAAACGATAGCTTGCCAGAACCAACGCCTTTACCCAAATTACAAATGTTGATTGTAGCTATTTTGTTGTTTAGTGAACCATTGACATCCACAATTCTGTTTCCTTTTATTTATTTTATGGTATGTAGAATCGCATTTGATAAGGAATTCAATGTTTTCCTTCTTTTTTTTTCTTAGCTGAAAGACTTCCATTTATCAGACGATGAAAAGCAAATTGGTTCTTATGCTGGATGGATTAGTAAGTGAGTTATGGTGAATCATACCTTGATCTGATGTAACATAGCTTCTATGTTTTTTGTTGCTCAATTCTGTACTGCTATACCGTGGGGTAAGATATCAGATCGGTATGGAAGAAGACCTGTCTTATTGACTGGCTTGATTGGTAATTCTATCTCTGTCTGCTTATTTGGTCTTAGTCAAAGTCTTTGGTGGGCTGTGGGTAGTCGTGCCCTGTGTGGGTTCATGAATGGTAATGCAGGTGTAGCACGTAGTTTAGTGAGTGAAATTACAGACAGTACAAACAAAGCCAAAGCATTTTCTATCTTTGGGTTCTGTTGGGGTGCTGGTATGATTGGTAAGTTGAATTGAGTTATGATCATACATTAACCTGTTGTGTCCTCACTACTTCATCAGCTGGTAAGTCATTGATGGATGTGTACGTAGTGTATGTGTGTGTATGTGTGTGTTAACCTATATTGATTTAGGTCCAGCATTAGGTAAGCAGGATCTGTTGAATCAAGTCGCTCATATCTATTTTAGGCGGTTATCTTGCAAGACCAGTAGAGCAATTCCCTCACTTATTTGCTCATTGTTTGTTTCTAAAAGAATATCCTTATTTCTTGCCATGCTTTGTATCAGCCTGTGGGTCTATGATTGGCTTTACGATTGGCTATGTCTATCTTGAAGAATCGAATCCAAATGTACTTGCTAGGCATAAATGGCAACATGAAGGGGAACAAGACGAGACCACCTATCTCTTGAGACCCAGTATACCCAAAAGTGGATCTCTTCGCCATATCGCGACATCTTCTGTGATTGTGATTGTCTCCTATTCTGTCTTTGGTTTTCATGCCATGGTATTTGATGAAATCTTGCCTCTGTACTTTACTGCTCCTGATCATGCAGGTGGACTCGGTATTTCAGCCACTGAGTTTGCTCAGGCATTATCGTTTTTTGGTATACTTCAGTTAGTCATCCAGTTTGTGATCTATCCACGACTGACGAGCAAGTTTTCTACACTGACACTGTGTAGAATGGCCTTTTTTGGGCTTATTCCTATTTACTTTTTGTTTCCTGAACTATCACAACTAAGTCATTCAAGCTGGATTTTGCGTGTGGTCTATATTGTGTTACTTTCTGTTCGTTTCTTTGGTAATTGTTTGGCATTTACAGGTCTGGGTGTAATGGTAAGCATACTACAATAGGATAGTACTGACATAGGTTAGGTAAGCACATCCGCATCACCCGAGATTCTAGGCACTGTGAATGGGTAAATATACGTCTCTATTTCTGTTTTACTCATCCTTTTCTAGTGTCTGTCAGTCCTGTCTAGCCTTTGTTCGAGCATTAGGTAAGCAAGATCAGCATCAAATGTTTATTTAACTTTATATATATAGGCCCTACTGTAGGTGGTACCTTATGGTCATTTTCTTTAAAAGACGGCAATATATTTCCATTTGATCATCACTTGGTGTATTATTTAATTGGTTTATTGACCATATTTAGTTTTATACAATCCTTTTCTATACCTACATCAGTAGCATTAGGAGGCAAGAACAAATAAAATGGATTGCATAAAAAAAAATTTTTTTTTTCTTTTCTTTTCCTTTCTTTTCTTTACGCGTTTTATTATGTCAACAGAAACAACACCTCGTTTAAACAGTACGAATAAAAAATACCCAAATACACCTAAAAGTCCTTTAATCAGCAACACGACTGCCAATGGTAATACTAGACAGACTTGACAAGTAAGCTTATATGATCTATAGGGAATCGACATCCACAAGCTGCTCGAAACCGTCTATTGTCAAGTAAAATATCAGCACCACGTCCGATTAATCTCCCTAGTTTGAAAAGAGAACATGAAGGAACAGAGCATTCGAATTCACCTGCCACAGGTTGGGGTTCGAATACCAGTTCACCCATGGTTGAAAAATCCCTACCAGAAGAAACCGCGGTATCACCTGAACCTACCCGTTCTCCTTCACCACAGCAACAAGGGCGTGCTTGGGCTGTACCAGAAACACAACAACAACAACAAAAAAGTACCCAAGATTTCCCAACAGCTGCAGAAGCTGCCAAAAGTAAGCATAGTGTCTTTTCTATTTTTCTCACGTCATTTTTTCAATAGAAATGCCTTTTGTTCATGTAAGTAAAAATGATAAATAAGGAAACAAGACATTGAATGATCGTATTAGGATGATAGAGAATATCTTAAATATGCTTCATCAGACCCAAACCATACTTCTTGGGATGAAGTAAGTTTTTCAACTCCCATAGTCACATCCAATTGATCCTTTTCTGTTAGATGGTCAGTGAGGATTTAGGCGAGTTTTCAGTAGATTATGTTGAATTTGATGATGGCACCAAAGTACAAGTAGGAGAAACAGTCTCTCCTTCTGAAAGATTCACAGAAGACTATGACAGATCTTACTATAAACCATCCAACAGACGTTCTTCTGCTCCATGGTCATCATCACGCTCCAATACAGGCAGACAGAGCTACCCAAGACGATTGTCTGAACAAAGTGTCCGATCCGATCATTCAGCATTGGAACCGGAAGAAATCACTGCAGCACAAAAGAATGTGATGTTGACTGCTGCTGAACGAGCCAAGAAAAGAAGGGATGAACAGGAAGCTGAATATGCTGCTGCTGCTGAGCGAGCAAGACAAAAAGCAGCTGCTTTGGCTGCCAAGTCCACTCATACGTTTACCATCCTTCAAAAGAAAACAAATGAGCCAGACACTGCGAAACCCTCAAATCAAGATGAACAAAAATGGGAAGATTATGTCAAAGGTGATAAACCTGCACAGAGCACGACTTCCAATGACTGGAGCTCCTATGCACATCGATTACAGGCATCCACATCAAAGACTCGTCCTACTGAATATGTGGATTACAATGAAGCATGGTCGTCTCCTCCTGCTCATCATCAACGCAGAGGATGGACACGTCAAGAAGAATTACGCACAAGACGTGTCTCACGCAATAAACCTATGAAAGAAGAACAAGTGCCTGGTAGTATTGAGATATTGAAGCCAGAACATAGATCTGTTCAAAAGACTACCAAACTGTCTGATCTATTAAAAGAATCCACATCTCCCATCTTCCCTATCTTTATTGAAAAATTGGCTGGTAAGAAACCTCCCAACATGAGTTTCATGGTCGACACAGATGAATCAGACAAGGACATTACGATGATGAATTGTCATCATGCTTACCCTATGATTTCCAGCCAACATTACCCTGTCTTGGTCTATCCTTCTTCTAAACAACAGGGCATAAAAGGTATATGGCGTATATAGTCAGTATATGATATAGACTCATTTCTTTTTATATATATACATATAGGCGTCTATTTAATCCCTCCTCCTCCTGACTATGCTCATGATGACCAGTACATGATACCTTCTTATTCTCACTCTCATCTGGATCATTCCATTCATTTTCCTACTCTACATCATCATCATCATCATCATAATATATAAACAATATATGTATTTTATTCATTGGCAGTGCCATAAAAGCGAACTGTACGGTCTAAGCCTGAACTGACCAATGTTTGAGCAAGAGAAGACCAGTGTAGACCAGTGATTTCAGTAGCATTGTTATCAGTAAATGTAGCAAGGGAAGAGCCATCCTTGGCTTTTAAGACACGTACATCAGTACCACCCACAGCAAGGTATTGTCCATAATGATCAAACTTGAGTGTATTGACCTTATAGCCTTCATCCAAACTGAATGTCTTTGTGTTGGCTAATTTACGAAGATCCCAAATCTTGACAAGATTATCTTCAGAAGCAGTGGCCAAGATATAACCATTTTCGGAGAATGCAATGGCCTTGACATGTCCTGCATGATCTTCAAACTGAGCAGCGACCTTTTGAGACTTGACATCCCAGATCTGCACAACACCATCTGTTGTGCCTGCACCCAAAATCATACCATCAGGATGGAATTGAATAGATGAATAGCCTTGCTCTTGTGCATGGAATGTCTCTACAACAGGCTTGGCTGATTCAAAGTCATAAAGTGACCATTTAGCATCCAAACCAGCACTGACAAAATAGTCTTTGGAAGGATGAACATGAACACCAGTCACTTCATGCTTGTGTGCATTGATATTGTGGCCCAAAGCATACACTTTTTTATCATCAGGTATCCAGACACGGACATGTTTATCTGCACTGGCACTGATAAACACATCATTCTCTTGTTGTTTGCCTCTAAATTGAACACTAGTGATCTTTTTGGTATGGCCTGCCAAGTTGACAACCACTTTATCTTCTGCCTTGTTGTAGACCTGGACATGCTTATCATTACCACCTGTCAAGATCAAATTGTCCGTTGCGTCAATATCGAGAGCTGTGATGCCTGCTGAACGAGCAGAATGAAGCGAAGGAATTGTGTTGGTCTGTTGATAAGCTTTGATAGATTCCAATGTGGCATACTCGACTGGTGGCTTCTTCTTTTGACGACGCATAGAAGATAATCTAATCAAGTATGAGTGTTTATGTTTTTTTTGAGTGGGAATACTTTACTCTTCACTGGTCTTGTTGATCTTTTCAACAACATCATCAGGTAAACCACCATCCACTTCCATGGATTCTTGAGCTGGTGCAGCTGTGGTAGCAGGTGCAGCAGAAACACCTAAATGAGCTTGTACATTGGCAAGTGCTCTAATAAAAAAAAAGACGCGTTTCAACAATCGTTCATGATACACTCATGACTTACTCTCTAGCAGCATCGCGTTCTTTCTTTAAACGCGCAATCACACGAGTAGCAGCATCGTTTTGATACAAAGCATGAGATAATTCTTGACGTACTTGTTGATATTGTTGTTTCAGGGTGAATGATTCAAGCATCACACTGTCCCATTCATCTTGAAGGGTAGACAAGATGGAAGGAACAGAAGACAACTTGGGAGGACGAGGCTTGACTGTCTCGGGAGCTAATAGAGATCAATAAATACATATTACATAGCGTGTAATTTACTTTACTTGTCTTGAGAGCAAGTATATCATCTGTTGTCATTGCTTCTTGATTGATGGGATCACGACCATGTTCTTCAACGAATTTTTCAAGCAAGTTCTTTTCAAATACGCTTCCTGACTTGAGAGAAACGACAGGTTCTTTAGGTGCTTCTCCAGAAACTATGATTCGTGTTAGTTGAGGCTTTCATATCCAATCTCAATAATTACTAGCACAAAACATGATAAAGACGTAACGAAAATGAAACGCGACAGAAAAAAAAAATATTTTTATATTGAATGATGACGTCAGTGAGACTGCTCATCTAAATAAGGAAACCTATTGAATTGCATGATTGTGTTTCTTTTGAATGAATGTCATGTCACTCTACGTACTATAGCCTAAAAGACAGCATGATAACGATTCTTTAAGAAAGGAATTTTCTCAAGTGTCTTCAAAAAAAAAGACTCTTTCTATTTAACTATTCACTTTATTCTCTTGATGAATGACTCAAATTCAATGGCACCATTCCAAATTCAAATCCATACAACTGTTGTTATGGTCATGCCTTATCGTCCTCTTGTTTCCTTTGGATGCTATGGAGTACACCTTTTTCAGCAAAGCGAGTTTTGCTTTGATACACTACGCGCACCCCAAAAGTGACGTCTTCTGCTAAATGTTAGAGACGCGTCATTAAACCAATATCGTACACTTGGAAACGCCTTTTGAGTTATTTTCTTTTTCTTTAACATACAACTATTTCTCACATGGCATCAAGTTCCTCAAACCAACCTGAACAAGATCCAAAGACAAAAGCTTTAAATGGATACAGAAGAAGACTTTTAGAGCATCGCGAATTGGATGCGAAGCTTAAAGAGAGTAAAGTGTGAGCCCACCATCGCATCAAGAAAACTAAACTGTATTTTAGTGCGTCTTGGATTAAGAACGTTAGATAAAGAATACGATAAATCAGAAGACGACATCAAGGCTTTGCAAAGTGTTGGACAAGTCATTGGTGAAGTATTAAAGCAATTGGATGACGAACGTTGTAAGTGATGAAGCCCTTCATGACGTGCCATTGACTCTCACACCCTTTTGTAGTCATCGTCAAGAACACAAGTGGTCCTCGTTATGTGGTTGGATGTCGCAACACAGTTGATAAAGAAAAGTTAAAACAAGGTGCTCGTGTAGCACTTGATATGACCACCTTGACCATCATGCGTATTTTACCCCGTGAAGTCGATCCTCTTGTATACAACATGTCTATGGAAGATCCTGGCTATATCAGTTTTGCAGGTATTGGTGGTCTCTCTGAGCAGATTCGTGAATTAAGAGAAGTGATTGAATTACCCTTGATGAACCCTGAATTATTTTTACGTGTGGGTGTGAAACCCCCTAAAGGTGTGTTACTCTATGGTCCACCTGGTACAGGTAAGACATTGTTGGCCAAGGCAGTCGCCAGTACACTCCAAGTCAATTTCCTCAAGGTTGTCTCGAGTGCCATTGTCGATAAATACATTGGTGAAAGTGCAAGACTGATCCGAGAGATGTTTGGTTATGCTAAAGAACACGAACCTTGTATTATCTTTATGGACGAAATTGATGCTATTGGTGGCCGTCGTTTCTCTGAAGGTACTTCTGCTGATCGTGAAATCCAACGTACTTTGATGGAACTGTTGAATCAAATGGATGGTTTTGACTACCTAGGACAAACAAAGTTGATCATGGCCACCAACCGACCTGATACACTTGACCCTGCCTTGCTGCGTCCTGGTCGTCTAGACAGAAAGATTGAAATTCCTTTGCCTAATGAACAAGGGCGTCTAGAGATCATCAAGATTCACGCAGGCCATATCACAAAGCATGGTGACATAGATTATGAAGCCATTGTCAAGTTATCAGATGGTTTCAATGGTGCTGATTTAAGAAATGTATGTACAGAAGCAGGCATGTTTGCTATTAGAGAAGAACGCGACTATTGTATTCAAGAAGATTTCATGAAGGCCGTCAGAAAGTTACAAGACGCAAAGAAGTTGGAGACAAAGTTGGATTATGAAAAGATTTAAAATGAATAATAACAATTAAAGAAGCATATATATATAATTCTGAAAGGGAATTTGCCTTTAATAGTAGGATAAATTAAATTCCAGTTCAACTGTTCTTGACTGTTCATTTGCTTGAATATTCAAACTATTATGTATTATTTGTTATAGGTTTGGTTAGTGTAAGAGCAACATGCTTTGGCTTAACTCCCCCCCCCCTCCCTTCTCATTCTATTTTTACTGTACAAAGTTCATACCTACAACTCTTGTCAATACCTCAAAAAGAAAGAAATCTAAACACTAACAAGTAATAATAAATAACTATGAGCAGCTGTCCAGTAGATCCTACTTAAGCACCTTCAATAACAATAATCTTATCTGTAAGTCTAGACCAGCTGAAGATTGTCTTTGTTTAAAAGGAGCGAACTTTTTTTCTTTTTTACTTTGAGAGGAATATGCTTAACGTAAATGTGGTTATTTTCAGTAACAATTCTTTATGATCATGAGTAACAGTGCAAAAGTGTACAGAAGGATTTTTATTTTACAAACTTTGTTTTGAAAGAAGGCCTAGCCTTCTTTCCTTGCTGCTTCTTTTGTTTTTTGCTTTTTGGTACTTCCAAGTCGTCCTTCAGCACCATGAGTTTTTCCTATAGAACATATGAGCAAACAAGGGTTGTTTCTTTTGAATTTTTCAGCTTATACCTTGACAAAATCAAATGCTTCTACAACTGAAGGCAAATTAATCATGTCATTTGTCTCCTCCACCAACAAAAAGCGTTTCAACATTACTGACATATAAATGCCTTCAGATGCAAGAAACATTTTGAAAAGAGAGCAACGGAAGCCTATGCCATTATGGTTAGTACTTGTCTATTTTGTGATAGAACTAAAATAGCGACTTACCCTCCACCAACAAACCATATGATATGGGATCATTGAACCCTAAAACGAGTTGGTCGTTTATGGAGTGCTTCATCTCCTTCAACAACTTCACAAAGTCGCTCTCTTCTTGGTAGCAGCTTGTCTCGGCAGGTCTTTTTACTTCGACAAAGAAAAAATACAAAGGATTTTTTCTTTGAACAACACCAATCATAAAGTCAGGCTTTATGCCGTAATGGCTTCCGTGGGTTCTAAACAAGAACAATAATGTCATCAGCTCAAACAATCTTTAGAAAGAAGGTATGCCTACTTACGTTGAATAAATAAAAGATTTATCTAGACCAGAGGTAAGCACCTGTGTCCAGATAGGCTTCAAGTATTTATCCATGAACGATGTTTCGGATGTATATGGCACATTTGCCTGGTTGTTCTTGAGCTGCTTTGCCAAGGACTTGATTGCTTTTGTCATGGAGTCTTGATCTTCATCTTTGCCTTCGTCTTCGTCTTCATCTCCCTAGTATTGTAAAAGAATTAAGGGCGCGACTTTATCTAAAATATAAACCGACTTACATCAGCAATAGCTTTGCAATACATGATTGCGCTTGCCTTGGCTTTCTTCGTTGCTTCTTTGGCACCTTGTGCACATTCATTCAAAGCATTAGATACTTGCTTTGGAAAGTATCTTGTGATGCATCTGTTGTCGTCAGTGCTGCTGCTGTTATTGCAGACTGGGAAAATGAACGAGAGAGACCTATTTTTACCAAATTAATGATTTACAAGAAGAAAGAATAGAGTGTAATCTTACAAGACTCTAACATCGTTCAAAAGTGCTTTTTCTTCTGCTTCCTTGATGTTTCGTGATCTGAATTTCTTAAGGATTCTTGTGACATTCATGTCATTTACAATCAACTATAGATCAAATTATCACCACTTGTGTCAAATTTATTCTTGCTTACATTCTCGCCTTCACCCCAGTATTTTTGACCGCCTCCTATCAAATAGTTGATCAACCTTCTTCTCTTGACTTTAGGTTCAGACAATGTTGGACCTGTAGAACTAGTGGGGCCTATGAAGAATAGCAGTAAGAATAATGCAAACATCTTTCCAAAGAAACTCAAGATAAAACATACTAGATGGCCTTTGAGTATCAATGTTGATGCTAATAATGCTGTTGCTAATAATGTTGTTGCTATTGTTTTGTTGGAAAGTAGACATGGAAATAAAATATGGGAAAAGCAATAAGACTTAAAACCAGTAGAATATATAGGGGAAATGCAAAGTTGTTTGTTCCCACTTGAGAGTGAATGTCAAGGTACACAAACATTTTACAGTTTCAGGTAATCCAGGTGTTACCATAGACTATAGAAGCCTACCTACTATACAAAATGCGTTTGAATACGGGATCATTATTGCCTTCTGGTTATTGCTATTTTTCTTACAATAAACTATTGATATCTTCTTTATGCTCTTATTCATGCTTTTATTCATGCTCTTCCTCTTTCTCTTCGGCCTTGTAAGTCAGGCCATATAGTATTTATGTGATGTTTGATGTTTTATGTTTGCTGTTTGATGTTTGCTGTTTGCTGTTTGTACTACGCACGCAGTTGTTTTAAAATTACTGCTTTAAGGAATTTTGATGTACATCTGATATGTATCTGCAAAAGAAAAAGACCAAGAGAACATCATTCCTTGTCAAATGCACAACTCTTTAACTATTCTATGGTCCAATTAATCAGAAAAAAAAATAGCCATCTTTATTGAAGCAAGAAGACCCTCTGTATTTGTATATTATGTCTTTCGCAGCAATTGATTATTTCACGTGAAAGTGAAAAAGAAAAGGGAGAAATCTGTACGACATTTGTTGTATGTAATATTTGGACTAATTGCTTAAATAAGTTGCTTTATACGGAATACTTTTTGGATGATAAGCAGTGAGGTGATCCTCTTGGATTTCAGATAAGTCAACTGACAAGATACGTCATACTCACAGCGCCAACAAAGATTAGCCCTATTTATTTTTCTCCTTTTTTTTATTATTATTCATTCTATTTTATTACTTATTCATACAAATACACTATGCCTATTGTGCAGTGGCAGAGAGCTGTCTTGCTTATGTAGGAATATGCTCGCGTTCGGGATGAAGTGCTGTTGAGGATTCTGCCGGCAGGCTATGTTGCCCAGCATAAGCAATTATGTATGGGATTTTACATTGGGCCTGTTCTCAATGGTAGCCCTTCTTGATTTCTTTGGCTGTTCTCATTTCTTAGTCGCGTCGCCGGTAATCGACCTTCTTTGTTTGAGCGTGGTCAGAGCATGCCATATGCGTACAGGTGGCTCTTTTTAAGTTGGTCTTCTGCTTGCCTCCAAGATGTCTTGTTCTGTTTGAGGTGCCAAATGCGTCGGTTTATCAAGTTGCTCTTTATGCTGTTCATTCACTCTAAGGTCCTAATAATAAGAAAATGTTATGCCTGCCTGCTATACAAAATGCATTTGAATATGGTATCATTATTGCCTTCTGGTTATCGCTATTTTTCTTACAATAAACTGTTGATATCTTCTTTATACTCTTATTCATGCTTTTATTCATGCTCTTCCTCTTTCTTTTCAGCCTTGTAAGTCAGGCCATATAGTATTTATGTGATGTTTGATGTTTGTACTAGACACGCAGTTATGAACTTGTCTTGAAAAAAAAAAAAAAGAAACATTGAATAATAGGAGTTCAGAAGCCATGCGCCAAGTGGCAAAGACAAAGTGAGAAATATTAAGTAAAAAAGATAGGCATTATACCTTCAAGTACAGAGAATGCAAAGAGACATTTATTAACTTCATTCTACAATGAGTTATTCGATAACCGCACAACTCTTTCATTTTTTTTTTTTTTTTTTTTTTTTTTTTTTTTTTTTTTTTTTAGTTTCTAGACATGATATCATGTCGAAAAAAAAAAAGACACTCCTATCTCTTTTTTTTTTCTTTGCTTGTACGAACGAGCCTTAAGAAGAACTCGTCTTTGGATTGTCATAATTAGAATATATATATATATATAATATAGAAAGAGTATAAAAGAAACAGTGCGTCTTTAAGCAATCTAAAATTGCGTGAATGATTGACTTGCTTGACTACGAATATCAAAGTCTTGACTCATCATGGAAGATACGTCTTGGCTCTTGTAATCTTCATAAGGATATTGTATACTATCTTGGCTCATACTAGGATTTTGGCTGGCCATTTCGCTCATCATACGCAAACGATCACTTTGTGATAATGCTAAACCAATGGATGTTTGACTACTGTATAAGTTTTGAGAGCCCATTTGTTGCCAACCCATGGCATGGTTGGCAAAAGTAGAAGATCCAGGCACGTACCGTTGTTGGGAATGATCTTCTTCACCTGCTTGTCTCATGTTCTTTCGATTGAACACACTGGATTGAGATAAATCTTGTGTAAAGGGTCCACTAGCAGAAGGAATAAAAGGAATGCTGAATTCTGAACTAGGCAAAGACCCTACTTCAGAAGGAATGTAGCCTACAGGATCATGTGTCTGCATGAATTCTTGGCCATAGCCCTTGCCACTGCGACGGTTGTCTGTGGCGGAAGGTGGTTTAGCAAAGGCTTCCCTTGCATCAATTTGATGTGCAAGGCCTTGTCGGAACTTGTCGTCTTTACGATAAGTCTTTCTAGGTCGGTTAAATTGGATCATAGAGACACGAAGATTGTTTAATGCACCGTCCACAAGACAACCCTTTTCCTTGTAATGAACCAATAAATGATGCCATAAGGGATGTCGACTCAAAATCTTGGGATTACCGAGTAGAACAACACCATACTTGGCACGGGTCAAAGCTACGTTGAGACGTCGAGGATCACTCAAGAAACCAATGCCTTGGTGTTCATTGGAACGAACACAACTGAGGATAATATAATCCTTTTCACGACCTTGGAAAGCATCGACACTGGCTACTTCAATTTCCTTGTAGAGATCTTTACGCAAAGAGCCATTGAATTGCATGTATTGAACAATATACGAACGCTGTCCTTCATAAGGAGTCACAATACCAATTTGAGAGGGTAAAATACCAGATTTCATAAAGCGAGTAACAATCTTTTCACAATTGGAGGCTTCTGTTCTGTTCAGATAAGATGTACCAGAAGTAGAGATTTCTTCATTGCCCAAATTCACATAGAACATCATAGGTGTTTCAGGCACAGGCCAAGGGAAATCAACGTTTTTTCTGATGCGTTCTTGTGTCGTAATACCATTTTGAAGTGTACCTTCATAGAACATATTACTGGGGAATTCGGAAAGACAAGGGTGCATACGGTACTGTACTTGAAGACGAATAGGACGAATACCAAGACTGACCAATCTCTCAAACAGAGATTGACAAAGACCAGCCCGAGCAGCCTTTTTGTTCATGATAACAGGACCTAATTGTTGATGATCACCCACAAGCACAGCTTGCTTACAGCCCAGCACAAGAGGAATCATACATTCGGGTTCAGACGCTTGTGTGGCTTCATCAATCAAGACCGTGCGGAATCTTAACTTGGCTACACGGGGATCACCTGCACCGACACTGGTGCAACAGATCACATCAGCATTTTGCAGGATTTCTCTTTCACAAGCACGCTTCAATGACTTGTATTTCTTTTCATCAGAAGCACTCAATTCGCCTTGATCGCGCTTTAAATGGATCAATTTCTGTAGTTCGACATTCGTATCGTTGTTCTGAACTTGTTCATGAAGTGTCAAGAACGAAACAGGGGAGTCAAGTTCTTCTCTTGACTTGGCAGTGATACGCACGACCTTGAGACCAGTCTGATGGATCTTTTCAGCCAGTTGATCCACAGCTACATTCGAGGGAGCAGAGACCAAGACTTGACCAGGATTCATTTTGGCTAAATGATACACAATCGAAGCTGAAGTGACTGTCTTACCCGTACCAGGAGGACCTTGAATGAGACTCAAGGGCTTCTGAAGGACTGATTTGACAGCATACACTTGAGAATGATTTAGTTCAGGAAGATTAGGGGCAGAGAATCTATAAAGACCATCAATATCCCTTCTTTTCTTTCCAGCTCTCTAGCTTACCTCTTGGGCATTTGTGTCTTGAGTACTTGAGGCTCTACATCATGGCCTAAAAGACGATGATAAATGTATCCACTCACACTTGTCTCATCAACAGCAAATGTCTTCATGGCAGATTGCATACGATCAAACGAAGTGGATTTCCAGACAAAATCAACTGAGAAATTGTGAGTGCAGTCTGTAGGTGCTTTATTGGCACGCGTGAGTTCTAAAGCAACTTCGTCACTGACATTATTAGGGATTTTGATGACATGGCCAGTAGCATGCCATGGTTCATGCAATTCACCACGGTATCGAAGGCAGAGTTCATCACCTACAGCCAATTTGATTTCACCCATCTCCAGTTTAGGGAAATAAAACCAAGCAATGTTCTTTTGGTTTAGACCGACATCCCAGCGCACAACAATATCATCGCAAGTCTAGTATTGATGAGTCTATAGAACCCCATACTAACACATGCACGTACCTGAGATTCTTTTAGTTTTTTGTCATAGTCTGCTTCCATCATCACCAAAGGACCAAAAATGTTTTGGTATTGATAAGCATCTTCATATCTCAACAACACAGGGTGTGGTTCATCATCAACGCCTGGTTTTTCTAAATCTTCTAATGTAGCCTCGCCATTGTCTTTCCATAATTCTTCGAGTTTGTTGATCTGAGTAGATGAAATTTGGCGTGCACGAAGTTGTTCTTGATCTGAAGGAATCTTGACAAGCCAAGTCAAAAAGCATCTATCGTCAATCAATGGCATCCATTGTGTTGTATCCCAATTCATGTCTTTGGATGAAGGTACAGCAGCACAAGGTTGTCTATACAGCGTGATAAATATCTTGATATATTCCATTCTTTTTTACCTGCAAATCAAGACAACCACAGTATCACTCTTAGCTGGAATAAAACCCAACAAGAACACATTGCGACATCCACAATTATAACATTCGAGTACAGTATCTCCTAAAGGTGAATCAGGATGAAGAGATACTTCTTTGTGTTTGGCGCGTACTAAATGGTTCACAATATGCGATCCAGACGTGTTTCCTCTCGAGTTACAAAACCATCGGTCGCATGTAACACACTTGACAACTGAAGCAGGTGAATGAATACCGCAGTATTTACAGGCATGAGGTGGTAAGTCTTTCTCTTCCCTGTTGACAACCAATTCACCAAAATCGTCTGTATCTTCAAATTGGAAATCGTTTACAAATGAAGTGGTACCATTAGCTTGGGCGTTTTCGTCTTCGTCTCTTTTGTCATTCAAGTTGAGTGAAGATAAAGAAAGGTCAGGGTCAACTTGGTGTTCTTGAGGTGTCTGAGTAAAGTCGCTGTATTCGTATTGTGAAGACTGAGTATCTGCTGAATATTCTAGAAAGGTAAAATCGTCTTGAGACGCTCCTTCAAAGTGGTCCATCTTGAATGTGCGTTAAAGAAAAGAAAAAAGAAAAGAAAAAAAAAAACTAGCTTAACAATGTGTTCGCCTCCCCCCCCTTCCCTCCCCCCATTTCAATAAAAAAGTCACAATCAAAGGAATTGAATCTATCTTTTTATTTTATTTTTTTAAAGAATGCATAGATGACGAAACCTAAGACCAAGATCTATTCTATACCTTGTTGAATATATGTCAAATGGAACAAAGTATTAGAAAGGGAACTTATCTCTACTGTAGTGCTATGTCTTCCTCTTGATCAAGCCCAAAAAACGACACCTAAACCTTTCACTTGAGGATCAAACGCTGTCTGTTACCAATGACGTCGTAAGTAGACTTAAAATGGTACAACCAATTTAAGATCCGCTAAATGCTTCTCAGGTGCTTCCACGTCTTTCTTTTTATTCTCTTTGACCATGAATCCTGAACAACCAAGACCCATATCGGGTCCACGCCCTCCTCAGATGGCCGGTATTCGTCCTGTTGGACCAGGTGGTGAGTGAACTATACAATAGACGTGTTATTGACACAATTAGCTCCTATTCGGCCAATGATGCCACTACCACAACAAGGTATGGCAAGACCTCCCGGAATGCATCCTCCTATGAGACCTATGACACAAGCACCTATGCGTCCTGTTATGGCATCACCACAGGCAAGACCTGTTGTATCGCCACAAGTTAGACCTTCTGTTGTATCACCACAGCCAAGACCTGCCATCATGCCCACTCAACCACATGAGCCTACCTATCAACACCAACCTGCTGTATCTCCTCCTCAACAACAACAACAACCACAAAACTTAGTTGGACCTATGCAACATATGCATATTCATCAACAGGTAAATAAACCTATTTAGACATTCATATTTATTTCTCGAGTTCTATAGTCAAAACAAAGCAGTAAACCTAAACGAGTCTATATCAACCCAGACACCACACAACCACAACCTCAAGTGCAGCCACAAGGACAACCTCAAGTGCATCCCCAAATGCAACCTCAGCCACAGGCTCCATGGCCAAACAGTCTTCAACAACCTTACAGTACACCTTCTTCTATCAAAAGTCATCATCAATCTGCAGGTGTTGGCTATACAAACGCACCTTACACACACACAGGTCAGCAATTACCACCTGAACTCCGTCCCCCTTCACAACCTCGTCCTCGTATTGACCCCGATCAAATGCCAGCACCTGTTCAGGTCCGTGAAGCAGATGCTGATCTATTCCAAGACAAATTCTTTGGTACCTTGGAACGAGACCGTGTTCCTTTTGCCACGACGTCTTTTATTGGACTGGATCAGGGGAACTGCAATCCCCGGTTCATGCGGTCCACAGTGGACCGTGTGCCTAGCACCAAGGAATTGACAGACAAGTCCAAGCTGCCTGTGGGTCTGATCGTTCAACCCTTGGCCAAACAACGGTCTGATGAGGTCCCTATTCAAGTGGTTCAGCATGGTGAAGAAGGACCTGTGCGTTGTAGTCGATGCAGAGCCTACGTGAATCCTTGGTGCGTATTTACGCATGGTGGGTCTCGATTTGAATGTAACATTTGCTTGCATTCCAACCAAGTGCCTGATTGGTACTTTGCCAATGTGGATATGTCTGGTAGACGTGTGGATGTGAATGAACGACCTGAATTACGCTATGGATCTGTTGAATTTGAAGTGACACCTGATTATTTCGCTACAGATCGATTGCCTGTGCCCTTAAGTTATGTGTTTGCGATTGATGTCTCGATCCAGTCTGTTCAGAGCGGCATGCTACAAGCTGTATGTGAAGGACTAAAGCATGCACTGTATGATACAGAAGGAAATCCCAAATTGGACAATCGCATAGGTATCATGACATTCAATAAAGATGTCCATTTCTATAACTTGGCGGTAAGTTAATAGAATGCCAAAACAAGTATTGATGTTGTCTAGGCTGAATTAACAAGTGCTCAAATGCTTGTTGTGTCTGATATCCATGATATGTTCTTGCCTCTTCAAGCTGGTTTCTTGGCCCATCTTTCTGAATCAAGGCATGTCATCTTGGAACTGTTGGATCATTTGCCTCAGATGTTTAAACAAACCACGCGTGCTGAATCTGTCTATACATCTGCTGTCAAAGGTGGTTTAGAAGCCTTGGTAAGTGACTACCCGTACACCAGAGTGTATTGATCAAGCAATAGAAATCAACAGGGGGTCAGATCTTTGTCTTCCAGACATGTTTGCCTAATTATGGACCAGACAGTCTAAAGCCTCGGGACGATAAAGCCCTAGACAAAGAAAAGAGTCTATTGGCACCTCAAAGCGATACATACAGAGACCTCGGCAAGACATGTGTAAAGCATGGTGTCTGTGTGCATACATGGGCCTTTGCTTCTCAATACATGGATGCTGCTACTGTCCAGACTGTCTCTCATCTGACAGGAGGTGATTTCAGACACTACCCTAACTTCTCTTTGGCTGAGAAATACAGTCTGTATTATCAACTGGACCATGACATACACCGAGAAACAGGTTTTGATGGTATTCTACGTGTTCGATGCTCAGATGGTCTTCAGGTCATGGATCATTATGGTCATTGCCATATGAGTGTCTATACTGAATGCGATCTGGCTGGTGTTGATCAAGACAAGGCCATGGCTGTCGTACTTAAACATGACGGTAAACTGGATGAGAACCGTGGTGTCTCTTTCCAGTGTGCATTGCTCTATACCAACCGTCAAGGTCAACGTCGTGTGCGTGTGCATAACCTTCATTTGGCAGCCACATCACAAATAGCAGATGTGTTTCGGTATGGGGATGTCGATGCCACCATCAGTGTGTTGTTGAGACAAGCTATCTTTGACATGGCTCATAAGAACAGAAAGGATATCCATACTTCCATGACAGATCATTGTGTGGATGTCTTGACGGCTTATCGACTGAACTGCGCAGCCTCTACTTCACCCGGTCAACTTATTTTGCCTGAGGCATTTAAATTATTGCCTGTGTATGTACATGGTGCTATTCGATCTAAAGTCTTACGAGGAGGTAATGTGTATAACTAGCATTCTGTATAATATTGATGCTTTGTAGTGGGTACAGATATCAATATCGATGTTAGAGTAGCAGCCATGTCCTTGTTCAATACACTCAGTGTTGAAGAATTAGTATGGACATTATATCCTCGCATGTATCCATTGCATGAACTCAGTCTGAACGAGAACACGGCCAATCTGAAGGGTGAATTCAGATTACCTCATATGATGCGTACTTCTTATGAACGCTTAGAAGCCCATGGTTGCTATCTTGTAGATACAGGATCTGATCTCTATCTCTGGTTGGGTAAATCATTACCTTCTGCATTCATTCAAGACTTGTTTGGTGTCAAGACATTAGACCAGGTAGACCCACACATGGTTCATTTGCCTGTACAACCCACTGTTCTGTCTACAGAAGTCCACGGTATCATGCGACAATTACAGGCATCTCGAACAAGACATTTAGCACTGAGAGTGGTTCGACAAGAAAAGGATGCTATTGAATTCTTGTTCTCTACTTGGATGTCAGAAGATCGTAATGCTGAAATACAAACCTATGTTGATTACATGTGTGTATTGCATCGCAAGATTCAAGAAGAAATGAAGAAACATAGTGGATAATAATAATAAAAAGACGTTTATTTGTGTTCTTTTGCTGCAGATAGAAATGTTACTGGTTTATGCTTGAATTGATTGAATGCCTTGTGTTCTGTTGGATGATGAGGTGTGATGGGTGAATGTAGAATCGAATTAAAACCAAAATGAGTGTCTTGAAAAACACTTGTATAACTAGGTGGTCCTTCTCCCCAACCTTCTTCTGTTGTCTTGTTTGAAGGAGTTTGAGTAGTATGCCAATCTTGAGTGGCTGGTTGATTGGGTACTGAGAAGATAGAAGGTGTTGTTAGATGTGTGTGTTCTAGCTGATGAGCTACTTTTTCTTCTGTTGTTGATAAAGAAAAGGCATTGAGTTTATGAGACAAGTCATTGTCTGTCATGAGAAAAAAGGGAAAGAAGTATGCATAAGGATGGACACCCTGATAGAACCAATTTAATCCCCTCCCCCCCTCCTTGTTCCCTTGTTTTATTTTGTTCCTATTTTCTTTGTATACACTCCTTCAAGATACCCTTTTCTTAATAAGCTGTTTAAGGATGTCAACATCAGATTCCCTATGGTCCAATAAGAACCAAGACAGTTACCATCCACTCACTCGATCCACTACAACTCATGGAAGACACACTTCATCCCCGCATATCTATCTGAAATCCACTCTCAAACCAGACTGGACAGAATCAAACACTTCTTATATCGATATGTTAACAGAAGAAAACGAAGACTGGATTGACAGTTATCGACTAAACCAACCTGTTCGCAAGACAAAATCCATGCGAGAAACAAAAGAAAAGAAATCGAGTATGCCCTTTATGCACAAGATCAAACGTAAACTCAGTTTAACAGATGCGAAACCAAGACGATCGGTTTCTTCAAGTGTGTTACATCAAAAACCTGCTCCTGTCCCTGTTCCTCCTGTTCCTTCCTTAGCAGAATATCAAGGTTATGCTCGTCAAACCAGACACCGTTCTTTTACTTATTCTCCTCCTCCTCCACCTCGTACAAGCAGTTTGGCTTCATCGTCTGTCCCTGCTGTTCCTCCTTTACCACCACCTCCTAAACTAGAAGCATTGACCACTCGAAACGCATTTAAATCCCATGAATTACCTACCCGAAGCAGCAGTCTATCCAGAAAATCCAATTTGACTCGACACCCATCGACTTCAACAGCAGCCTATGCCAAGAGTATCAGTGACGATCTTGCTCAGATAGAAAAAGATATCCGAGCATTAGAAATACAGCGAGACAAACATTCATCGCTTGTGATTGCTGCAGAAAAAAAAGTCAAAGAGCAACAACAAGGTCGTAAAAGAGGAAAGGTAAGGCAACGAGACTGTATGTGTCGTCCACTTAGTTTCTAGACATTACCTGGTAGTTTAGCAACTCCTCCTCCTCCACCGCCAACACTTGCTTTACCACCGATGTTATTGAATCCAATCCAACTGAACTTGCCCAACAAACAAAAGAAACCTATCCCAAGACAGAGTACGTCTACCATCACACCTTCCACCAAGACACGTTTGAAACTATCAGCTTTAAACAGCACTCCTCCTCCTCCTCTTCCTCCCTCTTCTTCTTCTTCAGATATTCTTTTTCAGCCAAATGAATCCAAAAAACACACGTCTCGGACGCATGAGATCCCTAAAGAAGGTGCACGGTCACCTAAAAGTGTCCAGACCTCATTGAAATATTATGGCCAATACCTATCCGACTATGAGCGTCAATTGGAGATCCATGATTTCGCCCATATTTATTTTGTAGGTCCACACGCACAGACCAAACATGGCTCACTCTCGAGTGAATCCAATCATGGGTTTGATGATGATCGAGGGGATTATCGTGTTGTGCTTCAAGACCATTTAGCTTATCGCTATGAAGTCTTGAGCGTACTTGGGCGAGGATCGTTTGGTCAAGTCGTCAAATGCTTTGATCATAAAAAGGCAGATTATGTGGCTGTCAAATTGATTCGCAACAAAAAACGGTTTCATGCACAGGCCATGACAGAAATCAATATCCTAAAAAAGTTGATTGAATGGGATCCTCAAGATCAATGCCATATGATTCGTATGACAGGTCATTTTTACTTTAGAAACCATTTGTGTATTGCATTTGAGTGTCTAAGTATGAATCTGTATGAATTTATCAAAAGTAATCATTTTCAAGGCTTTAGTCTCAGTCTGATTAAAAGGTAAAATGTTGATTAAATCACAGTGGGGCTCATATATACCCGTCGATAGAATTACCCTACAGTTACTTGAATCCTTGACCTTGTTGGCTCAACATCATGTGATTCACTGTGACCTTAAACCAGAGGTAAAGAATATAATGCATCAACATGGTTCTCATAGGACATAGAATATCATGTTGAAACACCCTGCCAAGACATGGATTAAAATGATTGATTTTGGTAGTAGTTGCTTTGAATCAGAGCGAGGTAAAGAAGGGGGAGGAGGCACATGTCTATTGATAGGCTGATGATTTAATGAACTTTTATCCTATAGTCTATACTTACATTCAAAGTCGTTTTTATCGATCACCTGAAGTCATTCTAGGCCTCTCTTATCACAAAGCCATTGACATGTGGAGTGTCGGCTGTATTGTGGCAGAATTATATACAGGCATGCCTTTATTTCCTGGCGAAAATGAACAAGAACAATTGAGTTGTATTATGGAAATCATGGGCTTACCTGATCGACGTTTGATTGAACGCTGTTCAAGGCGACATGTGTTCTTTGGTAAGTGATTTCTTGTCTGATTTGTTCTCATTTTATTTAGATCCTATGGGTCATCCTCGTCTTGTGCCTAATTCAAGAGGCAAAAAGCGTCTTGTAGGCACTCGTTCACTTCAACAAGCACTTGGATGTCATGATACTGTCTTTATTGATTTTGTTGCCCGTTGTTTATGCTGGGATCCTTCTAAGCGAATGTCGCCACAAGAAGCATTAAACCATGCTTATTTAAAGTCTTGAGTTGCCCTGAATCATGTATTGCTGTGTGTAACATTCGGCTGAATCGGAAAAAAATATATATAAATTATTTGAACCTGTGACAATAAATAAATAAACACAAAAAAAAAAAAAAAAAAGAGTTGTGTTAACAAGAAACTTTAGTTTGTTTATATCTTTTCTAGATGAGAAAAGATTAAAATCACATTGTCTCCTTTGTACCCCACAAACCCGGGTCCGGAGAGGAAACCGACCGAGAATATTTATAAAAAAAAAAAGGAGAAACAAACGTAACTTTTTCTTCTTCTTCTTCTTCTTCTTCTTTGCATGTCTTTAAATTCACCACCTACTTCACAAAAAGAACAGCCCAACATGACTTTAAAAAAATCGTGTGAGCAATGCAGAAGACGACGCCGTGCTTGTAACTCACAACGTCCTTGTTCACACTGTCTAGAAGAAGATCAACACTGTGTCTATAGTGTGATACCCGATCAATCTCGCACTGTCTTTTCTACTCAAGCAGCCCGTAGGCTCAGCTCGGGTTCTGCGTGTGAGACTTGTCGACGTCGTAAAACCAAATGTGATGGTGGCAATCCTTGTAGTTTTTGTGCTACCAACCATATTGAGTGTGTCAATCACTCAGAAAGAAGACATTTAGCGAAATACCAACAGCAACAACAAAAGCCTGCCGAAGCCATGGATCGTATTGAAGACAGATTGAGACGCATCGAGCGATTGATGACGGCATTTACACCCAGTCCACTCTCGATTACAGAGAGTCACAAGATGGTCAGACCTCATCGTCACTCAGTCCAAGGTATCAATGTGGCCAAGGAACAGACAGAAATGCAGATGATGAAAAGAAGAGGTTAAAAAGAAAAAAAAATTCTCTTGTTATTGATCTGACTTAGGTTATTCGCATCGGTATGGCTCACTGTCTCCACCCCCTCAAGCCAATAGCACAACCTATATTGCTCATTCCATGCACCACCTCACAATTTCACCTTCGGATTCGTCAAGCACAGACTCACCTTTCCCTTTGACATCGGCTTCTTCACCTTCCATGCGTATGGGTGCACCTTTATCTCCCCCTGTTTCTTCTGGGAAACAAACAGAGGACATTCATGCAGCTAATGATCAATCCTTGCCTGAGGATTGGAAGCAACCAAGTACGATGCCAAGTCTAATGGGTTTGTGTTATTCAATCGCATGCCATGGGCTAATTAGAGATATCATTAGATCAACTGTCCAATCGAACATTTACGACGACAGCTATGCATTATTCAATGAAACCATTTCCTATTTATCCATTGACACCACCACCATCATTACCACATAGACCCAACCGTCATTCATAGCTTGTATCAGTAAAAAAAAAAAAAAAAAAAAAAAAAAAAAAAAATGAAACTCCTCCCCCTAGTCAACACCATTGCGTCTTTGTTTATTTTTTTTTTTTATTTCTGAGAGGGTTTGACTCGCTTGCATAGATGCGCGTGCGCACACGAGTAACGGGGACTTTAAGATAAAATCTGAAAAGAGTCACACTTGATTCCCTTAATTTTTTTTCTTTCTTTCTTTGTTCATGATCAAGACAGTAGCAAACACAACACGATCTATCTCACCTACTCGTACTTTCTTTCGTTTACCCATCACTATTCAAAATATAGACCATGCTCGAGCCATTTTCAAAACGCTTTCAAGTTATGGTGATATGATTGAATATAAATTCATGAGAGTAAGTGAAATCATAAATAACAAGACTTTATCCTTTTTTTTTCTTTTAGTGTCCTGAAACACAGGTTTATCTTCGCTATGGGTTTGTTGTTTATAAGTACAGTCAAGACGCCCATAAGGCTATTGCTGATCAATTTATTCGAGTGAATTCGGATGTGTTTAAAGCACCTTTTGATATCAAGATTGAAAAATCCGTCAATCGTGCACATCCTACACAATAAGCAAGGGAGAGAAGGGGGTTTGTTTAGATCATGCCATTTTTCATCATTTTATTTTTCCTTACAAGTAGTTTACCATATGTTTTTTTTTTGCAAGTTTAATTTAGAAGTAAACCATGATTTCTTTAAATGTGCATATGCATATACATTAAAAAGGAGAAAGAGGGAGGTATGGTTTAACTCGTAAGCAAAAAAAAAAAAAAAAAAAAAAAAAAAAGGATTGATTGACGAATTTGGTAAAAATGAGAAAGAGAGAGAGAAAAGGGAGAGCACCAGACACAAGCCAAAAAAAAAAAAAAAAAGGAAAGAGAGAGAGAGAGAATGTTATAAACACAAGATAACGTTCTATTGAGGAAGATGTTAGCAAAACAACTAGCAAAGCAAAAAAAGGTCAGATTTATTACTATAATTGGATGATAGAGTTGTCCATTCCAAAGGATCCCAAAAAAAAAAGAAGATTTATATCTTGTTCTATCTGATTGCTTATTCAGTTGTGTAGATCTTGTTATAGGTACATGCAACATGGACATTAGAATATATAAGATTTCCTTCTTTTCTTTTTCTTTTTTAATAGAAATCAAGGGGACAAGATTAAATAGTATAGTTTTTTTTTTTTTTTTTTTTTTTTAAACGTACATAAAAAATGTAAAAAAAAAAAAAAAAAAAAAAAAAAAAAAGATTTAGCTAGCTAAAACAAAAAAGAAGAGTGGCTCCAACTTGAATTTTTTTGTTGTTGTTGACAGATTTATTTATCTATTTTTTTTTGTCTTTCCCCTCTCTTTCTGTCTCTCTACTCTAATAGAGATATTGAATGGGCCCTAAAAAAAAAGAAAGGGGGAAATGGAGGGAAAGTAAGAAAAAAAAAGGTATACTTTCTGAGCAAAGTGAATGAGTGCATGACAATTTTTTAATATAAAAAAAAACACTACACACACTATTACAAATAATAATAAATCCTCTTTTAACTTGATAACCCCCCCCAAAGAAATATCTTTACTCACAGACATAAATAATGCACAAAAAGTGTAAATATACGATTTCACAACAATCATAGCTATAAATACTTCCTCTTTGCACCTTCTTTTTCCCTTTTTTTTTACTCTCTCTCTCTCTCTCTTTTCTTTTCTTTATATATCTATATTATGTTGGCTTGTGCACAAAACATTTTTTTTAATAATGAAATTACAACAAATGATAACAATGATTGTCAGATCAATGATAAAAGAATGCATTCTATAAAAAACAATCCAATCCAATTACCTCCACAACATGACCCTAATGTGAACAAAGAGAAAGAAGAGGTACTTTGACATTTCTCTATATGAATATTAAGAGCATATTCTATAGCAACAAGTATGGCCACCCGATGTAGAAGCTGCTTTTATTGAAGGTAAAATACGCTATAGATTGCGTCTTGATGTACTTATTGATTAGCGCTTGAAACCATTCCAAAACTTGGTAGAAGAAAGATTTTGGTCAATGGCAAACCCTGTGGTAAGGAACCTACATACAAAAAAGAAAGACGCATTCATCCCTTTTTTTCTCTCTCTCTTTCTTTCCTTTCCCTTTAGGGCGAAATGAACTCATTTCTGACTTTATCTATCGCAAGACGGGTAAAGTACGAACCAGAAAACAAGTATCATCACATATCCAAGTACTCAAGAATACACGAAAAAGTGACCCTCATTGTAAGTAAACCATGATTGATAAGTTTCAACCTATTGACCTTGCTAGTCATGCGTTTATTGACAGACTCTGTTGAGGATGAAGGATTTGCCTCTTCCACTACACCACTGGCACGAAAACCTAAACAAGTCATGCGTCGCCAAAGTAACTTTTCAAGGCCCCAACCCAAGATGAACTCATTGCGTTCTTCTGAATCGTTTTCTTCAGATGATTCATCCATTTCGTCTTCTTCTTCACCCGCTGATTATGTACTTGATCTCATGTGTCATGATCAACAACAGCAAGTACCACCCCCACTTTCCATGCATGATTCTTTTTATGAGCCTATGTTTAATACCCTGGACACGCATTCGTCAAAACCCAATACTATCATGGCCACATCGTCATTCTCATTTCAAAATCTGAATGAGACTGATGTATTGCAACAATTATTCCCCTTGACCGAATCTGCCACGACAGTGATTGATCTCTTAGACCAACAAAGCTCCATCAACAAGTTTCTGATGAGCAACTACAAGCAAAAAAAGAAACTCGTCAAGAAATACACAAAACGACAAAAGAAGTCGATGCATTACCCTCATGGGTTGGATGAACTCAGTATGAATCCCATGTCTTCTTTGCCTTCTCATGTCTGGATTGATCCTTCTCTTTACCCTTTATGGCCAAACTACCTATGCCTTTATCTTGATAACACAAATCCTTATGAACAAACGGTAAGTGCATTTAGTTAATGGAGGAGGTCGATATTGAATGTTTATTAGATGCCGCATACATTGGCTATTTTACCTGAATGTATACCCAGTTGCATTCCTACCTTGGATAGTTCCCTTGTCGCTAAAAACAAATGTCCTCCTGTTTCTGAAATCACATCGCATCCTGCCATGACTACACTCTCTGCCAAGGTAGATATCCATATATGCTATTGTTTTCTTAACCCTATATATTAGATCAAACTGAATCTCAACTTGAATATGAATGATTTTATATTCAACAATACTTGTTTCTTTGAGACACAAGAGCGTCGTACGATTGAATGCACTACCACTATTTATTCCTTTGGCAATGTTGTGCTAGAATCAAAAGAAGTGCAACAAGCTTTGTGGTTAAATGAAGGCAAATTTATGTATAGTTTTGTTTATGTCAATCAGTTCTTTGATGCTTTTATGAAAGGCATTCGGTCTTTACAATCTTGGGAAGAAGTAGATATTGCGATTAATAATTTATGTGTAGTGCAGGTAAAGAATAAAGAAAAGAAAAAGAGAGGATTTCTACTAACATTATACATAGGTATTTGAAGATATGGAATCGAAACAACAAACAGTTGATAGCTTGATGCTATCTCATACAGATATCATGACAAATTTACTTGTACCTGCCCCTCTTTTAGTGATGGTATATGAATTTGAAAGAGGACAAGGCACAGTAGATTTGAATATTGTAAAGACCTCTAAAGACTTTGAATTCTTATCTTCAACTGATATGTAAAAACACACACACACACATATATATATATTTATGCATGTACAGATTCATTTTTATAAGCCTATAGAATAAAATTAATTTATGCCATCATAGCATCATAGAGACACCCCCTTATAAAAGCTTTCTTTTTTCTTTTTTCTTTTTATTATTTTTCCGTTTATAAAATGAGCAATAGAAACTCTTTTACAAAGATGAGTTGTGGTTGTACTATTGAAAGAGTACTTTATCACGATGAAAGTTATATTTTTATTACAAGTGCTCAAAAACAATCAGATTCACCTTCTGGTAAAACTTATATTGCTTATCATATTCGTATTGGGGTAAAAAAAAAAAAAAAAAAAAAAAGAAAGAAAAAAGAAAAGGACTTTATGTACTTAATCTGTTAGGACATGGAAACAAAACGAAGATACAGTGAATTCGAATCATTAAGAAAAGCCTTGACATTGCTTTATCCTGCCTTGATTGTGCCGCCTATACCCGAAAAGCATTCTTTAGGTAAGATAATAGAACAAAAAAAAATGATGACTTATTCAGAACACCAGTTGATTATGCTGCACTCTCCACTCGAGTCAGAGATGATTTGCCTATGGTTGAAAAGAGAAAACGGATGTTACAGACATTCCTCAACAGAGTAGCCAAACATCCTGAACTAGGAAAAGAGCATGTCTTTCATCGATTTTTGGAGAGTCATACTGCTTGGGTAATGTAAACATAAGCCTGTATCACCCATATTGATGTCTCTGTTAGTCGGATGTATTGCACTCACCTCCTTTGTCTACCTTACCAAAAATCCTTTGCAGATGATTGTCAGCAAACAATTGGATTTACCAACGCATACGTATCACCCTGTCTTGTCCAGCAATTTGATACCCACACCTTCTGCTGCATATCAATTAAGACAGCCAGATCCCCGATTTGAAGAATCTGAGAAATTCACGTTTCGTATTGCTAATTATATGAGTAATAATCTGGATAAAAGTCAGCGTAAAGTGATTCGACGTTTAGGAGGTAAAGTGTGTGTGTGTGTGAATGATCATCCCTACAACTGATATCATTCTAGAATTGGCCAATGATTATGCAGAATTAGGCGCAGTCTATAATGGATTCAGTCTGAATGAGACAGGCGCAGTAGCCAATGCGATTGAGAAAATAGGTCAAGCAGTCGATGCTTCTTATACAGAAACAGGTCACATGGTGACTTCTTTAGAAGGTGAATTTGCTGAACCTATTCAAGAACATGCTCAGTTTGCACAGATCATTAAACAAGTCCTCAAGTTTCGTCATATGAAGCATGTTCAGACTGAATTGATTGAGAATGCGCTGAATCATAAAAAAGAAAACTTGGATAGCTTGTTGCGTATGGAGAATGAAGCCAGACGATTAGAAGAAGCCATGACAAGAGAAAGAACGATTGGTGCCAATGCGATTGATGTGGATGAACCTTATGGTGTAGCCACGCCACCTTCTACTACCACACCTTCATCCCCTGTACGCACCAGAAACAATTGGACAGGGATGCATGTCATCAGTGCTGTTGGACATACACTGCAGAACATTATTGATGTGAATCCAGAAGCCACACGTCGTAATCAGATTGGCATGTCAAAAGATGCTATTGGTGTATTACAAGAAGCATTGGATATCACCAGCAAAGATCTAAATTCGATTTCTCTTCAATTGCAGTCTGATTTGGATCGTTTTCAAACAGAAAAGATTCAAGATATGAGAGACATGTTGATTGCTTATGCTAAAATACACATTCGATACTGTCAAAAGGTAGATTTGTAGAGTTTAAAATCATATATCTGATTGTTTATATAGAATTTGGAATCATGGCAAGAAGCACGTAATGAAGTGGAAAAGATACCAATTTAATATACACTATGCTTTCCATAATCTCTGAAGTTTTTCTTCTAATTCAATCTGTTGACGGACTCTTTCTACTACATCTAATATCTCAAAAGTTTATCATCTGATTGCTGGGGGGTTTTTTTTTGCTTTAGTTTACCTGCTCCATAATGGTCTACAAGTTGAGAAAAGGACAATGTGTCATGAACAGCAGCTTCTTCTTTTGTCATGACCACCGTATTTGTTAAACTTGTCTTTTTAGAATTATCCCAGCGAGTCATGACTAACATTCTATCTTGAGCACCCGATATCACACTCTTTCCTTGCCATAATTCATCAAATATATAACCTATATCCTTAACATCTAAACATTCCCTAATAATGGATTTAGATGAATAAAGGAATGATGATACAAGGACTTACTTATTATGAAACACATATTCTTCTTTAGCTGCTAATTCCTTTTGCATACGAGCATAGACACCATCTCGCATCTTGTTAGCAGGTAATTGATAGGCTGTAAATTCACCCAATTGGACAATCACAAAAGTGACTAAAGCCATACCAAACATACTCGCAATAGGACCCAAGACAGGTAATGCACGTGTTCTAAAATCAGGCACTATGGTGTAATGCGTTAAGCTATGCATCCATGCCATTGTTGTTTACCTTTGTTGACATGCAGGTTCTTTTCAATCGAATACACCACAGGAATACCACGGTCCATGCCCAATTTCCTCAATTGTCTTTTATACGTTCTTGCTAATGGATCTGCAGTGGCATCACTGATATCTGTCACTTGAATCAAAGAAGGATCTGCTTTGGACCCAGCACTCATGGCACTGACGAGTTTGAGGTTGTGTTGACAACAATAGTCTGCTACCATCACTTTGTCTTTGAGATCAGATAAGGTGTCGACCACATAATCAGGCTCACCACGCAGCAACTCAGACAAGTTATCTTGCGTGAGTTCAGTACGGACAGCTTCCACATGCGCATGAGGTGCAATGGTTGCTAAAGACCGCTTCATGGCTTCTGCTTTTGATTTACCAATATCAGCTACAGTAGCCACAGCATGACGTGACAGACTCTCAAGGCGAATCAGACCACGATCGACTATACGGACACGTTCAACGCCTGAGCGGACCAACATGAGAGCAGTCCAGGATCCAATCGCACCTGAACCCAACACAACCACGAACGATTGACGAATCTTGTTGACATTCTCGGGACCAAAGAAAGCAATGTTACGAGCAAGGAGTTCTAGCACAAGTGATTCGTCCATGGGTGCTGGTTCGACGATTTGGTCTTGGACAATGGCAATAGGTGCATCGATCGATTTGGTTTTTATTGTCTTTTCGATGCGGGAGCGAGTAAAGGTTTGGTATCCGAGGACAGCAGAGGCTGTCAGGACAGAGGCTGCAATAGCTGTTAAAGTAAGTCGAGTGCCTTGTGAGTGTTTTTCGATAAAGTTAGTGATGACTGACATAAAGAAAGAAGAAGAAATAGACGTTTTCGATGAGTTTAAAATATCTTTTTTTTTTTTGACATGGATTGATCAAGCATGATACTATACAAAAAAAATATATATATATATATATATATATATGACCACTTTTCATGTCAAACATAGCTTGGCTTTGAGGAAAGCGATTACAGTGAGTATGGACCTATGTGTAAGCATACGTAAGTGTTTATCATGCCTTAGCTCAAGTCTACAATGATTGCTTATAAGCAATCTTTCTCTTTCTTTTTTAATAGATAACTCGAGCTTTTATTCTATATGGTTTGTGATACTTTATGTAGCTTATTCGAGGATGAGAAGCATGCTTTCTTTTGGCTTCAAAATAACATACTATTTCTGAGTGTAGCTGTGCTGTCCGAGTTTTTTTCCGAATACAGCTTCATCTCTCTATGTTTTTCAGGTATCTCTGAATAGCAACCAAACTGGTATTCCTTACTTGATACAAGTTAGCTTCACATAGTGAGAGAAACAGAAGACCAAAATGTGATATCCCAGAGTCACTTAAGAGCCTACAAAAAAAAAAAAAAAAGTTAAAACTTGGAGTTTTAAGAAAGTATAAAAGATGAAAACAAATGTAGACGGCCAAGTCAACCACAAAAGACAGCAAAATGAAGGCAACGACGCATATGCGCCACCTCAAAGCGTTTAGCTTCATGTCCAATTCATCTAACCTAAGCTTTTTCTTAAATAACCCAACTGAAAAATGGGATTTCGAAAATTTCTACACATTCTACAAGATTGACCATCCAAATGCTTCCATCAATGAAGTCTTATATCAATACAAATTGAATTTGAGAAATGTATCGCATCAAAAAGACATTGATAACAAGTTGCGATGCTATGCTGGTAACTTGTTAAACGAATCACCGGTATTGTCCTGTCTTTATGAAAGAAAACGTAATTTATATTGCTGCTTATAGGAGCTTTTCAAAAAGGGCAAGAAAAAGGCGACTAATAAGAACACCATTTGTAGTAATTATAGAACAAACATCGATTCAAATCATGGATCTGTTACAATTAATAATGGTGTCATTGAACGTAATAGCTCAATATGCTCTTTCTTATATGTCTGCAGTGCTAACTATAGATGCAGAAAGACAGACCAAAAAACTCAAAGTAGAAATAACATCCATAATGCTATATCACTTTACTGAACTGTGCTATCTCTCTATAGACAATTGATCACACTGATGAAAATCGCTGCTGGGAATTAAAAGGCGAAGAAGACATTTGGGTGGCATGGCGTCAGTACATGGACAAATGTAATTGCCATGAAAACTGGTAAGTACATTTTAAAAGTAAAGCTATTTGCTTATGATCTGTAGCCTGGAAAAAAGCCATATCATTGAATGTAACTATTCGATAAAATGCAACCCCTCAACCCCAAATGAGCTCTACGAACTGCTTGGCCTCGACCTCTACAAAGTAGAAAGTCCATTTTCTGCCTGCCTTAATTACGTTGAAGAAGTTTTTCTTGTTTTGCAGAAGTTAATGCTGCTGATTTAGCTTAATCTACAAACAAAACATCATTTGTCTAATCTTTGCTCTTCGTTTGCTAAAAACAAGTCAAATGGCAAGATCAAAGAAGTAGTTGAAAGCATTAAATTTGGCGATACTGCCTCTATGTTTTCCAGAGAATTCTTTCTTTTTATGTATGTAATGATCATTTTATGTTCTATAAACTCTAATTCTTTGTCTCATTCTAGATTAACAGTATTCAAGAAAAAGCTGAGAGGCGGAATCGCTTTTAGTGAAGCAAATTTCTGTCACCGCTTGTTGTGGCCACTTGTCGAATTTGCAGTCGACCACATAGGTGGTGAAGATATGTCTTTTGTATACGGAGAGTACACTCTTCTTTCTTGTGATGAAGAATAAAAGGCTGATGGTGCGGGTCTATATAAAGAAAACCTCGAAATTTGCTTGCTTGAAGATGTTCCTAGATTTGCATACAATTACATCAAGGGCTGCTTTAGAGCCCTCAGCATGCCGAATTCGGTCACAAAGAGATACATCAGAACCAAATTTGAGAGCGTTTTGAGCCTCAAAATACCATTTCTTCACGCTAGAGGTATGTGTTTTTTTTGTAAATGTTTAAGCTAATCATAGAGTAATTCACTGCTTTATTAGGCGAGCGAATCTGTCTTTGGAGCTTGGATATTTGCGACAATTAGCTGTATGCCTTCCAAAAGATATATGAAGCTAAGGTTCCCACTTCTTGGCAGGAAGAAGAAGGAATCCTCTCTTTGGGAATTCTTGTCTGGTTATTGAAAGTAAGAATCCAAAAATATTTCTTCTATCACTTTGCTAATTGCTTTCTTGTCAATACTATCAACATAAAAGTTGCTTCTGTATTTATGTCAAGCAATACAAACAATCGAAAGAGAGCACAAAAAACCTCTCGGGACATAATCCTTGGTTTGGAAGAAGAAGAAGGCAAAGATTTGTTACAATATGTAAACGATGGCATCAAGAAACCTGCCCGAGGTGCTTCATATGGTATTTTGCTACCTGAAGAAAATGGTAGCTTTGTGAAATATTGTGCAGCTAGATAATAAAAACATGCATTTTTGGTTATCAATATCTTTATGAGTGGCAATTACTTTTGACCATACTGTTTTATCAAAGTAATATTTAACAATCCTATATTTTAGTAGATAAGATGCTTTCTCTTCAATAAAGTCCTTGATATATTCACTCTAAAGTACACAAATGGTCAATTCACTTAACAAATGATCCACAGTAATGCATTCATGTAACCGACTGGCAATGATAACCTGTTGATAAATTCATTGACAGTCCCTCAACATCCCATAGTATTTAAAAACACCCAACTTGGAATTCTTCGTTTCTTTTTTTAAAAAAAACAAAACGATATGTCAGATACACAACACCAGTCTCAAAGAAGATACTTGGCTGGTGTTATAGCTCTATTGGCTGTTGTATTTATATGGGTAGCTTCTTCTTTTGTAATGAACGTAAGGCTGCAATCTACAATAACCACAACTGATCTTGACAAAAGAATATTTTTGCAGACTTGAAATATAATAAGCCTTTCCTTATAACATATGTAAATACAGCCACATTCTCTCTATACCTGTTGCCCTTATTGTTTTTTTCGAGCAAGAAAAGACGAAAAGAGTTTCTACCAGAAGAGTAAGAAAAAAAGAGAGAGAGAGAGAGACAACTGAGTAACCTATGTTGTTCTATAGTGTTCATTTGGAGACAGAAGCTAGACTATTAGACAATCAAGAAGTAAGCAAGCCTTGAAGAAATTTAAGCTGATAGTCATCCTAGTTTGAAGAAGAAGATTTAGACATAGACACAAAAAACAATTCAAAATTAACAACAATGGAAACAATCAAGCTCAGCCTTGCATTTTGTTTGCTTTGGTTTCTTGCCAACTATACCACAAATGCAAGTTTAGCATATACAAGTGTAGCTAGCAGTACTATTCTTTCTTCCATGTCTGGACTATTTACATTGAGCATTGGGGCTATTTTTAAAGTAGAGAAGTTAAGCATGGTTAAAGTGCTTGCTGTCTGTCTAAGGTAGAGAACGAGAACAAAGTGAAAAATACTGACAGATCAAAGTTTTGTTGGTGTTGTGTTTGTCTCTTATTCAGACCAACTTGTAAAGCATGATGGCTTGGATATACCCAAGCCTTTAATTGGAGATGTATTGGCATTATGCGGTGCTCTATTCTATGGCTGTTATACTACTCTTTTAAAACTGAAGATAGGTGATGAATCCCGGATCGATATGCCCTTGTTTTTCGGGTTTGTAGGTACCTTTAATGTGTTACTGATGTGGCCTATATTCTTCTTTTTGCATTTCATGGGCATTGAAAGATTTGAATTGCCTTTCTCACCATCTCTCTGGCTTATGGTGATCCTAAATGCTTTTGTTGGCACTTTTTTATCGGACTATCTCTGGCTTCTTGCTATGTTAATGACTACACCACTTGTCGTTACTTTGGGCATTTCAATGACAGTAAGCAAACTATCTAATTCAATATATCATGACATAGTCTATAGATTCCATTGGCTCTTGTGGGAGATGTAGTCTTTAAACATTTTGTGCCTGGAGTTCAGTATGCAATAGGTGCCATACTGGTTGTTGCAGGATTTTTTGTTGTCAATATAGCAACATTATCTGATATTGAAGGAAACACTTCCATGGATCAAGATGATTTCTTAGAAGATGACCACCTAAACAACCAACGTAGAATGGCCCGCGCCTTGAGCATATCAGAGCCTAATCTTGATAGAAGGGCCAGCCATGCATCAGTTCTTAGTGCATATCCATAAATAATAATAAAATATCTTGGTATGTGATACCAAAATCAATTGTTTCATACTCAGATCCTACTTGCTAGCTTTTCATTTGATATAAACTGAATTAGACGCGGCTTTATTCCCCTTCACACTCTTTCTCCTTTGCAAGATGAGAAGCATATACTCCTTGACTGCACTCTTGGTCTCAGGCCTCTCTCTTTTGACTTCTATGGCTGTAGAAGCAAAGTCTACCACAGGAGACCGTGTTCTTGTCTTGTTGGACTCTTTAGCCGAAAAAGAAACCTATTCACAGTTCTGGCAGCAACTCGAAGGTAAAAGTTTAAAAAAAACACTGTTCTTATCTTTATTGACACACGAGACAGACCGTGAGTTCCAACTCTCTTTTAAGGCTGCTGACGACCAAACCACCACACTTGCTTATTTTGGAGAGACTCTCTTTCACCATATTATTCACTTTGCACCAAAGACGACAAGTAAGCAAACTATTCTTTGACGCGTCTTACTCATTTTTCCCCCTTTTTTGATAGGCCTTGCAAAGCACCCTTTTATCAATAATGTTCACCTTGTCAACTTTGTCAATAAAGGTGGTAATATTCTTGCAGCCACTGGCATTGATCCTAGTGACACGATGCGAGCATTGGCTGCTGAATTCGACATTGAATTAGATACCGAAACTGTCTTTGATCATAAGCATTACCATAAGGAACATAACAAGATTACTACATCCAAGTTGATTGGCCCAGCTACTATTGTTGATCCTGAACAAGTCAAAACACCTATTCTTTATTCAGGCACAGGATTGAATGTTGGTCAACTCCCTCTTTCCAGTGCTGTTTTGGCTGCTGAAAACGATGCTTTTATGGCTGATGCTTATAATGAACGTGCTAGTCCTATGGATCAAGTGGGTTTGGTTGGTGCACTTCAGTCTCGCAACTCTGCCCGTGTTACCTTTGTAGGTTCTCTTGATCTGTTCTCCAATGATTTCATGAACATCGCTGTGGGTGATTCGTAAGTGATTCTGTTTTAATATATGTTTTTATTCATCATCGCTTTTATAGTGACAAGTCTGGAAACGAAGCATTTGTATCTCAATTAAGCAAATGGACTTTCCAAGAAAAGAGTGTCTTGAAAGTCATTGGCCATTCTCATCATAAACAAAACGAAACTGAGCAACTTGACTGGTATCGTGTTAAGGATGATATTGTAAGTACAGATAGATATGAAGACAGACATGTAATCTTACTTATCGACTAAAGGTGTATCGTGTTGATATTGCTGAATACAAAGATGATGAATGGGTGTCTTTCAAGGCTGATGATGTTCAACTTGAAATCATCATGTTGGATCCTTACATTCGTACTACTCTGAAGCAAGTCCCTACCACTACATCATTTGGACGATTTGAAGCCCATGTTCGTCTTCCTGATGTCTATGGTGTCTTTACTCTCAAAGTGAATTATAAGCGTGCAGGTCTTAGCTATGTCTTGGCAGAAGATCAAGTGTCCATTCGACCTTTTAGACATAATGAATATCCTCGCTTCTTGACTGCTGCTTATCCTTACTATGCTTCTACTGGTTCCATGATTGTTGGTTTTCTTGTCTTTAGTGCTGTTTGGTTATCCACCTGGGGTGGCAATCACGCCAACGAAACTCAAAAACCAAAGACAAAGACAAACTAAATAAATATGGTTTTATTTATCTTCAAGTTGAGATTTCTGTAAATTGAATTTGTTGTTTTCTTCTAGCCCTATCTTGATTGTTGTTTCTATACAAGCCATATTAGATTTTTAGTCTAAAGTAAAGTATAGGTAACTTGCCATATCCTTTGAGTTTGTCTTGGGGTAAACAACCAAGTTGCTCTAGAAATAAACGTTCAGATTGAATCATTCCTAGTTGTGATTTAAACATAGAGTATCGATCTAATCTTCCTTGTATAGTCTTGACTCTGTTTTTTAACATCATGGAGGTCTTTACAGGCTGCCTCCATCCTCGAATACGCTTAAACTCATATCCAGATGAAGTTCGAGTCGTCATAACCGTCTGATAGGGTTTTCTCTTTGTCATTTTAGGCTTCTTTTTCTCGCCAAGAGGTTGTGACATAGGTTTGTTCTGTTGTTATCAGTATCATAAGAACAAGTGACTTTTGAATGTTTACCTTTTTGTCCAGCTAAAAGGAAAAGAACTGAGTATATATCATGCCCTTGTGTCTTACAAGACTTACATTGTACTTTTGAACATATTCGTTAATTTTTGCTCTTACATCTTTCTCGCCTGCTATGCCTCTATTTAAATAGTCAAGTGTCTATTCTATTTTAGTCATCTGTTTTGTAAGCATACATCATATTACCTTGTCTGCTTCTTGCAATAGACAAAGGACTTGAGATCGAGACGTATTGTGCTTATTCTTTTTAAATTTTTCTCGTACTTCTTGTTTTATTGAATTTTGTCGATACTGTTCACTCGATCGTAACAGTGATCGATAAAGCCCAAGTGTCTAACATACAAGTTAGTTAAGGAAAATTAGGCAAGATCAGTTACATAAACTCGGGTTTCATATGCCAACTTTTTATTGAGAGATTGGAAAGCAGTGGCAAGAGGTTTTGACATATAAAAAAAAAAGAGAGAGAGAAAAAATCTGAACCGTCCTTCTTTTCTTTTTAAATACTATGGCACCACCTACAACAACACTTGTGGTAGACAATGGCGCGTATACGATCAAGGCAGCTCTTGCCAATAAAGAAGCGATCCCAAGGTTTTATTTATTCAAATAACTCGTCTCTTGTTCTAATCCCACAATATAGACTTGTTTCCAACGCGATCGTACGTGGCAAAACAGACAAGCGTAACTATATTGGAGACGAACTCGACACCTGTACCGACTTTTCTTCACTCTATTATCGACTGCCTTTTGAAAGAGTAAGCCACATTCACCTGTCACGACTACTTACCAGCAACTAGGGACTATTGACCAATTGGAATATCGAAAGAAGCATTTGGCATCGATTGTTTAAACATGTTATGCAAATTGACCCCAAAGAGACACGATTGCTTGTGACTGAGCCCTGCTTCAACTTACCTGCTATTCAAGATGGATACGATCAAGTTATATTTGAAGAATATGAATTTAATGCCTGTCATCGCACCATGGCACCCCAACTTTGTCTGTATAATGATTTGGGTGGATTGTTTGGAGACAATGCTATTCCTGATTGCACATTGATTGTGGATTCAGGCTTTTCATTTACACACATTGTCCCTTTCTTAAAAGGAAGTCCGATTCCAAAGGGCATAAGACGACTAAATGTGGGAGGAAAGCTATTGACAAACCATCTAAAAGAAGTTGTTTCGTTTCGATCGTATGACATGATGGAAGAAACTTATATTATAAATGATGTAAAAGAGAAATGTTGTTTTATGTCACATAATGTATATGATGATTTGGACATTTGCAAGTAAGATAGATAAACAAAAGATATTAGACTTATAATGTATAGAAAACAACGCTTAAAGAACACGATTGTACAAGAATATGTATTGCCAGACTTTATTCACCATGCAACAGGTCATATTCGTACTGGAAATAGTCCAACTGGTGAACAACAGCAAATACTCGCTATGAATAATGAAAGATTTATGATTCCCGAAATTTTAATGCACCCATCTGACATTGGTCTAGAACAGGCAGGTATTCCAGAAGCTATTACTCAGAGTGTATCTGCTTGTGATTCAGGTAAGTCCATATACAGCCAATTAGATATTGACGATAACAGAAATACATGGACTCTTATACGCTAATATCGTATTAATTGGGGGCAATGCAAATATACCTGGCTATAAAGAACGCATGTAAGTAAAATCTGTGCATAGAATTGAATTTTAACAGATAAACAAAGTGAGCATGATTTAAGACAGTTTGTGCCTGATGAGTTTGAAATTCGATTAGCGATCCCTAAAGAGTAAGTGTTATTCTCGATTATAAGCTAAAAACTCATTGTTCTAAAAGTCCAGTAACATATGCATGGGAAGGTGGCAATCAGTTTATTTCTCTCAGTTCTAAAGCAGAATTACAAAGGACATTTGTACAACGTAAAGAATATTTAGAGTATGGTAGCAATATTTGTAGACGGAAGTTTGGCTCCCTGTAACACAGTTATTTATTTGTTTATTAAAAAGTGACCGATCCAAGCTTATTATAATGAATAAAAAGCAAAAGAAAACAAAGAAGAAAGCCTTTTATATTCTAGTGGTTCATAAAAGGAAAAATTAAGGGGAAGTGTTGAATTGAAGTGATACAGTTTTCTTAAAGTTCTTGTAGTTAACAGTAATGGACTTACAGACGCTAATGGGCGGAAATCTAAGAAATTGGTCAATTAATTAAATAAACCAAAAGGAGCTTCATTTTGCAGTTTTCTTTCATGTTTAGGAATTGTCATTAAAAAAGTTTACAAGGTGATCTTTATGCTCTTGTCCTAGCTGAGATTTTGACCTGTGGATCGAGTTTGTCTAGTTCACACGAATATTCCAACCCTTATCTTCTTCAGGTCTCTTGGCCCATTTTTGAGCTACATGCTCAGCAATACCACTAGCTAAGCAACCAGATTTCCCAGCATTAGATAGTTTGATTTTATTAAAATACACAAAAAGAAGCTTTTGCTCGTTTGAATATTTAGTGTATGTGTATTCCTGCTGTTTGACTTTTTCTAGAGCTTCCTCTATCTTCACATCTAACTCCTGTTCTGCTGCTTGCCTCTCACAGTATTATCTGAGTGAGTCAAGGTTATTAAATGAAAAGTATCCATGTTTTCGTCTCATTCCATCAGATCGTTTCCATGCTCATCTTCGTAATGAAAGTGACAACTCATATTATTTGATCAAAGAATGAAAGAAAGCCGTCTTTTGAGGAAAAGAAAACTGTAAAATGAAAATGTAAAAAGCCTTTGACATTTCAAAAATCGCCTTTTGGTCTATTTAATTGACCGACCAATTTTTTTTTAGACTTTCACCTTTTGGCATTGGAATTAAATAAATAAGTGGCTAGTGCTTATCGAATTAATTTTATTTGATTTATTTTTCAATACTGATATCATGTAAATCTTTTTGTTTATATGTTCTCGTGTACTCTTTTTTTTATTTATAAACTTGTTCATTTCGTAACGTTGGAGTCACTTTAAGATCGACGGTCAAGTAGATACTGAATGACCTGAGTTTCTTAATTAAGACTTTATTTCTATATATGTTATATTTATGATACTTCTCTAATGACACATATAAATGCTAGATAGACAAGCTTGATATATAGAAAGAAAAGAAGTGTAAGAACTAAGGGGGGGGAGGAAGCACAACCGGGTAAAGAATTATAAAGTTACCAAAATTTGAAATTAAGCTCGAGAATTACTTTGAACGCACAGTAAATTGTTCTATTTTGGGCGTTTTTCTATTCTTTTTAAGAACGATGGAGGTTAAATTATAGGATTGACAAGATAGATAAAAGATATAAATCATAATTCCTTATTTGACATGTTATTTATGTCGCATTTACGCTTATTGCAGTATTTATGCCCAAACAAACAAACAAACAAACAAACAAAAAGTATATAGCTTTTGACAAGTGGCCCTTCATCGTGTGCGGAGACAGAAATATGTAAATTGATGATGATATAAATGGCACTAAAGTGTTTTTGTCTTATGGTAACACATAAGGAGTGCTACAAAAGATCCAGGCACTTTTTTATAGAAACACAAAAGATAATTAACTTCCAAGACAGCATTACCTTTTATTCTTTCTCTTAACCAATGACACGGCACACTTTGAATTCATTCTTTCTTTGAAGCTCCCCTCGCTCTCTATTACCCTTTTTGTGATATCCTATATTTATATCTTTATGTGTGTTTATAAATTCAGCAAACTCTCTTGACCCCCTTTTTTTTTCTTTTTCAATTATCCGTCTTACTTTCTTTTTCTTCCCTTCTTTCTCTTTTTCTTTTCACTGTTTAATTTCTTTCTACTTTAGACACTCTTTTGAGTTACATCAACAAATTAACAAATCAAATTTCGATATTTCGCTTGATCGACATTTTATATAAACAATAGAAAATAAGAGAAAACTCAATTAAGCACCCTTTCCAGTCTTTTTATACACACAATAACTATGCGTACTACTATCCTTTGTCTCGCAGCTCTCGCTCAACTCGCCCTTAACGCTGTTTCGGCTGACCCTATCACTATTCCTCTCTACAAACGTACAGACAGTGGTGACATTTATAAGGCTGCCGGTAAAGAACTCAGCAATGGTGTGGTAAAGTCGAATATAAGAAAAAAGAGATAGAGAGAGCAAGAAAAAAATTGAAAAAAAAGGTTACATGGTGAACCATTCATACACACAATTTAAATTACAAATGATAATTATGTGTTACTTTCTTTGTTGCTTTCTCTTTCTCTATTGTTTGCAGTTTGATTAACTTTTTTTTATTATAGCTTGCTGGTAAAGTCAAGATCGGTACTCCTGCCCAAGAATTCGTTTTTGCTTTTGATACCAGTAAGTAGAAAAACGACTAGGATTCCCCTTTATTTATTCAGGTTGTACTTAATTATTTTTAAATTAGCGACTGGTTATTCGTGGGTTCGTGGTTCTAGAGTAAGTCTTTTCCACTATGACTTTTTTTTTTTTTACTAACATGAAAAAAATTTTAGTGTAAAACCGAAAACTGTCGCGGACGTTGTACCTATTATGCTCGCAAGTCCTCTACTGCTGTTTCTGTAGGCAAGAAGTTCTCTGTTGAATACGGTGATTCTTGTGTTGATACTCATGTCTACACTGATAAATTTGAATTCGCTGGCCTTACTGTTGAAGATATGCCTTTTGGTGGTGCCTACCGCATGTCTGGTTTCGGTACTGGCTTTGGTATGCAAAAAAAAAAAAAAAAAAAAAAAAAAAAAAAAAAAAAAAAAATTAAACAATAACAATAATTAATCATTTATCTAGATGGTTATCTTGGTCTCGGTCGCTCTGTCGACTTTAACAACACCAAGATCTCTTCCACAGCTGCCAGCAGTATGTATCAGTAGTATAATCGATATATACATTAGGTTATTTATAGAATTTTCCTTGTAGGTTTAGCCAAGCGTGATACAACCCTTTCTGATTCTGCCTTTGTTACAAATGCTTTCCAATCTGGTTCTGGTATTTCCAGTGCTCAATTTGGTATGTACACCACCAGCAGCAGCTCTGGTTTTGATCAATCTGGTTCTGTCACTACCACCACCTCTGCTGTCACCAACGTTACTACTTCCGCTACCACAGCTACCACAGCTACCACTGTCACTTCTGGTGGTACTGGTTTGCTTAAGCGTTCCAGCTCTGGAGACGAAGAACAAGCTGCCGGTTACCTCGTCATTGGTGGTGTTGATACCTCTGTTATCAAGGGTGATGTCAACTACCTCCGCTTAGCTGATACTGAAGATGGTTCTGCCAAGAACTGGGATGTCTGTATTCGTCATGCTGGCTTTGGAGACTTGCGTTTGGAACAAGAAGAAAAAGCTATTGCTTCTATCTCTACTTCTACAAGCTACATCTCCATGCCTCCTGATCAAGCTGATAAGTTCCATGCCAAGTTTGGTGGTAAATACCAAAGCTCTACCAAGAACTACTTGATCAAGTGTTCTGACGCCAAGAAATTGCCTACTCTCAAGATGACTCTCGAAGACCATATCGTTGAATTGCCTCCTAAATACTGGATTGCCACTGTGGATGCTGATCGTGATTGTTGTGAAACCAAGATTACCCGTGGTAGCTCTGACCGTGATTGGGTCCTTGGTACCAGTTTGACCAATGCTTTCTACACCTCTTTTGATTCTGAGAATGAAAAGGTCGGTTTGGCCATCAAGAAGGGTCAAGAAGATGATGGTCTTAGAGTCTACAAAAAGTCTCATTAAAGTGTAAGACAAGTTATATAGTGTAGTTCTTTTTCTTTTTTTTTATATATTTCTTCTTATTTACAACAATGTCTCTATTCATAAAATAAGATTATAATTTGACATTCTTCAATTTTGAAATGGAATTACAGTTTTCATCATTTTGTCCATGCGTAATTTCATATTTGATGAAATTCTTCCGTCAGCAGTAACATCTACCTTTGTTTACATGACCCAACCATTTATGACTACCTATTTTTTCTAGGCCGAAAATCATCGTTTATATCTGACATCCGTCTCCTTTTGAATGATTATGTTTTTTATGGAAACACTGGATTGTCTATAAGCAAGTACTTTTTATCTAGAATTCATTCAATCATCAAGCCGACCTTGTCCTTTGATACGTATTTCCCTGCAAGAGGTCTCAACTGTTATGACTGGTGCGTGAATATTGAATTATCTCCTCCTATCGACTGAATATCCTCTTTGTCATCATGTGCTAATTTACTTACTACAGCTTGCGAATCAGAAAATCATTTGTATATACACACAGCTCAGGTCTTGACACAAATCCTTTCGATTCTGACTAATGGCTCTCACCATGATACAATCGAAGATACTTGTGTTCATTACTATCTTTCTTTACTATTATCATCTGTATCTGCTTCTGATTTCTTCTTGAAATTGGGATGGGAAAATAGTCAGCTAAAAAAAGACATTTACAATGCATCCAAGCCGAATTTTTTGGTGTATAATCTTACTGGTAGTATCAAGTGTTTTGTTGTCATTGCAGAATTCAAGTCTACTGAACAAAACTCATACGTTGAATCAGACATGGTAAAGCTGACAAAGCAGATGAAGATCGCTTTGAGCGAATTGATCATTAATGGTGTTAGAAAACCCAAGGTTTGTGGTATTCATTGTAAAGGCGAAAATGTTAACACATATGTCACTGATCTGTCTTCTCCTAAGCTTCAAAAAATGATTAATACCTCTAAAGTCAAGTTGTTCAAGAATTTGGATCGAACGTCAATTCTCCCGGATGCTATTTCACATATGTTGTGTTTGAAGGAGGTCGCTTCCGAGAACCGCCATAAAGATGGAGTCTACTGTGCTCCGTAGCTATAACGATTTGAAGCGTCCTGTCTCTTCACCATCATTAGATCATGCTAATAATATTGTATCTTTTAAACTGGATGCATTTTCCACTATAGAGAAAGTGAGTAATTAAATTGGAGTCGTCAACATGTAATTATATGTGAAAATGTGTACGATACTTGATGTTTGCATTAAAGATCGCTCTTCATATATCATACATCATAAAGTAGAAGTGCATTTCCTCAGCATTTTGAGATCTTTCATAAGTAATACTCCTCTAGATCGAATGTCTTTTTAACAGGACATTTTCTGTAAATAAGCATTTTGATAGCACATTGCTTATTTATGTAGCAGAGACAACTAAGCAAAAAATTACTTCAACAGTGCAAAAAGACAACTATTCCTGCAAATCTTCTTTTTTTTCCTCGACATATAAAGGTAGTGTAAAGCCTGTTTATACACGCACAAATGCTCCAAATATCTACAATACCTCTAGAGCTGATTTGGACAAAAAAACGACTTGTAAAAAATGGTCAAAAATCACTTTGATCCAAAGGGTATAACTCGTGAAAATATTTAACTTAACATCTCTTTGAGTTTCTTTTTGATGCTATCAGGCAAAAAATAGAGCTAGCAACAAGCTCAAATATTCAAAATGACCGTCAGTCGCTCTAGTTTCTGATGAACATTTTTTACTTATTTTTTCAATCTTTTAGCAGCAAATGTGTTGTATTCTTTGTATCAACAGACTTAGAAAACAAAAGCCTACAGCTTTTGTCGCTACACTAAAGTCCAATAACTGCGTTTTTATACAGTTTTCAGCAAAAGTTCTATTTTTATTGCGGCGGGAAGAAGAATCATTGTCATCCATTTCAATCTCCGCGTACCATCATCATGTATGTCCTTCGTCCATTTGCCCCCACGTTTGTATTATAAAGTACCTATATTTCTATTTTCCTATGTTCTTTGGAAACCAAAGTAACATAAGATGCTTCTGAAATCCCATATATAGCACCATCTATATAAAATCTAGAGCAAAAATGCTCAAAACACAGGCCAAGAAGGGCAGCTTTGGGCATGAAAAAAAAAAAACAATAAATGGCATTAAAATGAAGGGTCTGGTATTTCACATGCTTTCATTACTTTCTTATCAGATACACTATAAAATTGCTTGTTGCTCATTGAGTGATATCAAGAAAGCTAGAATTATGTTTTAAATGGCATTACGAGCTTTCTGATACCTGTGACATCTATAAATAGATAGAATCAGTGAAAAAAAATGTTCAATGAAGGTCTGACGCATTGCATAGAAAAGATCTCTGCAATTGATAAAGAGACTTGTTGCGTAAGACTTCTCTTTGCGTTTTGACAAAGAGCTGCCATACGCTCTTTACACTAGCTCGCCTTTCTCAAGTATAACTTCATCGACTTTCAATCTTCACAAAAGCAACCAGTGCAATACTTGTTTGCACCAAGAGATTGATTGGGACAGGCGCGAAGCGTCTCTCTTGTAAAGTAAGACTGACACAAAAAAAAGAAGAATATTGAATTGGGAAAATGATACGTACACATAAACGCTTTATTTAATACCACCATTCTTAACAGAAGCTACCTTACATTGAATAGCTTCTCCAGAAGCAGTCTTAATAAGAAGAGGCTTGTCACCATAGTGGGCAATAAGGTTATCATCTGTGTGTAATTCAGGTTGAACAGTTTCCCAATACTTCTTCTTGGGGTTCAAGACCTTTTCAGGTTCGCCTTCTTGACCTTCAACATACACTCTATCACCAGGCTTAACCTTGGAAGTATCAACGGGACCCAACAATTCAACAGCAGAACCATCAGCAGCAGAAGCACACAAGACCATACCATAAGACTTGATACCACGCATACTGGCAGGCTTCAAGTTGGCCAACACAAGCACGTAACGGTTTTCCATTTGTTCAACAGGGTACCAACGAACAAGACCAGAGACAATGGTACGAGGTTCTTCTTCTCCAACATCGATTTCTTCAACGTAAAGGGAGTCAGCACCTTCATGCTTCTTACAAGATTTGATGTAACCAACACGAATATCAATACGAGAAACAACAGGTTGATCTGTCTCAACAGGAGCAGCTATTGTTTTTGTTGAATTAAGTAAAGAAAGTACCAAGAGAGTCTTTTTTTTTTTTTTTTTTTTTTTTTTTTTACTTACGAGCAGGCTTCTTTTCAGCCTTCTTCTTCTCCTTCTTGGGCTTACCACCTTCAACAGGGGCAGCAGCCTTTTTGTCTTCAGGCTTCTTTTCGTCCTTCTTGTTTTCTTTTTTGGCCTTCTTATCCTCAGCCTTAGTGTCAGTCTTAGCATCGCCCTTCTTTTCCTTTTTCTATCAAATATAATTAATGACTTGCCTATTCTTTTAGATGATACTTTACAGCAACAACGGGAGCAGCAGGTTCGGGGACGTCATCCAAGTTGATTTCAACCAAGGGGAAATCTTGAGTTAACTCATTGGTCTTAATCACTGTGTTTTGAATAAGATCAAACCAACGTAAGGTGTTGGGAGCAGATTGAACCTTGATGTTTTTCTATACATAATGACCTGTTAATCCTCCCCTCTTGATACGCTATCTATGTCTAGCTTACATGGTGAGCATACAAAAGACCGAAAATGACAATATCAACAATGGTCAAATGGTTGTTGACAAAGTAAGTGTGGTTGCTTAAATGATCATTGATTTTTTTCTATAGAATGTAAGTTGATTTTGTTGTATTCATCCGCTCACCTACTTCAATGTTGGATACAAGTTCCTTCTTACCAACGCCTCTGAGGGATTGGTTTGTGAAAGACAACCATTCCTCAACCTAGAAACGATAAATCTCTATATTTTTATGTACAAATCCACAACTTACTTGAGCTTGTTCGGCCTTATCCTTACCGAGTAATTCAGACTTTGATTGGCTGACAAGTTGCTTGATAATTGTATTAGGAGCATCGTATTTGGCTTCAGCAACCTAAATATATATATATATGTAAGTATACGAACATATCTCTATCACTTCTTACTTCAAAAACAAGTTCGGAACCCGTTTCGATTTGGGCGTCAGACTTAGTCAACTTGTGAACTAAGAGGATTTCATTTCCTGTCTTTTCAGGGATACGAAGTGTGGCAGGCATATTAAAGAAGAAAAGTAAATAAAAGAGAGCGCGCGCGTTTCGAGAAAGAGAAAAAAAATATATTTAGACAGGCAGCGTGGCTTGTTGCGGAAAGTAAATTCTTTATCAGCAGCTAAAAAAAAAGAGAGAAAGAGAAAGAGACATGCTTATCTTGTGAGGCATAGTTGATTCAGTACCTTTATGTATATCTGATCAAGACACAATAACCGCATAATGTGTAAAATCAACTTTTGTACAAAACATGATGTTCTTTGTTTAAAAGACATGGATGCTATTGAACCATTGTTTTGGAAAAAAAAAAAAGAGAGAGAAAGAACACTCTGTAATAAGAGATAACACAGGATGGCCAGAATCTATAGTCTCTCTTTGTTACCATGGCATGCAAATTCATTCTATTTTTTTGAATTGCATGTTTATGCAAACTAACACACAAGTTATTACATTTAGTGACTGCTTTTTTGCTTCCTCTTCAGTGGCTTTTCCATATTACTTTGAAATGGTCCCTTTCTCTCTCTTTTTTGAAACTATAGAAAACGATGGATCTTTTTCATTTACTAGGTGGTGGAGCTCATTTCGATAAAAAGCGCTTCAAGAACGACATAAACCTTTTCGAAGGTGAAAAAGAAGCCAACCAAGTACAAACAAAGAAAAAGAATGCTGCCGTCAACGATCCTACTGTTCGTGATCAACTCTTGCAAGAAATCAACTTTTTCAACAACACACATACCACAGCCATTCCATCTCAAGAGGAAGAAACTACCGAAAAAGAAACAACAAAAAAACTAAAGAAAGGTAATGTGAAAAGAGATCTACTTTTGACTTATGTTTGATTAGCCAAAAAGACAAACACTATTTTCAATAGTGTAGAAGAAGCGAAAGAATTTAGAAAGCAAAACAAGATTAAGGTCTATGGTACAGACGTACCTAATCCTTTCAGAACCTTTGAAGACCTTGCTTCACCTGCTTATCAATTGAGTACAACGCTTTACAACAACTTGATGAAAGCAAAATACAAAACGCCTACACCTGTACAAATGCAGTCTATTCCTATCATGTTGAATGGAAGAGATCTTATGTCTTGTGCCCCTACAGGTTCAGGTAAAACAATGGCTTATTTGTTGCCCATTTTACATGATTTAAAGAAGCCTGAAAAGAAGACAAGCTATCGTGCCTTGATTATTGCACCCACAAGAGAATTGGTTCAACAAATTGCTCGTGAGGCAAACCATCTTTCTCAAGGCACCAAGTTACGTATCAACGTATTGGCTAAATCAACAGCTGCAGACAAATCTCAAACACCAGAATCAAGACAAAAGTTTGGTAAGTGCCTTTTGTATGTATTTTTCCAACTAACCTCTTTGCTAGATATATTGATTACTACACCCTTAAGATTAGTGTACGCTATTAAAGAAAAAGAAGTTGACTTGAGTGCAGTCAAGCACCTTGTGTTGGATGAAGCAGATAAATTATTAGACCAAGGCTTTTTGGATCAAACAGATGAGATCTTTGCTGCTTGTTCATCTACTACCATTCAAAAATCACTTTTTAGCGCCACATTTTCATCTCATGTAGAAGAACTCGCCAATACAGTCATGAAGAACCCTATTCGTCTTGTCATTGGTGCCAAAAATGCTGCTACAGATACCATTAAACAAGAATTGTTATTTACAGGTACAGAAGCAGGCAAAATGATTGCTCTTCGTCAATTGATTCAAAAGGGCATCAAGCCACCTGTGTTGATTTTTGTACAGTCGATTGAACGTGCTAAAGAACTCTTTCATGAACTCATCTTTGACGGTATTAATGTGGAAGTGATTCATTCTGACCGTACCAAAGCTCAGCGTGACAATATCATTGATCAGTTCCGAATGGGTAAGATTTGGGTGTTGATTGCTACTGAATTGATGGCCCGTGGTCTGGATTTCAAAGGTGTCAATCTAGTCATCAATTATGATTTCCCTCAGACAGTGGCTAGTTATATTCACCGTATTGGTCGTACAGGTCGTGCTGGTCGACAAGGTGAAGCAGTCACTTATTATACGCAAGACGATATCCAGTACATGAAGGGTGTGGTGAATGTGATGAAGGATTCTGGCTGTGATATTCCAGATTGGATGCTCAAGATCAAGAGTGCTACACACAATCAAAAAAGAGAATTAAAGAAGGGAATTGATCGTCAACAGATTGATTCTACCTCAAAATATGACAAGTATCAACAAAACAAGAAAAAGTAAGTAAGCACATCCATAAGCCATTGCTAATCAATCTATTCTAGGGAAATGATTGAAGCATCAAAGAAGCGTAAAAGAGCAGCAAAAGAAAATGAAAAGAAAGCCAAAAAAGAAAAGAAAGATGCTTAATTCACTATGTACATAATAAAAAAGATCTTTCACATATGACTATTGTTAGTACATATCACAAGTGTTTCTTTGCTCAACTCATCAAGCAATTGAAGTTGTTTCTTATTAAGCCTGAGAGGTATTCATTGTAAAGAAAGATGTCTCTAATTAGAATTGGTTGAAGCCTGGAAAATAGACATTTCATCAAGTCGATGCCTCTGTAGAGCACATGAATGAGATACAAACAACTCAATACTTGACTCATTTGTATCCAGTACAAAGGAGCGGTAACATAGATGTTATCTAAAACTTTTTATAGCATATGTTAATGGTAGACACCACTCTGACTAGAAATCTGAAAAGCAATGGCTCAGTCTTTGTAAAAAGGCGCATAACATGAAAACTTTTATTTGAAAAAAAAAGTTATTTCTTTACATAACATTTTTCTTATTATTAGGACCTTAGAGTGAATGAACAGTATAAAGAGCAACTTGATAAACCGACGCATTTGGCACCTCAAACAGAACAAGACATCTTGGAGGCAAGCAGAAGACCAACTTAAAAAGAGCCACCTGTACGCATATGGCATGCTCCGACCACCCTCGAACTAAGGAGTTCGAGAACAGCCAAAGAAATCAAGAAGGGCTACCATTGAGAACAGGCCCAATGTAAAATCCCATACACAATTGCTTATGCTGGGCAACATAGCCTGCCGGCAGAATCCTCAACAGCACTTCATCCCGAACGCGAGCATATTCCTACATAAGCAAGACAGCTCTCTGCCACTGCGCACAGAAAAGAAGAGTAGCTAAAAAATAAAAATAGAAAAAGGAATGAGTTTTGTTCTTTTCATATTAATCTATTACCTATTTAAATTCTCCAGTTGAGCCTATATGCGCATATGTGGCATGTTTTGACCACGCTCAAACAAAGAAGGTCGATGACCGGCGACGCGACTAAGAAATAAGAGCAGCCAAAGAAATCAAGAAGGGCTACCATTGAGAACAGGTTGGGCAGCATAGACTGCCGGCAGAATCTTCAACAGCACTTCATCCCGAACGCGAGCATGTTCCTATATAAGCAAGAACAGCTCACTGCCACTGCGCAATAGGCATATAAAATAGAATGAAGGGTAAAAAAAAGGAGAAAAATAAATAGGGCTAATCTTTGTTGGCGTTGTGAGTATGACGTATCTTGTCAGTTGACTTATCTGAAATCCAAGAGGATCACCTCACTGCTTATCATCCAAAAAGCATTCCGTATAAAGCAACTTATTTAAGCAATTAGTCCAAATATTACATACAACAAATGTCGTACAGATTTCTCCCTTTTCTTTTTCACTTTCACGTGAAATAATCAATTACTGCGAAAGACATAATATACAAATACAGAGGGTCTTCTTGCTTCAATAAAGATGGCTATTTTTTTTCTGATTAATTGGATCATAGAATAGTTAAAGAGTTGTGCATTTGACAAGGAATGATGTTCTCTTGGTCTTTTTCTTTTGCACATCAAAATTCCTTAAAGCAGTAATTTTAAAACAACTGCGTGCGTAGTACAAACAGCAAACAGCAAACATCAAACAGCAAACATAAAACATCAAACATCACATAAATACTATATGGCCTGACTTACAAGGCCGAAGAGAAAGAGGAAGAGCATGAATAAAAGCATGAATAAGAGCATAAAGAAGATATCAACAGTTTATTGTAAGAAAAATAGCGATAACCAGAAGGCAATAATGATCCCGTATTCAAACGCATTTTGTATAGTAGGTAGGCTTCTATAGTCTATGGTAACACCTGGATTACCTGAAACTGTAAAATGTTTGTGTACCTTGACATTCACTCTCAAGTGGGAACAAACAACTTTGCATTTCCCCTATATATTCTACTGGTTCTAAGTCTTATTACTTCTCCCATATTTTATTTCCATGTCTACTTTCCAACAAAACAATAGCAACAACATTATTAGCAACAGCATTATTAGCATCAACATTGATACTCAAAGGCCATCTAGTATGCTTTATCTTGAGTCTCTTTGGAAAGATGTTTGCATTATTCTTACTGCTATTCTTCATAGGCCCCACTAGTTCTACAGGCTCAACATTGTCTGAACCTAAAGTCAAGAGAAGAAGATTGATCAACTATTTGTCAGGAGAAGGTCAAAAATACTGGGGTGAAGGCGAGAATGTAAGCAAGAATAAATTTGACACAAGTGATGATAATTTGATCTATAGTTGATTGTAAATGACATGAATGTCACAAGAATCCTTAAGAAATTCAGATCACGAAACATCATGGAAGCAGAAGAAAAAGCACTTTTGAACGATGTTAGAGTCTTGTGTTGTGAACACATATGAATTCATATGCATAGATCAATAAATGATGATCATGGCAAAAGACCAGATCACATCTATGGCAATTTCAATGGATCTATAGTCACTGACATTCACTCATTCTACAAGAAGTACTACATCATCCTCATAGTCAGAGATTATGAACCTAGTGACTCTGTTATTATTAATGGCACTCATAAAGTGACAGTTAGAGCTGATAAATACATTAGCATTGGCATTTGACAAATATGTAATAGTTTATTCAAGTTCAAGTCAGATCATGCACTATTGACTGAGCTGACAACTTCTTCTAAAGGCATTTCTCTTAACTACTCCTGATCTAACAAATCAATCCGTAGTCAAGAAGCTAACCCAAAACAATATTTTGACCGAGAAGAAAAAGTATAAATACCTCGACATTTTATAATATTTTTTTCTTTCTTTTGGGGAAATAAAAGCCTATACAAGTTCTAGCGGACTTTCTCTGTGCTATTACCTTTTCTCTTATTTTATGCCTATTCTCTCTTCATCTCACAACAGAGGACTCAAAGGATCCCCTTGTCGAAGTCCCCATCGTTGTTGTGCTGTGTTTGTTGTAATATAACCATTCACATTGAAGTGAATATGTGTGTTGAAAAGGAGGGTGGTGAGGCTATGAATTAGAGTAGAAGGAATGTTAAAAGCATGCATGATTTGTGTAAGATATTCGGAATGGGCCCGATCATAAGCTTTCTCCTGATCTAAGAGCAAACCAATGGATTCTGATTTGTTGTAAGCGGCTATAGCTTGGACATTGTATAGTATTTGGCCATTTTCAGCAATAAAACGTCCAGGAATAAAACCCATTTAGTGAGGAGAAATACACTTGGAGAAATGTGGCATAAGTCTTGTATTAATTAATTTAGTGAATATTTTGGCATCGGTGTTGATAAGAGAGATGGGGCGCTAGTTTTGCAAATCAGTCAAATCTTCTTTTTTGGACAATAGTACCCTAAGGCTACTTGGTTTTTAATATTTGAAGATAAGATTTTAGAAGTGTTATTTATGAATGCAAGTAGATTAGGATCTATATAATTAATGTATCGTTTTCTCGCAAGTATATATGCAAACACGATGCAATCTTGGTATCAGTTAGATCCTTGGTTTTTCTTTACTAGGACGAAATTCTGGATTCACCTTCTCTTTTAGTCTGGAATTGTGCTGTATTTGCAGTATGGTGCATGATGTATTTCATGCAATAAGTTGGTCAGTTGTTTCTGAGAATTCAGTCTTTTGGGATATTACTCTATCATAACTCTTCATGACATAGCAAGTACACAATAAAAACAAATAATCAAAAGAAAGAGAAAAGTTACAATAGAAATTGAGCACTTAAGCTATCGTTTGATATTATTGTCAAGCTAAGTCTTCAATGAAAGAGGGGCTTTTAAATCTCTACAGCTTTCTTTTTTTTATTGTTTCTGTACGATAAGTGGCTTTTCATGTGTACCTATAACAACTTACTTAAAGTACCTTACAACATCCATTTTTAAAATACTTTTTTTTGTTCTTATTAAAGATCGTCGTACTAAACATATCTTTCCTGTGCTAAAGTACTTTTTTTTTCTCACAAGCAATCAAGTCAGCGTTCCGAAAAGTTGCATTAAACTTGTTTGAGAACAATCAAATTGAAGCACATCCCTTTTTTTTCTTCACCACACATACATACACATAGACATATATAGTAGAAAATCCTTATTGTTGACTCCTTTCTATTCAAGGTATTGTGGTCATTGAATAACTCTCTACAAAAGACAATGAAATTGCAGTAGTCTTTTGTTTTATCATAACCATGCATGAGGTTGTGGAACTCAAAAAGATATGATATATTTTCAATAATGAAACAACCTTTGTCTATAAGAATAGAATGGTTCATGAAACAATATTCTCGAGTATTTTTATTTCATGTAGTTTAATAGTCGATCTTCATAACTGTCTTAAATTCAGACTTACCTCCCTTTGATTTACTCTCCCTTTTATCATATCTCACTACAGAAGCAAAAGATATCGATCGAAAAGAAATAAAAAGAAAAGAAAATAAGAAAGACATAACATCACATTTAACAATAAAATTTTACCGAGAATGAAAGATGTCAATAAATATAAACATACTGTGCCTGTACTCGAGACAATGACCAAAAATGGATGATATTCTCCTCTGAAGCATGTATTGTACCTTTATTTTCTAATACAAAAACACACATCTCCTTTTTGTTAGAAATAACAAAGAAATGATTTTTACAGAATGCATCATCAGATAATGGACTAAAATTGTTGTTTTGTTAGAAACACTATAAATATCCTGAACTTTTTCTATATCTTTCTTCATTACTCTTTCCTTTTTATCTGCATTTTCTACATTCATTCTAAAAAACATGATCACACCAGCTGCAGAAAACCCTAATATCAAAGTCAATGAACCTGCACCTTCTCCAGTTGGCTTCAAGAATGTGCCTGCTGTGGATTCCGTCAAGACACTTACGCTTGAAGGTGAAATCCCTTTTTGGGTTCAAGGTGTCATGTATCGATCAGGTAGGATCATTCTTTTATTTTTACAGACACATATCAATTATTTTTATTAGGTTCCGGTCGTTACAATGTCTTGTTAGATAACGGCGATACTTTCCACATTGGTCATCCTTTTGATGGTCTTGCTATGCTTCACCGGTTTGAAGTCGATGGCGAAACCCAGACTGTCAAATACAATTCTCGCCACACGTCTCATGGTGTTGAGCGCCGCATTGGACAACGTGACCCTACCCTTTTGACTTTTGGCCCTGATCCTTGCAAGACTATTTTTGGTCGAATGCAAACTGTTTATCACCATATTTCTAAATTTGGTATCAATGCTGCCTTACAAGAAGAGGATGCCGAATTCGATATGGTCAATGTTACAATCACCCCTAATTTCCCTTTAGGTTCTGCTTTGGAAAAAGAAACGGGTGTAAAGCGTGGTGAAGCTTTGGTTGTTAAAAGAGATGCAAATACTTTACAAGTGGTTGATACCGAATCTTTGAGTAAGTGGTTTTATGCAAAGATAATAAACTCATGTTCAGTAGAACCTCTCAAGATGTTTACTTATGGCCATATCAGTAAAAAACTTCAAGGTCAATTATGTGCTTCACATCATCAGTACGATGAAGAAACAGATGAATTTGTGAATTTCATGGTCAACCTGGGTCCTTTTCCTACTTTTCAAACATTTACCCTTGGTCCTTATTTGCCTTCTGCTTCTGGTAAGAAAGAAGAACAAATGCCTGCTCCTGAACCAAGGCTTCACCAACCTATCTGGCGCCACTTGGGAGCTTGGAAGACATTGGAAGCCTTGAAACCCTCTTATATTCACTCTTTTAGCATGACAAAAAATTACATTATTATTCCTAACTTCCCATACTATTACTCCTTTGGTGGTCTTTCTGCCATTTATTACTCAAGCGCCTACCAAACTTTTACTGGGACGAAACAAGACATACCTTGTTCCATGTCGTTGATCGCCATACAGGTAACCATGTAGCTACTTATGAAGCAGATCCTTGCTTTTCTTTCCATACTGCAAATGCCTGGGATGAAGAAGTTCAACTTCCCGGTGGCCGTAAAGAACGCGTGATCTATATGGACTACTGCATGTATGAAAACACCGATATTGTGGACGCCAGTTTTGAATTGGGCAAAACACCCACTGGCAAACTTGACTTGGACCTTGTTCAGCCTGCTCGTTTCCGATTTGACAAGAACACAGACCATAAGAAAGAACATCAGATTGCACCTTCTCAGTTCCGTCGATACCGTCTTGGTCAAGTCCCTGTTGCCAAACCTGATGCTAAACCATGGACTCCTTCTTGGTCAGAAGCTTTCAATTTCTCTAAATTTGTTCAGTTCAATAAGCGTCGTGTGGCTTCCTATACAGTCATTGGTCATGATCTTGAGATGCCTCGCTTTAATCCTCGTTATAATCTCAAACCATATCAATACTGTTGGGGTGTTTGTGAGTCTCGTCATGCACCTTCCTATGCCTCTGGATCCGTTGTAAATGGTCTTATCAAGCTGGACTTGAACCATCCTTACTCAGGTCCTAATACAGACGAACAAAGCAACGCCAAAATCTGGGACGAACCTGGCTGTTCTTGTGCAGAGCCTATCTTTATTCCTCATCCTAATGCTACTGCAGAAGACGATGGTGTGATTATGTCGATTGTCAACACGACGCTCAAGAATGGTAGTGAATCTTGCTTCCTTTTGATTTTGGATGCAGCAACTATGCAAGAACTTGCTAGAGCTACTTTGGGCAGTTTTAATGCAGTAACATTGCATGCGAGTTTCGTAGACAAGCATGGAAGAGGCATTGCAGTCAATTAGTTGTTTATTTCAATAAATTCTTTGGTGAATCTTTCCCATCTGTACCAAGCCAATGCTTGTATTAAGCAATCACTTAGATCATCTTTCTTTTTAGCTTGCTCGTACATTGTCTTGAATTCTTGGTTGCATTGCACAGTCGTGTTTGTATCGAGCCATTTTTGAACTAATAAAGCACTTGCTTGTTTCTTTTGATAATAGCCCTGCTTGATTTTAAGAAATCGAGCTGGATTTTCAGCAACAATGGCATCTAATTCAAGTTGCCAAGCACGGTCTACAGATTGTCTCGGAATAGGCATCATTTGGATATCTCGCTGAATGGATTCGGTGGCTTCATAAAGACCACACCATAAAATAGCTTCCACACAATTGACGCGTAATGTATTCTCAAGCACAGCATGAGCACCCCCTGTACGTGCTCTCTGCTGTTCCACAAGTACTTTATCTACTGTCTTGAGATTCTTGATCACGTTCTGATCGATAAATTCTCGAATGATGGGTGCCACAACAGACGGATGGAAAGAAGGTAAATCAAGATCGATCTTGGCCCAGTCTAGCACATTAGCCTCATGATCGAGGTGACAATAGGCCAAGTTTCGATACCCTAGATCAAATGAGAGAACAGATCGTGTTGGTGTTGAGGTTGTTGTAAAGTGATGGGACAATCGATCAATGATCTCGGGTTTATTACCACTGGAAGCAACACCACTCAAGATAGCAACCGACTTGAGTTGAGGTACGGTATACTTTTTCAAACACTCGCTACTAAAACTACGTTTAAATAGAAACATAAAAGAGAAAGGTACAAAAATTGAATGTATTTATTTTCAAGAGAGCAAATAAAAATAAACAACTTAGAAAACGAGAGCAGCACCCTTGGTCTTCTTGTCACCACCCAATTCGAAGTGCTTACATCTCTTGATGGCGAGTTGCATCTTGTACTTACAGGCTGTTAAAAAGGTTAGTACATCTCTGTGTCTTTCTATTCTCTGTTTCTGGTATACTTTACCGGTACATTCAAGACGAAGGACAATCTTCTTGGTAGTCTTGGCCTTCTTGTGGAAAACGGGCTTGGTTTGACCACCATAACCGGATTGCTTACGGTCATAACGTCTCTTACCTTGGGCGAAGAGAGAAGCCTTACCAGCCTTGTATTGAGTGACCTTGTGGGGAGTGTGCTTTCTGCACTTGGAACCCTTACAGTAGGTGTTTCTGGTCTTGGAATGTTGACCTATCCATCCATTAGTCATCTTTCGATATACATCGATTCAAGTTGTGTTGTTGCATTATCTATCTAAAATGAATGGATGGATGGATTTGCTTACCATTGTTAAATTCACACAGAAAAGAAGAGAGGGAGCTCGTAAGTTGGCGTGTGATTCGAACTCTTTCTTTCCCCCTGCCACTCTGCATTCAAATCCCGGAACTGGCTATAAACTCCGCTTTTTTTTTTTCAGTCGAACATGAAAGACATCCGAGTCATAACGACTTTAGTTAATAACGTTTCAAATTCTATCTTGTCATACGGGTATGATGTATAGTAGAAATCTAGATATTAAATAATTCAGAAAGAACAAACAGCAACATTTGGCCTGAAAAGAATGATCTAAGCTGATAAAGCTTGGACTAAATTTGCACTCTCAAGCATAGCTTCGCTGCACAATACTCAGTCCTTTCTTACAAAAGAAGCGATGAATTGGGTGTTATAAGCGGAAAGTTTAATGACGATATGAGAAAAACATTGAATAATTCAATCCAAGGCGAGTTTATTATATTTATAAAGTAGGCTGCCGTGCTTCCAAGTCTTGATCTGAAGTAGACAAGGCAACATCCCAATAGTTTTCCACATTCCATTTGCCCAGCTCTTCTCTGGCCATCTTTTCACTTTCAAATGAACGCCATGTAAACTTCTTAAATGACTTGGTCTTCACTGGACCAGACCAGACTAAATAACATTTGTTTTCTTCACCTTCTTTTAAAGCATAAGGATTGTTTTCATCAATGTCCATTGCAGTCTCATCTGCTTGAAGGTTTTTGGGAGGTGGCAAATCATTCCAGTCAATACGTCTTAGCATAAGTCGTTTGTATAGCTTAATTGCCTTTGGACCGCCTTCTACAATCACAATATTACATTTGGGATGAACAATAACGATGCCTGTCAATTCATGTTGTTGAGCGTTCTTTTCAATCTTGAATCTTAATTTAGGATGAGAGCAATGTTTAATTCTATGGACATTAGTCACTATAACATGGTTGTTGTATGTACTTACTTGAACACAGCAACTTCATTAGCAGCTTTTTGATCTTCTCTGATTTTAGCTGTGATCTTGGCTCTTCTTTCTTCAGGAGACAATTTACGTTGCTCGTTAGCTTTTTCATGCATCTTTTGTCGAAGTTCCATTTCTTTTCTAACGCGGGCTTCAATCTTTGTAGGGTCTTGAATCTGCTCGTCACCGAGTACTTTCATAAGATTACTGATTTTAACTATAGAACCAATAAGTTGCAATGTTCATCCAAAATACACAATCTACCTTTGGGTGCATCGGGTTCAATCAAACCCAGTCTGATCTTATCACGCTTATCTTTCAAAGCTTCCGCTCTTCTTTGTCTTCTCATCTTCTTACGTTCTTTCTTGGTCAACATCAATGATCTGACAATAGGTGGTGCATTGGCCTCACTAGGTGGTTGAACGGGTACAGGATGATGAACGTACATTGTAACCAATGTGTCCAATTTATCAGGGTCAATCTCATTCTCATTCAAATCGTCATACGTTTTGTTAGCTAAAAAGGGAGCATCCCACCATTCAACAGCAGGAGGTGGTTCTCGCTTTATCACTTTATCAGACACATCGAGTTCAGTCTGCATACCAGCTTTCTTGACACTCTCTGCAATGGCTTGCTTCATTTTCTCCAATTGTGTCTTGGCTCTTTCTTGATTAGCAATATCAATATATTTGCCCGGTTGAACAAACTTAAGTTGGCGCGAACGACGTGATTTAGGTGCTACTTTTACTTCCATGGTGGGGTCAAAATAAGGATTTTTGGTAGGATCTGTGAAATCAGAAGGTACATCATCTAATAACTTGAGTGGTTTCTTTTCTACTGCTGCTGGTATGTCTTTGGTTGCTGATGTCTTTTGCTTTGAACGTTGAAGAGCTTTTGTATTCACAGTTTCTCTTCGGGGTATGATGCCTTTATCCAGCATGGCTTTCAAGTCAATTTGACCTGCGTCGTTCAAAGGAAGAGCAGGCGGTTTTGTTTCATTTGTGCGCAATGATGGTGATCCAGTGGGACGTACCTATCCATAGTCAGTATTTATCAAGTGAATTTTATGTACATACATTTATGCCACCAGGTGTGCCAGAAAGTCGTGTCTTTGCTTCAGCAATACGACGTTGCAATTCAACTAAATTTAATCCTCCACCCGTTCCAGCTGGTGGTGGCGCAGGAATAGGTGTCACTTTCTTACCCGAGCGACCCTTTTGTGAGGACCTGCTACTACTACTAGAAGAAGGTGGAGGTGGAGCTGGTCTTTGTGAAGACGAAGAAGAGGAGGAAGAAGAAGGTCTTTTTGGTGGTCTTTGTTGTTCTTGTGGCGGCTCGCTCTTTTTGTTATTGAATTTGGCTAATTTTGCCAATATTTCGGCCCTTTTGGCATCAATAACAGACTACGATAGTATGAGTATACAGATAAACAAATCCATGTATTACTTGCCTGTTTAGAATCCATCTTAGAGAAAAGAGAAAAAGAAAAAGAGCGAAAAAAGCAAATTACGCGACATAATTTGAGATTCAGATAGAAAAAGCCACTCTCTGATACGTCACAAAAGTATATTTATTTATTAAAAGGGATGTTTGTTGTTGTCATGATAACGAATAGGAGGCATCAATGGTTCAGTTGAATGTAATGTATTTTTCTTATAGAAAATGGCTGGTGAAGGTGGAGAAGTGGGCGAGAACATTTTGTCAAAGTGTTTCCAAATATAGTTTTTGCATTGATTTGCATTTGGTAGATCCTGAATCATTTGAGTAATAACTGGTTGTGTAAGTCCATAATAATCAGGACCAGAAGCTATGCATCTCTTAGTATCGTACTGGATTGACTGTAACTTACCAGTGCCTGAGTAAGGATTATTTCTAATCTCATTAGCACGTCTTACAATGATAGTCCATACTTCTGTAGCTGAATTTCCAATGATGGTATGATGAGGACAATCTTCTGCGATGATTTGAAACTAGGAACAAGTTTGACTTTTTTTTTTTTTTTTTGCTGTCTATAGTAGCTTACCTTAGGTCCTGCATGACCATTATCTTCAATAGAACAAACGTAGGTTGTATTTCCCGAGGGATTGACTATACTGAGATAGGTTCTGTTCGTAAGTTAATACAATGTTCTCATTTGAAAGGATCTACAATACCTGCCTGCTTATTTTATATCCAATTGGCCAAATGTACTGCTGATTGTGATAGCTAGGTAAAAGTGATATTTTTCCTAATGAATGTAGAGTCAAGATGCCCATTCGAATGGGTAGCTTAACAGACGGTGTTTGTTTAGTCGTATGATGAACAAGTGACTCTGTAGCAAGTTTCTTTTGCGGCTTTTCATTCATGCTATCACGTGCCTCTGGTGGTGTTGAAAGGACAGGTATATAATTGATTTCAGTTTTACCAGAGTAAGCAAGTAACTTATCCATTAAGATGCTATATAAAGATGAAGTGAATACAAGGAACACACATGTCATACATTACTTCTTCTCTTTAGACATCATCATCAATCGTTTTTTTACACGTTTCAGCTCTTTATTGAGTGCTTCGTTTTGCTGAAAATTGAAAGAATAAGTGCCAAAGCATAATAGCTAAGTGCTTACCAAAGTAAGCTTATTGTTTCTCTTTAGCAATGTGTCATTATCATCGTCTTGAGAATATCTCTTTTGCTTTCTCGCTTGCATCATTTTTTTTAATCAAAGAGAGAAAAGAAAAAGAAAAGAAAAGAAAAGGGGAAAAGAGTCTTTCTTTTATTTTTCTGTTTGTATACTGCAAGTGACGTAAACAAAAAAGAACCTGTTCTTCATCTATCTATTCCATGTACTACTTTGGACAATACAAATATAACCATACAGTGTCTAAAAACGACCGTCACATGGTATTGTGCTGTTCAATTATACCAGCTATTTATCAACCCCTTTTTTAAGCTATTGGGATCTACATTCCTCTTTTTCTCTCTCTCTTTTTATTTAAATTATCAGCGACACTGTTAGATGGTATAAGCTTGCATTGTTTGACTGAAGCATCAAATCACAAAAATGTCAGAATTAAAAGAAAGTTTAAATCCAGAGTATTAAATCAAACCGATTGTTTCGTTTTTTTTTTTTTTTTTTTTTTTTTTTTTTTTTTTTTTTTTTTTTGTAATACAGGAACAAATACAAGTAGGGTAACTGACATGACAGCTTTTTTTCTGATACAAAATTGCTACTTTGGTGTTTGATAGACATTCTATTGATCCATTAGACAATTCAGAAACAGAATTGTTGTTTAGAATCAAAAGCCAGCTGGGAGCAGATTAATATATTTCAAAAGTGAAAGAAACAACATGAATTGGCTCCGTCTTGGTCGAAAGAAAAGTGTTGACTAATCTCGACATGCCAATCAATGAAGAAAAGAAGGGGTTTGTCTATGTAATTTGAACAAATCGATATATTAAAAATATACATGCTTTGTAACTATTACATAACTTGTGATTCTATTTAGCATACCTAGTATGCTTTTGATCCTCAATTTATGCCTTTTTCGAGTATCAAGTTTATTATGTAATCTTAGTTTATAAACTAACTTTCTTAACAGCTCATTTTTAAATTAAATTGATAGGCATAACACTAGTGGTGGATTGGTAGTCCAGTGTTTTTAAGATAAACCATCATTTCTGCCTTCTAGTCCCCCTTTTTTTTTGAGTTTCTTATGTTTGAGCACACATAAAATAACGCATTTATGCAAGTCTTGAAAAAGTCAAAAAATCGTCATTTTGGCCTTATAATCCCCTGAAGAAATCTTCAATTTTCATTATTTTTCAATTTGTGGACGATAGAGACGTTTTAGATATAATATGTCTCGATACGAAATGTTTCTAGGCTCATAAAATACATTTAAAGGGTTAGATTTGCAAAAGTACTACAGAAAGTGTACGCTACAGCTCAACAACAGATAATACATTTCCTAGAGATAACTCATTATCATGGTATTTAGCATGCTGCGTTTTTTATACCATCTAATACGTCGTACTTATATCTACCAGTTTCGCTAATACAATTTCTTGATAGTTCTTCGTTTTTAAACACCTTTAATCCATTATTTCTCTTGAATTTCTAAAAAAAAATTTTTTTTGTATTGAATGAAATTTTATTTATAAAAATAAAAACATTGGGGGGGGATGGTCAAGTGTACACAGAGTGAAGTGACTTGCCATATAATTGTCATTTTGTATTTTCTATTAATCAGCTTTCTTCTTCATTTTTGAGATCTTTAATGTTTCTTTGGTAATCTTTCTGGAAATTTTTTCAGGGTCAAAAGGCGCCTCATGGAATTTAAACGCAGACTTTTTTTAAGGGACACTTTACACTTATGCCAAAGTTTAAAGTATGTCAACTTTTTTTTTATTTCACTTTACATACACAGTAAATCCATTTTCAGAATAAAGCTACACAAAGAGATATCTGAGTCGATTGTATAAATCATGACTGATAACTTTCTTCTTCTTGGATATTATAAGCTGGTTGATCTTTTTGATAGCGTCGGTCAGCTTTAATTCTTTTTGTAAGGTAGCTCTTTTTAAAGCAATTTATAATAGCATTGACTCAATCATTGTATTCCGCTGCCGAAATAGGATTATAGATTACTAATAGACATTCAAATGCATCTGAAAATAGCCGTAGTGACCCTAGCTATTGACTCACACTTATGCTACAAGCCAATTTCTAAGGCTTACTAGTGATTAGGTAATGCAGTGGCTTAGATTTCGCTACCAATTAGGGACATGACTCATTTTTCTATTTTTTTTCATAAACCAACTGTCCTTGCGCGTTTATTTTTCTGCACCTTTCTTTTTCTTACTTCTCTATCCAAATGAGTTTGACACTTAACTCAAAGAATGTTTCTGTAGGCACCTTGGCTATTATCGCTAGTCAGCCCGAGTTAAAGAACAGTATTGCTGTTCAAACTGGTTCTGAAACCACTTTTAAGACTGACAGCGTTAACTTGCGTACAGGTCCCAACGTTATCCGCTACATTATCCGTTCCAACAACCTTTTGGATGAGACCAATGTCAACAACCAAGTCGCCGCTCATGTTTTGGATTTGGCCCTTGCCGGCAACGTTGACGCTTTAAAGGCTCGTATTGCCAGCAAGTCTACCACATTCTTGACTGGCTCTGAACCCACTGTTGCTGACTATGTTGCTTGGTGTCTCTTGAGAAAGGAAAACGAAAGTGAATATACCAAGGCTGTTGAAGCCACACCTGCCGCTCAAGAAGCTCTTAAATGGGCTTCTGAATTAGCCACTAGCATTCCTGAAGTCGCTATTCCCGACATTCCCGGTTCCGGATCTGATCCCTCTACCAACCCAGTCGATACTTTTAGAAATCTGATTGCTGTCCAAATTGCTCAAATTGGTAACCTTGATCCTGTTATTGTTTATCAAGCCATTGACAACCCTCGTTCTCTTGAAAATGGTGATTTGGCCATTGCTTTGCCTCGTCTTCGTGTCAAGGGTAACCCTGCTGCTATTGCCAAGGAATGGGCTTCTTCTTTTGTCACTAATGATTACATTACTGAAGCCTCTTCTGCTGGTCCTTTCTTGAACTTCCGTATTAACAAGGCTATTATGGTCAAGTTGACCTTGAACCAAGTCTCTGAAAAGGCCGAAAAGTATGGTTACAACAGCTCTGGTGAAAACAAGACTGTTATTGTTGAATTTTCTTCTCCCAACATTGCTAAACCTTTCCATGCTGGTCATCTTCGTTCTACTATCATTGGTGCTTTCCTTGCTAATGTTTACACTGCTAATGGTTGGAAGACTATTACCATGAACTATTTAGGTGATTGGGGTAAACAATATGGTAAGTAAAAAAAAAAAAAAAAAAAAAAAAAAAAGAGAGAGATGAGGTATTTATTCGTGTTTTTGTTAGGTCTTTTGGCTGTTGGTTTCGCCAAATATGGTTCTGAAGAAAAGCTTGTTGCTGATCCTATCAAGCATTTGTACGACGTATATGTCCAAATCAATTCAGATGCTACAGAAGAGCCTACTATTCACGATGAAGCTCGTGCTTACTTTAAGAAGATGGAAGATGGTGATGAAGAAGCTCTTGCTTTATGGCGCCGTTTCAGAGACTTGTCTATTGTCAAATATAGAGACATTTATGCTCGTCTTAACATCAGTTTTGATGTTTATTCTGGTGAATCCCAAGTTGGTGAAGGTATGGCCAAGGCCATGAAGATGCTTGAAGAATGCAACTTGTTGGAAGATTCAGAAGGTGCCAAGATCATCAACATGGAAAAGTACAAGCTCGGTAGTACTGTTGTTCAAAAGAAGGATGGTACCACTCTTTACTTGACCCGTGATATTGGTGCTGCCAGTGAACGTTATGAAAAATACAAGTTTGACAAGATGATTTACGTTGTTGCCTCTCAACAAGATCTTCATTTGAAGCAACTCTTTAAGACCTTAGAAATGCTCAACTTTGAATGGGCCAGCAAGCTTGAACACGTCAACTTTGGTATGGTCTTGGGTATGTCTACTCGTAAGGGTACTGTTGTCTTCTTGGAAGACATCTTGGATGAAGCCAAGGAAACCATGCACGAAGTCATGCGTAAGAACGAAGCCAAATATGCTGAAATCGATGATCCTGAAAGAGTTGCTGATGAAATTGGTATCTCTGCTGTCAAGATCCAAGATAACTCTGCTCGTCGTATCAAGAACTACGAATTCAACATGGCCCGTATGTGTACTTTTGAAGGTGATACCGGACCTTACATTCAATATGCTCATGCTCGTCTTGCTTCTGTTGAACGTAAGAGTGGTCTTCAAGTCAACCATAAGGCTGATTTGAGCTTGTTGACTGAACCTCAAGCCATTGATGTCATTCGCACTGTTTCTCAATACCCTGATCTCATCAAGAGCTTGCTTACTGCCTATGAGCCTTGTAACGTCGTCACTTATGCTTTTAAGTTGTCCCATGATATTTCTGCTTGTTTCGAAAACCTTTGGGTTAGAGGTGCTGAACCTGCTGTTGCTGATGCCCGTTTGCTCATGTATTGGTCTGCTCGTATTACGCTTGGTAACGCCATGCGTATGTTGGGTTTGAGACCTTTGGAGCGTATGTAAATTTTCTCTTCTTGTTCATTTTAATAGTTTGTATTATTTCTTGTATAATTTTAATAAAACTGTAGAAATCTTGTGATTTTTTAAACAGATCGAGTTGTACACAGCTTGTCTTTAAGACTATTGTTAGATAGAGACATAATGAACAGAAAGGAAACTCAAGATTTTGTCCTGTTATTTGTCTAAACTGTTTATTTATAATCATTATATTTCTAGAGATCCTTGACCATGATTTCATCGGTGTCTTCTTTGTTCCCAACTTTAAAAATATGAGTACCAACTTTACGGAAACCTTGACTTTGGTAGAATTTGATAGCTGTAGGATTGAATTCCCAAACACCAAGCCACATTGTCTTTTTGTTCAATTCTTTTGCTTTAGACAAGCACTCAGCCAGCAGCTTCTTTCCGACACCCTTTCCAGCACAATGTTTCGCAACATAGATTCGTTTCAATTCAATTGCTTCTGGGTCATCAATAAAGTCATACACATCCTTAGACTGTTTTAATTGACAAAAAGCGATGGGTGTGTTGTCTTGATCAAATGCCATGTATGTATACATTGTTGGGTCGTTTAACTCCTCTGTTTGTATTTCAGGTGTATATGTTGATTTAAGAAAGGCCTCGAGTTCTTCAGGAGGATTATGGTCAGCAAACGTTTCTAAAAAAAGCTTTCCAGCAAGTTCTGAGAGAGTTTTAGCATAGCTAACATCGACATTTAAAATTTTGATATCCATATTAAATTTGTAATTAAAAGTAAATAGAGGATTGGCAGGGTATTTATATGCAAATTGAAAAGACACCGGAGTTTAGAGAGCGTCTTGATCCGTTTACTTTTGATTGGTGAACTATAAATTTATAAAAAGAAACTATACCACTAGAGATAATCAAAACCAGTTCTACTGCTTTCAACAGTAAATGATATAGTAAAAGATAGATGGCATCGATTTTTTTCTAGGACTCTTTTTTGATAAGTTTTGAAAAAATATGCTAGAGCCAATAAATTTGTTCCGGACCTCGGTGTTGACAGCTTTATTTACTTAAAATGACTTGTATTACATAAAGTTTTAGAAAAGGTCCGAGCTCTCGGAAGATGTAAATCAAAAAAAAAGTCTTTTTAGAAGATAAGGAAGAAACCTTTCATCATTGCCAGTTTGAGTAATCTACGGCGCACTTAAGTGATTGTATTACTCGAATGTCTGCATTGTGTATATTTCTTTTTTATACTCAGTTACTTTATAGCTTACTACAAATTATTGCATTAAACAGTTTATTAGTTTTAGGAGAAAAAAACTTTGTCTAATGCTTGTTTTGCTTCATCAGAAATGTCTTGAATTGGAGAAGGACAGAAGCCAATTGGAACATCTTTCTTGCGCAAGATATATTTGATACTTTGGATCATTCCAGCTTCTTCCAAAAGTTTGATTCCAGGGGCAATACTTTCCATAATGCTTTTGGCTTGTTCGATTTCGTTCTTGAGCAAATGATCAACCACAAACTTCATTTGATCTGGATAAATGTTTCCAGCAATTGAAGTGATACCAGTGTATCCGTGTGTTGTAAATGCTTCAATAAAAGTTGAGTCGCTTCCCGAAAAGAAACTATATGTATCAACATTGTCTAAAGTAGCTTTCATTTTTCTCACATTTTCTGGACTTCCAGCTTCTTTTTGGCCATAGATATTACCAACTGTTTTAGCAATGCGAGCAAATGTCTCTGGTTCTAGGCTGAATCCATTTCGACGAGGGTTGTTATAAAGAAACAAGGGAAGTTCTTTGACACTGTCTGCAACTTCTTTCACGTACAACTCAGCTTCTTTCTGTGAAGGGATACGATAGGGCGGGAAACCTAGCATGATGCCCGAGAATCCAGCTTCTTTGGCAGCAAGTGCTAATTCTTTTGCATCTTCAGTCTTGAATGTAGCAACACCTGCATAAAGTTTGCATTTTCCAGAAACTGTTGTTGAAACCAAATCATAAAGCTGTTTGCGTTCTGCAATTGTCATGCAGTGTTGTTCCCCTGTTGTGCCACTGACAAGTAAACCAGGCACATTTTGATTCAGGTAGTATTTGACTACAGCTGGAACAGACGCTATATCCAAATTACCGGCCTTGGTAAATGGCGTAACCATAGCGACAGAGTAAGGAATAAATCGAGCCATCGTATAAAAAAAGAGAGCGGTAAGTAAAAGGAGAAGAAAAACAAAATAAAGAATTGCCATCGTCTAATTTATATCAGCCGCTCAAGCTGACTAAGAGAGAGCCAATAGAAATAAAGTTTGTGCTATAACATATCATGAGAAATGTATCTAAAATAAGAGACCTTTTGTGCCCAAGATAATCTTACTTGGTTGATACTCAAAATGTATGAACTGCGATGGTTGTTGCTTCATTGAGCGCAAAGATTTCTGTTTATCTGCAGATCATATTCAATGTAATTTCAGCAGCTTGATGAGTGTAAATCTGGCTATAGCAAAGTATAACACACTTTGAGTACTTCCGCTTTAATGATAAATGCTGCATTGGTAGAGGGTATTTTGTTATTTACCAGTTAATTCATGCAAACGCTTGCTATTGATTCATTTTTGTCTATATCTTGTGCAGAAACGAATTCAATTGGCTGAATGATCTAGCTGTAGAAAGCTGTGTTTTATTTGGATGACTAAAATATGTGCCACCTTGGAAAAAAAAACTGTTTGTTCCCTTTTTCTTCGCTCTATATGCTTCCAACTTCATTGTTGTATTGGAAAAGCAAGTCTTCTAAAGACGAGTACTATAGTGAATATCTAACGTGTATCGATACTATCGAAGATGTTATAAGAGCACTGTCTATACTCTTGCCAGGTAAAAATTTAATTTAATTGCCTTTCATGCTAAAAAAAATACTTAGGAAGATTTGAGGATTCGAATCTTTGTTCGCAAGCAAGTAAGTCTACAGCTACTATCATGATGGTCACATGATAATAATGATGTTGGATATAGTACTTTCAGTAATAAATCTAGTGTCACTCTATCACACCAACGTTTTGATAAAAAAATCAACATTATCAGAGAAAACAAAGCTCAATCATCTCTTGTCATTTAATGAACGCTTTTCTCAGTTAATTTCAGCTAAAAAACTACTTAGAACAGCTTCTTGGACATTAAGCATGATATCATATACCGAAGTACTTACGGAGATGGTTTTGAGTCGAAAAGTCTCAAATCTTTCCAAATGGAAGTGGATTGCTAGCTTAGAAGGAATAAAGTAATAGAAGATTCTGACTGTCTAAAATAGTCTTAACTTATTTACAGAGCCCTTTTACGTTTGATATTATTCTATGGCACCAAACGACAAATGCTTTTGCATCCAACTCATCTTATCCGAAGTGTAGATTCATCATCATTGGAGGAATTAAAGGAGGAAAAACTCGAATTGCTGACACTTGATCCTAGAACGGGCATAGCTTCGTCTGCTTATTCTATCATGGCAAATCATAACGGTGGAGTAACTGGATGGATGCACCTTAGTGAATTTTTATGGGTGTTGCGTCCTGTAGTTTATGGTACATGTCAAAAAAAAAGAAACTATCCATATTCATCGTTGATCTTTTGTTTTGAATAGTGATTATGATTCTGTTTGAACTGAGAAAAAAGCAAACTGATTTAACTCGGTCAAAGACACAAGAGGAAACCATAGAGAAAGAGGATGAAGGATCATGGAAACCCTGGTTAGTTTCCTTAATACTAGACTTAATATCAAGACTAGCAAGACATAAACAGTCTATGTCCATTCTAGAAAAAGACGAATCTAGACGCAGAGATTATTTGCTTTTCTATTACCTTTTTAGAGGTCCCATCTACCTTAAGTTCACAAGGTGAGATGAAACAAACAATGGACTCCTTACTTATGATTGTAGACCTTTATTAAATGCATTCTGTAATGCAACAGAACATAAGCCCTTGATATCTATCATTACAGGTAAAGTATGGTCTCAATGTAATATTGATGTCTGACATAACTTCATTAGCTGCCTTAAATGATTACAGACCTTTTTGGGAAGACTTGTATTTTTATACTTCAGCATCATAAAGTTGATTGGATGATGGTAGCGTGAGAAGCAAACATAAAAAATAAAATAAACTTAAATGAATAAGCTGTATGAATTTCATTCACACGGCATTCTTTTTATTTAAATATGAGATATAATACAGATATAAAAAAAAAAAGGATAAGAATAACTATTTTCATACACCTCCACAACTTCTTCCAACATCGTTAACACCTAGACCATGATTGATTTTTTCCCATTGTTGACGAGCTTGTCCATCAGGCTTCATAAGTTGTGTATGTGCTTTTGAGGGTTTTGCTTGACTTCGAATAATTGTTCCAAGCAAAGCAGCAGTAGCTACTGGAAAAAGGAAATAATTGACAAATTTGCTAGACATGTTATAAAACTAAGAAAGAGAAGGAAGAGAAAATGAAGAGAGAATGCGTTTTATCTTTTTCATGTTTCACGGCGAATGCATTCACAATCTCCGATGATGGTTTGCATGAAAAAAGTGTAGTTTATTCTAAATGACCAATAGGAATGTCATTATGAAGACTATAATACATATCAATTGCACTCTTTAATCTAGTCCATAAACTGTCATCTTCATCAGTCTCCATACAGTCTTCTTGTAGCTCAAGAATTGTTTCTTGAAGTTTCTTTAATTTATTTACAAGGTTGATATCACCTTTATTGGATACATTAGTATTCATTTGTGATTGATGACAACTTACCTTGATCTTTTGACAGCGATGTCTCTTTATAATTAGTTTGAACTCGTCTTAATATTGTTGCTTCTGCTTTGAATAATGCTGGCGTGTAAGAACAGTTTATCTTGATTTCTATCACTGTTGAAGATACTAGCGTAATCACAGATCAATACAGTGCTTATCTTTTTATACTATACCCCTTGATAACTCTACTATGACTGGACATCCAGGGTAGGATACCAAGGCAAATGAAGATTGTTCTGCACTCAACAACATTTGCTTCAAATCATTGCTAGAATTCAGATTAGATAATGCTTGTAAACTCCTAAAAAAGCCAACTTACATTGTACGCCCTTCACCAAAAAGGGTAGATAGAATGGATCTATAAGCTTCATCACTAAACATGGCATCTATTGTATATCGAAAATGAATGCTTCTGTGGTCAAGTAAATGTTTCTGTTCTGGGGTGTTTCTCTATAGTATAAAAAGGTTAATTTTTTTTTGTCTTACTTACAAATAATGTACCTGTCTTCTTATTAACCTTGATAATGGGTCTCTTGAAGATTTATCATAAAGCCTTCTTTGCTGATACGCATGCATCAGTTGATCAGATACTTTATCTAATCCTCTCCTTTTGATACTTGTATTCAAGCTATTGCTGAGTGGAATGGCAAAATGCAAATCATCAATGATCATGTTGGCTACAGGAAAACGAGCAATCTCTCCTGAATCATTCGTTGTCATCACCAGTGTTGCTTGCATATTTAGTGGTAATATAAGTGTCTTGATATCTAACTCAGCATCATGTTCCCATATAGCATATCGCTCTATCCCATTTTCATAATATGCTTCAAAGCCTATGACAGAAAATAGCTTTGTTTGTCCACACGACTTGTCTAGTTCACTGGAGAAATCCAGTTGCAATGTCCAGTTCTCGAGTTCTAAGAACCGAGATGTTTTGATACATAAACGCAAACAAGCTTTACTGTTTAAAATACAGTTTTCAAATGAATTGGACTTGACAATAGGCTGTACAGTGAACTCGAATCCTGTTGAATCAATCGAATTACACTGACCAAGTACTCGTTTGTTGTTGATGCTATGTAGGGCATATAGAGTACGATTTATGGAAGACAATTTTTCATTGATTTCCTTTATTTTCTGTTTAATTTTCGTGTTAGTGGTTTATACAACTTACTTGCTCTTCAATCTCCATTGATTTGACTATAGACTCACTATGCGCAAGGTCTTCCAAAGTGTCTCTGATAAGTTCCTCTATAGCTTTTGAATCATTCTCAACGTTGGTAGGATTTGGGTCATATTTTGCTTGCACCATAGCTGCATTGTTGTTCTTTTCATCCACTAGTATCGCTTCAAAGATATGATCATTTGCATCAAGAATTTGGATATAGCGAGCATTGGAGATACCATGAACTCGCTTCAAGTCTAAACTAATGTCTTCGTGTTCAAACTGGAATGTTAACACATAAATTCTTCCTGATCCAACTGAGACTAGAATAGAATCGCTCTACAACAGAGTGGATTTGTTTTAGATGTCCACTCACTTTTTATGCATCTTACATTTATCCTGTCAACAGAGTGAACAGGACCATTTATATTGAACTGGTTGAATAGTAGACCAGCCTTGCTTGACTTGGAATAGAGCATGATAGTGCCTTGATCTCTATTACACAGAGTATATTAGAGAAAAAATTCTGGTCATATTGTTATTCTATACCCTATAACAAACAATGCTTGGGATGAACTAGGTGTAGATATAACCTGGATCATAACGACTTTCTCTCTAGCTTCAAAAGAAAACAATTTCAGATCCTGTACTAAAGCCTTGTTCTCCATGTTTCTCCAATACACTATCCCATCATCTTTACTAAATAAGAGTCCATGCTGGCTATCTAACGAGAAAAAGTCAACAAAGATTGGCTCAAACTTCTCGACATATTCGCAAGAAGTGATGGTTTTATCTTTGGGTGAAAACAATGAATGGTCGTGAAAAGACCCATTTGAAGCGTTTAAAGACAGTACACCGTGAGGTTTGAATAACAAAAGATGATTTGGTCTATAAAGTACAATGTGTGCAATGTCTTTGTCAATTAGGGACAAATCACGCTCTTTCTGTGGTGATTCTCTGGATCTTTCGCTTAGTTTAGCGCGTTTCTTTGGGGCTTCTTTACTAATAAACTAAATTTAGACATGACCATTAAGAAACGATAGGCATTTTGTTACCTTAAGTTCAAGTCTAGCTTATATAACTCGCCAGATAAAGCTAGCAGGTAAAACTGACAAGAATCAGGCTCTTTTCTGCAGCAGCTTGTGATTTTTTTGAGCTTTTCTGGAAGAACATATTCTCTCTTATAGACTACTTTTTTAGTCCTCAAGCGTTACTGATTGTATGTATGAATACCTCGTAATTGAATGAATGAAACCGATCTCGGTTGTTGTATCCAAAGCTGATCTTATGAAATGAGCAACATGCTAGATGCTCAGATGTAATATTGTCTAGATCCATAGATCGCGAGTCTGTAATAGTTGCTTTGATCCACTCCATGATTCCCTAAAAAAAGAGAGGAGAGACGCGTTCAAATTCGCGTGATTTATGCATTTACCAATTTTAGATTCAATGAAAAATGTAGCTTATCAAATTTAGTGATCAAAACTAGATAAATACCTTCAGCAGACGATTATACACTTATGGTTTGAGAAAGGAAAATGACGATGAAAATAGATCTTCCGTCTTGACTAAACGAGTTTGCTCGTTTTTTGTCCCATTCTTTTATATCTACAGCATGGATTTGCTCGACTAAAGCTGAAAATAGTCTTTTGTAAATCAATAGCGAACAGTAAATGGGCAGTGGCTACAACAAACCAATGAGTCGATGAAATTGAGATGCTTGTTCAATATAGTGGTGAACAATTGTGATAGAAATTTTCTGGCTACAAATAAACAGTTTGTGTAGATTCAGGTGGCTTTTTATTTATTTATCTCAAGGACAACTAAGTATACTTATGTTACTTGGAAGAAAAGTGCTAGGGAAGTGTTATGCACAATATTTATATATATATATATATATCTTTTTATGAGCAATACTATGCGTAGAGAAGCCAGCTGTTTTCTTTGGCTTTTCAATAAAGTGCATGATTGCTCAAAGCGTTAATTGATTCAAGATTAATCGTTTTAGGTTTTATTATTCTAGTTTATTAACGACAAGCAAAAGTGTAGCTAACTTGGCCTTGACCAATGGGGCAAACGTTTTGGTAGAGGGCATCACTACAGTCATGCTTCTTATCAATGGCTCTATCCCAGAGAGATCTTCTAACGGTTTGCCAGACACCAGGTACTGTAGAGCTATATGTACATTGACAACCTTGTCCTCCAGAGTTCCAATTACCAACACTAGCTTTCCAAACACCAAGTCTAACGCCTTGCTTTTGAATCTTATCAGAGCACTCTTGGTACCAGCCAGAAAAGTCTCTTCCTTTAAGTGTTCTATAACAAACACCCAAGTTAGATGAACATTGGGCATTAGTCAAGGCAAAAAGAGCAACTAAAGCAACCAAAAGATATTTGACTAAAGCCAACATGTTTCGTTGTAAGAGCAGTTGAATAGAGAGCAAGATGAATCGTTCGAGTCGTTATCTATATATACCATTTTTTCTTTGGAATAACTAGATCTAATGTCTTGATTCTCCGCTGCAATTGTATGAATAAACATTCAGAGCAAATGCGCAGGCATTGGTGCAATGTAGCACAGAACATGCAGAACATGAAAACCCAGTCCATATTACCAAACTTTATATACAACGCAAGAGCCTACGCTTGATCTGCCTTTTGTTCGATGTAATTTCTAATAACAAACATCACAAGTCGTTAAGACCAAATATTGAAATATGATTTTGATGTGCAATCCGTTGAAAAGAAAATGAGCAATTGAATGATGATGATCTAAGCAGTAAAAATTATGAGGCTTTTAATATGGTTACATGTCACAGAGTAGCTGTTAGATAGAGTTAATTACTGATATCATGCATCGATTTTGTACCTATGTATCACATAATTGATCAAACAAGTTATTGATAGTATCCAGGCACTCAGGGCATTTAACCAAGACATTCCTCGGTGCATTGTGTCCATAAAAAAGAGTACTTTGCAAGTTTTGATATTGATATACTACTAATAAAGCGCATTATCGAATTACAAACTATTGCATTCTAAGAAGGCGTTTATTTAAAGTCCTTTTGAATACAAGCATATATTAACAAACCTTAAAGTGATCAAAGCATGCTTTAAGATTTTAGACTAAACAAAAAAGACTGTGCACGAAAGCAGAGCAAGACTATATTTATAGTATCAAATGCTGTGCCTTCGAGCCATCAGACCGAAGCTTTAGCCTTTTCTTTGTATTTGATTTTTTAAAGTTGATTATTGAATACTATAACTATAAAGTAAACAAAAGAAAACACCCTATTTGCTCCAAAGACAGGAGCAGATAAGATATATAGATGTTAGCTAGATAAACATGTTAATGCAGAAATTCATCAATTGGACTGATAGATCATGAACATACGGGTGCCTATTACAGAATAAAGCCTTGCAGTACTAAAAAGGATATTAATGCCTTAAACAGTTCTTTCTATGTTCCATTTGCTTATTTACCCAATCTAACTCAATGCAGCCTGCATTTACTTTGCATATGATAATATAAACACCTTACGCAGAAGTATTTTGTTCTCAAACTCTATAGTATCATGCGTATAAATCTATCCATTATGTAAATTCAAGAGAACTGATATTCAATACAATTATTTAAAGGAAACATCAGTTAGTTTACTTCATGAATATAATAAAAGAAGCTATTATCAATACTTTTGATAGCTTATAGGGCAGCACAAACACAAGATCTTCTAACTTTCAATGAGTCAATTATTTGTCTTTTTTTTATAGAAAAAACAATGATTAAAATGACTGAGACATGTATTCTTTTTCGTATTCCAGATAGAGCTGTTCTTGATACAGTTATATACTTTGATTCAATCAGGAATTACAGTATTTCCAAGGACCATACCCCTCTATATTATGCAAAGATGAGGATTAATTTTTTTTCTTTAGGCATAAAAGGAGGTTTGAATCATTTCTGTACATCTTTATACAGCTAAAACATTTACTAGCAATGAATACTAACATTTGAGGTTCTTTTGGAGTCAGTTTGGGAAAAAAAACAAAAACATGTCCAGAATGGCTAAAAAAATTTTTCTTTGTAGGGGAACTATGTTCCTGTTTTATTTAAAGTCCTAAAGATATCATAGTGAGTGATAATTAAGACTGGAGGGGTATGATGTGCAATAAGAAAGAGAGAGAGGAAAGGTGCATAAGTTTAACTAGTAAGGAAAGTGATTTCAGTCAAAAAGTATAAGTTCTTGTTCATCGGAGAGTACAGCAGAAAAGGTGAAGGGTGTAGAATCAAAAACCAAACACCAATGGCTGGACCATAGACCTTCCAATGTGCTAGCGCAGATTTGTTGTGCGGATAGGGTTGGGAATGCAAAATGACTGGAGCGACTGATGGTGGTACGGAGATTGAGGAGTTGTTGTAAGTGGTGAATTGAAGGAGCGGTAAGAGAAGGATCGATATATGTGGAGAGGATGTGACACCAGATTTTGTATTTGACTGGGCAAAGAAAGTTGAAATGGTCAAGTGTGTCAATGGTGTTGCGGCGGAAGTAAGGACAGTGAATGCATTAAAGGCTAGTGATGAGCTTCGGTAATTTTTGATGTAAGTAGAAGCGAGTGTTGATGGTTTTGTGTAGGAAGCGGAACAAGATGTTGCGGGGGCGATGTGTGATTTGAAGTGACCGAAAGGCTTTCCAATTAGGGACAGTGTCAAAAGGTGAGGTGGGTGTAGGAATGTGTTGGGGAAGTAAGGCTTTATAACCAGAAATAATGGGAGGTGCAGGTTTGAAAACTAATGGTGAGGAGACAGATTGAAAGTATGTAAGTGTGGTGACAAAGGATTGCAGGCAAGAAGGATGAAAGATATTGTAGGTGTTAATGGAGAGGTGTGATCATAGTAGATTCAAGGTGAGCGAGGACAAATGGTTTGAGAAATAGTTTTTGTTTGTGGATATGTTTGAATATTTGAAGGGGGATACGACAGTGTTGAGTCAATTTATTGCGTGTGCGGTATTTTATGGATAGAGATTGAGTATCGTGGATGAATAGATCGTGACCAATGAGGCGGGAGAGATCAGAGGGTTTGCGGAAAAGAGAATCAGGCGGTATAAAGGAAAGGAGAGAAGATGGACCAGAGGGTTGTTGGTGATGAATGAAAAGTTCGGAGATAGGAAGACGGAGACAGACTTTAAAAGGGACTTGGCAGGAATCGAAATTGTGTGGTAATACATCGACGGCTTGAAATATGTTAGCAAAGTAATTGTGAATTAGGGTAGGAAGATATAAACGATAAGAAGAGAGCAGGAGAGACCAATGGTATGTGGGGTGAGTGATAGATGTAAAAAAATAATGTAAACTGAAGTGAAGGACTGGAAGAGAAGGTTGGGTTAAGGAATGGAATGTATTGAAGTGTAGGAGAGGGTGAAGCCAACGCCATTGAAGGGCGTTCTGTTGAAGAAAGGGATCTAAAACGGCGAGGCCGCTCTTCTCTCTGGGGAGAGTCAGAGTGGAGAAAGGAAGTTTGTTGTAACGGCGATTATTGAGGAAGGATAATCCGATTTGCTGAAATTTGGCGAGTTGTTCTTTGGTAAAGTGTAAAAGGCGCATAACATGCCACAGAGTTGAAAAAAAAACAAGAGTATTAAGGACGGTGGCCCGTCCACGAACAGATAAGTCATGTTGAAGGTGAATGTTGCATAAGAGTTGAACTTTGTTGATAAGGCGATATATCCAGACTTATAAAAATTGGAAATACTTTTAGTACTTTTAATGTCTGTAGGTCATTATAATCAAAATAGAATTCAAACAAATTTGCATTGGACACATTTGTCTCCCGATAGTATTTCTCTTTTGTTACATTTTGTACACATTTTATTTTGGGTTTCTTCTTTTATATTCGCAACCTTTTTGAAATATGTTATAGGATCTACATAATTAGAATCATAGTATGTTCCTTGTTCTTTTTCGTATTGCACCACATCGTCCAAAGTTTTTCCTTTTTCACCTGAAAATATATCATCAAGATAATCTTCCACCTCGTCATTATAAAATAATTTATCATCTAAGTCTTTTCAGGATTATTATATGTAATGACATTGTCTTCCCAGAAATCCAGACCTTTTATATCATGTTTTTCAGTTTTTCTGTCTTCCATAATCCTTACATGAAATACACTGTGTATTTTATCATTTAAATATCTCATACACTTAGAATATGCTTGAGGATCCGTATCAACTATGCTTTTCCTGTCTTTTTTATTTATTGTAAATAGTAAATCTATTTTTTCGCGATGTGATTTAACACATTTCAATACCTCTTCTTTATCTAACAAAATATGATTTGTATCAAATAGACCATCAGAACCTAATGTTAAAATGATATCGTCAGCGTATATTCTTTTTTCGTATTTTTTATCATTATGCAATCTTGTCATATTGCTTTGATTTATTTTATTTTTTTGATATATTTTTTCTTTTGGGGAAATAAAAGCCTATACAAGTTCTAACGGACTTTCTCTGTGTTATTACCTTTTCTCTTATTTTATGTCTATTCTCTCTTCATCTCATAACATCTTGTAAGATTACACTCTATTCTTTCTTCTTGTAAATCATTGACTTGGTAAAAATAGGTCTCTCTCGTTCATTTTCCCAGTCTGCGATAACAGCAGCAGCACTGGCGAAAATAGATGCATTACAAGATACTTTCCAAAGCAAGTATCTAATGCTTTGAATGACTGTGCACAAGGTGCCAAAGAAGCAACGAAGAAAGCCAAGGCAAGCGCAATCATGTATTGCAAAGCTATTGCTGATGTAAGTCGGTTTATATTTTAGATAAAGTTGCGCCCTTAATTCTTTTACAATACTAGGGAGATGAAGTCGAAGACGAAGGCGAAGATGAAGATCAAGACTCCATGACAAAAGCAATCAAGTCCTTGGTAAAGCAGCTCAAGAACAACCAGGCAAATGTGCCGTATGGATCCGAAACATCGTTCATGGATAAATACTTGAAGCCTATCTGGACACAGATGCTTACCTCTGGTCTAGATAGATCTTTTATTTATTCAACGTAAGTAGGCATACCTTCTTTTTAAAGATTGTTTGAGCTGATGACATTATTGTTCTTGTTTAGGACCGACGGAAGCCATTACGGCATAAAGCCTGACTTTATGATTGGTGTTGCTCAAAGAAAAAATCCTTTGTATTTTTTCTTTGTCGAAGTAAAAAGACCTGCCGAGACAAGCTGCTACCAAGAAGAGAGCGACTTTGTGAAGTTGTTGAAGGAGATGAAGCACTCCATAAACGACCAACTCGTTTTAGGGTTCAATGATCCCATATCATATGGTTTGTTGGTGGAGGGTAAGTCGCTATTTTAGTTCTATCACAAAATAGACAAGTACTAACCATAATGGCATAGGCTTCCGTTGCTCTCTTTTCAGAATGTTTCTTGCATCTGAAGGCATTTATATGTCAGTACTCCTGAAACGCTTTTTGTTGGTGGAGGAGACAAATGACATGATCAATTTGCCTTCAGTTGTAGAAGCATTTGATTTTGTCAAGGTATAAGCTGAAAAATTTAAAAGAAACAACCCTTGTTTGCTCATATGTTCTATAGGAAAAGCTCATGGTGCTGAAGGACGACTTGGAAGTACCAAAAAGCAAAAAACAAAAGAAGCAGCAAGGAAAGAAGGCTAGGCCTTCTTTCAAAACAAAGTTTGTAAAATAAAAATCCTTCTGTACACTTTTGCACTGTTACTCATGATCATAAAGAATTGTTACTGAAAATAACCACATTTACGTTAAGCATATTCCTCTCAAAGTAAAAAAGAAAAAAGTTCGCTCCTTTTAAACAAAGACAATCTTCAGCTGGTCTAGACTTACAGATAAGATTATTGTTATTGAAGGTGCTTAAGTAGAATCTACTGGACAGCTGCTCATAGTTATTTATTATTACTTGTTAGTGTTTAGATTTCTTTCTTTTTGAGGTATTGACAAGAGTTGTAGGTATGAACTTTGTACAGTAAAAATAGAATGAGAAGGGAGGGGGGGGTTAAGCCAAAGCATGTTGCTCTTACACTAACCAAACCTATAACAAATAATACATAATAGTTTGAATATTCAAGCAAATGAACAGTCAAGAACAGTTGAACTGGAATTTAATCAAAACTCCTTAAACAGCAAACAGCAAACAGCAAACATCAAACATCAAACATCACATAAATACTATATGGCCTGACTTACAAGGCCGAAGAGAAAGAAGAAGAGCATTTCCCTACAGAATATAAGCTCATAGATATTGTATTAAATAATGAAATTAAACAAATAGAAAAGATCAAAAGAATGAATGAACTTCAAAGTGACTTTTCAGATTTAACTTTAAATAACAATATAGACAATATGATAGTAGATGAGATAAAGGAAGAGGAACTTAATGAAGATACAAATTGTAAAGAAGATGTAGATTTTCCGCAATATATAATAAAACACAAAATAAATGAAAGCAACGATTATGTATTCTTAGTAAAATGGAAAGGCTATGATACAAAAGATAACACATGGGTTAACGAAAAAGATTTTTCATAAAGAACAACATAAGATATTAGAATACAATGAACAACATTTCTCATATAGTGGTTTAAGTTAACCACTTATTTTTTTAATGAATATGTGTTTGAAACTGGACATAATGTTATTGATTAACCCTCTATGAAATCAAAAACCGAACGCCAATGGCTGGACTATAGACTTTCCAATGTGCTAGCGCAGATTTGTTGTGTAGATAGGGTTGGGAATGCAAAATGACTGGAGCGACTGATGGTGGTACGAAGATTGAGGAGTTGTCGTAAGTGGTGAATTGAAGGAGCGGTAAGAGAAGGATCGATATATGTGGAGAGGATGTGACACCAGATTTTGTATTTGACTGGGCAAAGAAAGTTGAAATGGTCAAGTGTGTCAATGGTGTTGCGGCGGAAGTAAGGACAGTGAATGCATTAAAGGCTAGTGATGAGCTTCGGTAATTTTTGATGTAAGTAGAAGCGAGTGTTGATGGTTTTGTGTAGGAAGTGGAATGGCCAAAAAGTACTCTCGACGATGAGCAATTACTCATGGAAGATAACTTCGATCTCCGAATTTGAGCTTCTTTTGTACTTTATGGACATGTCCAAGTACTCAAAATATGTCTCAGACATTATTATTTTTTTGTTTTAAACATTGTATTACAAAAATTGTATGTTATCATCAGAAAACCTTCAAAAATGTCTATCTCATTAGCTCAGTTTTTTACTATTGAAGTTTCAATTTTTCTTGCATCTACAGACTTGCAAAATAAATATCTACAGCGTTTGTTAATGTGCCAAGACGAAAAAAACTGCTTTGAATGTTTTAAGCGAAAGATTGATTTTTCGATTTCAGAGAATGAATTCTGTTTCTTTTCTCGATCACATTCGGCTGCGGATGAGACCAAAAATTATTTTCACTACGTCGTTACTTGATGATCAGAATAGAGGTTGTTGTAAAACTAAACATTAAGACAAGCTGTATTACCATACTATCTTGAGTTGGAACACAAAACATATATGAGAGGAATAGGATGTTTTTTTTAAGATATTTCTGTTGAAGAAATATAGTCTGTGACAACAATTTATTAATTTTAATGTAAATGAATGGATGAATGAATGTGCAAAATAAAGAAAAGAAGGTTGATGTGGCATGGGTATGTAAATGAACTTGAAAGGAACATTTTTTTTTGGTGAAAATATTGATGTATATGTAATATAGAAAAAGAAAGTACTAGAAAAAGCACTCTTGAGATATTTACAATCCTCCCCGTGCCTTGAATAAAATCAACCGAAAAAAGAATACAAATTTACTGAAAAAGAAGTTGTTTTTTGGTATGGTTTTGATGCTTTTGACGTTTTTTTTTCGAGTTTCTTTTGCTGTAAAGTGATAAAAGTTTTGGCTGAATTTTTTTGGGAGTTTTGAGGGTGTTTTTTCTATTTTTTTGGAAGTTGTTTGATAGAGAAAAAGGTTTTGTTGAAAATTAAGCAATGGTGGACTTGGAAGAGAACAAGGCGTTGGCAGTTGTAAGGGAACTGGCTACAACAGGTTGACAGCGCTTGGACACAACAACACCGCGACGGCGGCGATACAAAGGAACCCAGGGGTAAGAAGTAGAGGGAGCAGATGGACGCTTTGTACGCAACAAAGTGGACATGGAAGCGTTGGACTTGCTAAGAGTAAGCTTCTTTTGTTGTTGCTGTTGTTGTTGGTTAATAGCGATTTGGTTTGTGATACTCTTCATTTGATCTTTAAGTTGACAGGACTCAGAACAGTAGAGAGAAGATTCATTCTAGATGAGATCAGTTACGAGATCAAACACTTGAATTACTTACCAATACGTCGTCGACACGGTTATCACAGATAATGCACCAAGAAAGATCCATTTTAGTTTAAACTTGAGGTTATGAGATAAGAGAAACTAGTAAGAATCGAAAGTTGGTGGCCCTTTAGGTTGTAAGAAGAAAAGGAAAGAGCTCCTTTTATAAAAGATTTGTTTTTAAATAAAAAAAAATTTTTTTTCAGAGGAGTCTCAATTAAGCGGCTTTTCCTTCTGATGGAAAATCAAGGAACAAATTTTGTTTACAGTAAATCTATCAAGTTGAGCTTTTAAGTAACGCTGATTCGGATTGATACGTAGCTAGTGTACCTGAATCTCGCACACTATAACTGATTGCTGAAGCAGATCGTAAGACTGGAAAATTGCTTACTTCAAATGAAGTTGTTGCTGTTATACACAATATCAATATTTGTGTCTATTCAAATTGGTGGTAATACAAGGTTATCTCAGAATCATGCATTGTATATACCACTTGATTATGTCTTATTGTTTCTTCATAGGTGTTCTTGAATGTGGCTGGAGTTTTAGGACAGAAACTGTAGCGGTAAAAAAAAATGAAACTATCGCTTTCATTTTCATAAATGACCAAGCGAAATTGAATTTACTACTCTTTTCTGGTCCCAATAGCATGTATAGCCAACCTGTGATCAGAACAAACCAAAGGGAAGAAGTATCATCAGGATGAGATTAAATTCGACTGCTACACCAGTCTTGAGGATATCTTTATTTAGGAAAATACTATTATTTGTCATGCTATACTACCTAGTAGCTACTAAGATGGTTGTGATAAAAACCAAGAAAAGGCAAAAAGAAATCTGCTTTATTATAGTATGCCAATATGTCTTCTATTTATACCAAGTTATTATTATCCTAACATTGGTGATGAGAACTGTGATGACAAGTAAAGTGTATATTTAGCAAGTATGTTTCTGTGTCAGAAAAGGGCGTTTTATGCGTGATGAGCGGAATAATAAAAGACAAGTGATAGCCGCTTTAATGTGTGACTCAACATATAGAAATATAAATTCAAGCCCAATGATAGATGATTGTATGTTGCGGGTAATATCATCAGCGCTAGTATTCCTTCAAAAGAAGAAGATAGAGATATATATGATGCCGCAAATATTTGCATGAGCCATGATCCTTTCGTAAATCTACAATCACCATATATAATCAAGAACAAAGATGAACAGCTGGTGTGTTCTAAAGAGTTTTCAAACTTTAGCAATACGATAAAACCAATGATCTCTACAGAAAAATAAACAAACAACGTAAAGGGTTTATTTACATAAACAACAAAGCCAAGATGAAGATGAGGCATATTTATTTGAGGCCGATGCTTTTGGTGTTGTTTTTTGGCTTTTGTTCGATGACAAGCTGTAAATCATCTTTACCAACAAATAGTTGAGAAGGTTTGTCTTTCGCTGTTGCTGTTGTTGCTGTTGTTGCTGCTGCTGCTGCTGCTTTGTACAGTGTTTTTCGTATACTGCGCATACATTGAGCAAAGCGTCCAATGAACCAAAAGATCAGAACTCTTCAAATGTGGATGGAAGAGTGAGTCTCTCTAACTCGAGCATGAGGTAGAAACCCCCACGAAATAATGTCACATAGAAGAATACACCAAGGCCATTGGCTTGAAAAGACATGCAGCAATCAAGGTTGTATTCTTCTATGAGTGCCAACGAAAAAAAAAAATCCAAGCGGAAGACGTCAACGGCGAGATCAACGGAAGGAGAAAGCATTGGCTTGATTTCACCTACAAGATTGACATAGGTTGGAGCTTTACGGAATTCCACAGCATAGTTAGGTCGACAGTTCAAGAAGGTGTGGGGGTGCAAAAGAGTTTGTTGTCAAAGCGATGAGGATCATAGTCACCATTGGTTTTGAAGAGAGGCGACAGAAATGCATCTAAAATGGCCTCCACTTTCTCCTCATGCAAGAGTCCCATTTGATTTGTCATTTGAGCCAAAAGACTCACCAGAGACTCTATGATTCGGCTGATGGCACCTTCTTCTCTCAGCACCATCGCAAACAACACCTTCTTCATCTTCTTCAACTCTTCGTCGTCTATATAATTGCTAAAACATTCAGCAAGTTCTTGTCGAATCTTTGCTGACAGACGAGCGGGAGGACTAAAAACATTAGTTCTGAAATGCTTTCGGACTGCTTCAAGTTTCAAGTCATCAAAATGTTCTGCAATTTCAACATCCAATTACTTGTTGACTTTTTAAAATATTATGAATGGCGAGCCATTTGTTTATGTCATTCCACGTTGGCGAAAAACTTGGCCTGAACAGATAACCTTATTCATAAAGCACTAATAATATTGGCTCACACTGCCAAGATTGGGAGGTAAAGGACCAATTAATCTCTGGCTATAAGAGAAACGACCAATACAGAGGTCAATCTTGTCCATTTAGGCCAAGTTGGATTTTTTGACCTTGTTGTTTCCGTAATCTTGAGAGCAAAGCAGACGATTTTAATCACTTACTGAAGAAATCATTCGAAGTGAAGGAAGGAAAAGCAGTTTAGCAAATATTTAAATGCAACTATCAAATGTAAACAAACTGAGTACAATTGTCAATAGCTAATTGGGTGTCTTGGATATAGATTAATACCTCTTGCACACTAGCTATGGGCTACCATTATTCCAAGTGCTTCGATCCAGCTGATATGATCAAGATGGGGTGTAATTCGATTTTTTCATTGAAAAGGAAATAAATATCATTCTAACAATGAATACATAATACTGCGTAACTAGGAGCTAAATGATCTAAATTCAGCTTCACTACAGTAATTAGAGTATTGCATATAACATTAAATGCGGGGAAGTAGTAATAGGGCAAACTGACACATAAGTGGGTGCGCAAATTCAGTTTTAGAAATGTCTGAGCTATAGGATATTTTCAACCTGACCTTGCAGTTTCGATTTCTAAGCCATGTAAATGACCACGAAGTCATTCAACGATCACTCAGTAGTCAGGTATCATTCACCCTGTGTTGTCTGAATATCTTATGGACTAAAAAGGCAAGTATTTAAGACGCCATTTAAACAAGCCATTATAGTTATATTCTATGATTTCAAAAAAAAAAAAAAATTATCGTATTCTATCATGTCTAAACACCGTCATTGGTAATAAGTGAAATAATTGCATGTGCTACACCACTGCTTGAGACTATATAGAATGTTTGAGTAAAAATAGAAATAAAAATAAAGGCTTACCATCTAAATCAGGATCTTCAATCTTGATCTCTAATTCGATTTGTAATAATCTCTTCAATTGATTTACTAGTACGCCAATACGAGCCCAGGATCTAAATTTAACCCAACCATCTTCGCCTACTTGTAATCCTCTGCCTAAATGATCAACCTCAATTTGTCCACCAAAGAACAAAATAGCATAAGAAGGGACTTCGGTACCATCTCGAATAAATGTCTTGCTGGTTGCCATTTTTGAAAAATAGGTCAAGAAAGATGAATTGTAATTATTGTTACTGAACAATAAAGAAGAAGGATGTAAGAAGACACGGCCTAAAGAAAAAATAAGAACGGATAAGTGAGTATTGCAATGATTGTTTACTTACCATCGTCTTTAGTAATATATTTGATTTCTTTGGCTTCCTTCTCTCTTTCAACTGTACCACTAAGCAATTTGTCATATTTAGTATCGGGAAGTTGAATTTTGGCTATGTTAGGATTAAGACCAGCAAAAATGATCGATTTTAACAAGTTGGTATTACTGAAGTTTTGATTGTAATGATCATTTCTTGATCGATTATAAAACCCAATTTCTGATAGAGCATCTGCATATTGTCGACGTAGGTTTTGTACTTCATTCAATGTAGCAAATGACAAAAAGTTTTCTTCACAAAAGCTACGGGCTGCTCGCATGCCTTTGTTTTTAATAATATCGTACCATTCTTCATATGCTTTCATGTCTGCTAACCAATCACTTTTACTGTAATTGAATTTCTCTCTAGCCCTGAAAACCAAAAAAGTATGCTTGTTATCTCTCTCTGTTTTTTTAGACATTTAACTTACTGTTTGGCTTCCTCTCGTTTATCCATAGGTGATGTAAATGGACTCTTTAAAGACATAATAGATGCAATGGTCAAAATTGGATCCAGACAACCAAAAACAGAGCCAAACAAGAGCATTTTACTGATACGTAAATCAGCAGGAATGTTAGACATGTGTTTACCAAGCGCTGTCAAATTCCCTCTTTCAGTCGTATCAATCGCTTCTACTTGTCTCAAAGAACGAATGGCACTATCCAAGGCTGCAACAGAAGGTGGATCAATGGCTCTAGACAAGAATCGTCGAACATCATGTTCACCCATCGCCTTGACAGTCAAACAAAGTTGCTCTAAAGGTGTTCGAAGCAATTCAGGTACCTGTTGCGCTCGCATTTTGTTGTCATCTGTGTCGCGTGTAAACAGCTTGAAACATTTACCTGGTCTCGTACGACCTGCACGACCACGGCGTTGTTTACAAGAAGCTCGAGAAGCCCATGTTTCAACTAAATGCATCATATTGTTGGCTGCTTCAAACTGAGTTTCTTTCACTCGACCTGAGTCAATGACATAGACAACTCCTTCAATCGTAATGGATGTTTCTGCCACATTGGTTGAGACAACAATCTTGCGAACATGCGTAGGGACTGTCTTGAAGACACGGGTTTGCTCTTGAGGAGAGAGGTTGGCATGCAAAGGCAAAATTTCAAAATCAGAGCTATGGCCGAGACGAGCTTCTAATGCTTCTACACAGTGCTTGATTTCCATTGCACCAGGCATGAAAATAAGAATAGCGGGCTGTGCGCCGCCTTCAATGGTTACATTCTCATGATCGACAATGTGTTTGACAGCACTTGCTACAAGTTCATAATCAATCTTGTCTTGATTGCGGTATCGAGCCAAAGTGCGCACAGTGTGTTCAGCATATCCCTTTTCCAAGTAAGGCATTTGCCACTGAGCCCATTCTCCTTTGGGCAGATCACCGTCTTCTGACTTTTTCTTAGACAGAGGCATATAAGAAACATACGAAGTCATCTCCAAGATATCTTCCAAGTAAAAGTCTTCTACAGGATGAGTAAAGCCAGGAATTTCAATAGCAGGTGCACCACCAAAGTACTTGGAAAACAGTTCTTGGTTGATAGTAGCAGACATCAGCACTACTTTAAGATCCTTTCTTTTCTTCAATACCTCTCTAAGAATGATCAACAAAAAATCACTGTCTACAGAGCGTTCGTGGACTTCATCAATCATTACATGACTAATACCATCCAACGTAGGATCACTTTGCAGTCGACGCAACAAAACACCGGTAGTGACAAATTGAAGCCGAGTATCAGAAGATGCTTTTGTCTCACCACGCACAGCATAACCTACTGTCTGGCCAATCTTTTCACAACGCTCAGCAGCTACACGCTCAGCGACACCAATAGCAGAAATCTTTCTAGGTTGTGTACAAATAATATGACATGTCGATCCACGTTCCTGCATGATTTCTTCATCCATAATAAACTGAGGCACTTGGGTCGTTTTACCACAACCTGTTTCACCACTTACAATAGTGATTTGATTGCCCAAGACTGTTTTGATTACAGTCGATTTGAAATGGTGTGCTGGCAATTTGGATCTGACAAGACCCATAGGTACATAGGCTGCCGAATTATGCATATTTAATAAAGCTTCTTTGAGCTGTTGAGAAATAGAAGCATTAGGCTTTAATGGGCCTTGATTGCGATGGCGTTTGGGATGGTTTAGTTTTCGCTTAAGTGTTGGTCCTTGCAGTAAATCAAAACTGTTTAATTTCTCTGTCATATCACGTAGTTTAGGTGGATGAGCAATCATTGAATCAGCATGTTCCTGAAGCCATTCAGCACACATATAGATAAAAGGCATGCCTAGATTCTTTTCTGCTTCTTCTACTAATCCCTTGATAAATGCTAATTTTAAATAGCTAGGTAAACCTTCACATTCAATGGTAAATAAAGGCAAACTAAAAGGATAATATGAGTCCTTTGGAATAATCACTTGCATCATTAGTTTTTCGCGATGTTTCTTCTTTTCTGGATTTGTCTGTACATCAAAAAAGATACTGTAGACTTGACGACCCGTTTTATCTGTCTCTTTTTGAAAGCGTGATGCTTCATAGATGGATTCCAATGCGGTCACTTCATCCTCGCAAAGTTGAGTAAGTTCCTCTTGATCTATTGTTTCTGGATCAACAGTAGGTAGCTCTTCATTTCCATGGGTTAAGCGCCATTGTAACATTTCTATCGCTTTCGATTCGTCTTCATTTGCAAGAGACAAAGCTTCTATACAAATGCTTTCTGGGTAGCCAATAGCACTCATACGCTTAATAAGCCAATCTCTGCCAAGTGACTGAACTGTATGAGAGATGGTTGTCATGGTTGGATTGTAATTAGCAAGCATGAAATTAGCAGGTAGATCTAGTATGCATTGATTAAGATTATTTTGTATGTATCATTGTCTCTTTGTTTTTTTTTACCATCTTCAGGAACATGTAAACCTATCATGGATAGACATTGTTAGTGTCTTTCTCTCTCGTTCTAAAGAACTATCTTACAAAGCCAGTCTAAAGCAGCAGTTTTATCGACTGAATAATCCAAGGCTTCATCAGCATGTGCAGCACGAAATCCCATTCGAACCAGTTCATCCGTCAATTGCTTTCGTTCTTCTTTTGAATGCTTTCTAGGCAACTATTGCTGCTATTAGGAATAAGCTCTTACTCTTTGCTTACTTACAGGTTGATACGCAATCTTTGATTTTTTGATAACTCGTTCAGCCAGCTCTCTGTTTTCTGATCCCATTTGAACAGAAGGTAAACTCTGCCAATACTTGCGCATCTTTTCATCCATTTCTGGTTCCCGTACTTTCACTTGATCCATTCTAGCCTGCATAGTAGGCATAGGTACTGCTGAAGCAGCATGCTCTTTTGAAGGCAAACTGCGGTTCTTTTTAGGCGCATTGATAGGAGCATGAGCAGTAAATGGATCTGGTTCATACTGCCATGCATTTGCTGCTGTCTTGAGAGCATCAAACTGTCTCCAATAATCTCTATGCTGAGGAGGCAAAACACGATGCAAGGGCATGTGCGATTTAACTCGATGAAGTGCATATGTGGCTGCCAAATGTTTTGCTTCCATAGAAGTAGGCAAATGGAACTCGCTCGGTGTTGTAAACACAACTGTCTGCATCTGAGCTGTCTTTTTGTTCCGTTGACTGAGAGTAACCTGACCAATGTAGTTGTCTTTTTGTTTCTTGATCTCGAACTCCGGTTTCTCCCAGTTGGACTTTTGGCAATGTTCATGTAAGAGTGAGACAGGTGTCTTGCCTGTCCAATCGCCAAAAATAGTAGAACGCTGAGGAACAGGTTTGTCTTCAGTGGCGTTGGCGCCTGCATTTCCATTCTTGACGATGCCTCTTTTGCCTGATGATTTTTTGGCCGAAGCAGGTTGTGTAGCCTTGCTAGGCTTATTCTTCTTTCCAGACATACCGAAAAAAGAGGCAAATGATATAACTGTCTGAGCAAGGACTAGAGGCTTATTATACTTTCGTGACTAACTTTTCTGTTTATCATGCACTAAAAAGTAAAATGCATTGCTTTCTTTGTATATACCGAGTATCTTTAGCTATTGGATTAGATGGTTAGACTTTTGGTCTTCTTTTCAAGAATTCATTTAAACAATCGTATTAGAGCATTTCTATACATTGAACATACTCAACATGCTAAATAAGTCACTCACATACGAACAAAACCCCTTATACAAACTGGAATATGACAAAAGAAGAGAATCTTTTGTGCTGAAATGATGAATCACTTGTTGGAGGAGAGGATTTTTCCAACCTTGTTTAGCCGTCTTCATTTGCAAGTCAAAGTCTTGGTTATTGAGTGCGTTATAGATTTCTTTCAGTCTTTATAACAATGAACATAAGACGAGTAACCCATTAGAACCAACAATGACTAAAAGAGATTTACTTCATTATGATTTATAGTCATGTCTTCTATTTATACTGATTGACTCATATTTTCATACGAAATAGCAAAGGATAAATGTACACAACATTGATTTATCTACATGCTAATGATGAGAACTCTACAAAGAGCAAGTACTAATTTAGTTTTTCGTTCTTGTCTTTTTTCATCGCTACATATGACAAAGTCAATGCCACAAATAAAGGTTACCGTTTTAAAACGTCTTCAATTACTTGACATTTGATACAACTATTGACAACTAGGAGATACAGTCTTCAAAACATCTCAGCAGGTTTAAAGTTACTTGTAGAGCTCCGCTTCGGGATTTGTATACACATAAACATACTTGTATCTCTTTTTTTCTTTTTCTATTTATTTTCAGACAAGATGGCAAACGTTTCTGTTGAAGACAAGGTTAAAATAGCCGCAGAATTTCTTCTTTCAAGTCCACCAGGAGAGGTCAACGACGTGTTTAATGGTAAATGCGATCCCTGCAGCACGTGTACTCACTTCTCTTGAAAAAATAGACGTTCGTACACTTGTTGATGACGATGAACATCTTCAAGATGGTATTTTACAAGCACTTGAGCAATACAATACAGAACAACATATTACTGTTAAGCCAGAAGGCTTAGATTATGATGTATGTTAGATATGTTTATCCATCATTTTTTGATATATATATATATATATTTGGTTTAGGTCATTCTATCCAAGCATGGCAAAGTCGGAGAAGACAAATTCTTTGATCCTCGCTCAAAAAAGACCTTCAAGGTCGATCATATGCGCTTGGTAACCATAGAAACCAGGAACGAAAAAAAAACTAAAATACATCCATAGACTACTTCTGAAGCTGAAGAATACACTACTGAAAGTACTTTGGAAGAACTTCGAATTGCTGTTGAAAAAGAATGTTTAGCCTATGTTGAAGATCATTTCCCTAACGGTGTTTGCACTGTCTATGCTACTGAAACCGAAATTGCTGTTGCTGTTGTCGACAACAAATACAATCCTAACAATTTTTGGAATGGAAGATGGTTAGCTTCCTGGATTTATGATACCCAGTCAGGCGATCTTAAAGGCACCACAAAAGTGAATGTTCATTATTACGAAGATGGTAATGTTCAACTCAAAGCAGATAAAGATGTCACTCTCCGTGTTAACAAGAAAGATGTAAGCATAATGTAAATGATGTCTAGGACTGTGTATTCACAACTGGTTTAGGATCAAGAACAATTAGCGAAGGCTGTTGTAAAAGAAATCTCAACCTTTGATAAAGAGTATCAAAGCTCAATGAACGATAGTTACAGTGATCTTGCTGAAAACACTTTTAAGGGCTTGAGAAGAGCCTTGCCATTGACACGTAACAAGATGGATTGGAACAAGATTTTGAACTACAAGATTGGAAGTGAATTGTCTCAAAAATAAGCTTTACAATGTATTAAAGAAGTTCTTTATACTTCCTCACTTTTTTCTCGAGACTTCACAGGATTAAACTCAACTTTTTCATTGACTGCTTTTTTATTTCATTTGGCTTTTTTTTTTCTGAAAGTGTCAATAAGAAAAAAAAAGTGAATGTTTAATCAGCTTTTTACACGCATAATTGACAAATACATGAAGTCTGCTGTTCGTTCTATAGACAACTCAAACAACCTAGATCACACAGTGTCTAAGGATCTCGACTTGCCCAACAAAGACAGTGTGGATCACAGCAATCCCGAACAACAGGTTGCAAGTGTTGCCTCTGACTCTGAAGAGGAACCAGTTACATTCAAAGATACAACAGTCTCTTGTCTGAAAAACAACAAAGACTTTGACGAGCAAGAAAAGATGTCCAAGAACGATGATATTGGCCAACTTGCTTTGATAAATGACCAACAAAGCATCGATGAAGATACACTCAAGGTTTTTGGGTCCGAACCAGTAGACAATAAACCATCCAATGACTCAGAAACAGTTGATTTGGAAAGCTATGTTGATCGAGCTATACAAGAAAGGTTAAAAGAGCTCAAACAATTAAAAGAGAAAGAAGAAAAAGAAATCATACCAGCTGTAGAACAAGTGGACATAGTCTCCACTGAAGAAACTATTCTCGAAACAACAGAAGAGACAGCCGTATTTGAAGAAACAAGCGTTGAAATAGAAAAAGCTGAGGCACCTGAAGAATTGCCTGTTCGAACAAGAAAATCGTTGTTGAATGACCCTTACTCCGGGTACACGAAACCTACTGGCAGAAATAAAAAGAGAAAGAAGAACAAGAAAAAGGCTGAAGTTCAAGCAGTTGAACCTATAGAATACAACGGCGTTATTGTGTCTTATACCGAAGATACGATGCCTACAGACATGATAAAGTAAAGTGAATTACCCTGTGTTGCTCATGCTCATGCTAGACTAGATATTACTACCAAAGATATGCTTATTTCTCTAGATTCGATGAAGGCATCTTGATGGACAAAGGTATACCACTTTATACTTTGCATTAGATATTCATTTTCTACAGAGGGATGGTTTTCTGTAACACCCGAGAAAATCGCAGAACACATAGCCCAAAGATGTCAAGCAGATATTGTGATTGATGCGTTCTGTGGATGCGGTGGAAATGCCATTCAGTTTGCCTTCACATGCGAGCGCGTCATTGCAATTGACCTTGACCCAGTTAAGCTTCACTGTGCTCGTGAGAACGCCAAGATCTATGGGGTCGCCGACAGAATCGAATTCATTCTAGGTGATTTTTTTGATTTAGCACCAACCCTAAAAGCCGATGTCGTATTTCTATCGCCACCTTGGGGAGGACCATCTTATATGATAGAAGACACTTATGATCTAAAGACGATGATACCTGGTGATGGGTAAAAAGCTGAGACTAGTTATACAATGTAATAACGCATTTTGTAGCCTAAAGATTTTTGAAATTGCCTCACAAATAACACCTAATGTTGCCTTCTTTGTACCTCGAAACACAGACCCTCAACAACTCGCTCGATTAGCAGGACCAGGAAACACATGTGAAATTGAACAAAACTCACTTCGTGGAAAAGTGAAAGCACTAACTGTATACTATGGAAATCTAATCAACTACAACTATTTAGAGAAACTTGAGCAAGATATTGCTGAAGAGGAATTGATGGCCAAAATTGTACAATATTAATGATATGTAAATAGCATAAAGAAAAAGGATTAAATATTATTAAAAAAAATCTTGATATGTTGGTATATACATAAGAAAATACAACGTACAAGTTCAATAAAATAAAATCAGGGAATAAAAAGTGTATCGTACACGAGGAATTTTACAGAAAACCACCTGATGAGTCTAGAAGTTCATCAATGGTGTATGTGAAGTGCCTTTAGGATAGACTACCAATGTTGCTATAAATAAGCCAACTGTAATACCTGTTGGAAAGCATATTAGAAAAATATACATAAAAAATGTGCTTAACTTTACCTATCGATGTTTCAATCATACTTAAAGCAAAACCAGCACCTTGGTTTGCGAATTCGCTATTATCTGAAGATCCAAAGAAACCCAAAGCAGACTTTAAACCTGCATACATATGTCAGTTAAATCACAAAAAAGGTTAAAACTTACCCAAACTACCCGGCACCATATAGAAAATCTATAAGAAAAAAAAGGTTAAATCGTCGTCATCTTACATTTGAAACTTACACCAAGAATGACTGCATCCAAAGACATTTTACCAGTAAGCTTTGTCAGCAAGTTCCCTAATAGACCAACAGTAAATGCTGGAACTACTTGCAAAACTTGTGAAGGAGCTTGTGCGTAACAAGATAAAGCATAGTTGACCACAAAACCTGATACAGCTACAAAAATCATTGGAAGCCATCGTGGTACTCTTGCACGAAGATAGATACAATACGCAAGAGCAAACAATGGTACAGTCAAGAAATAATAGGCTTGGGGAATAATAGTAACACAAGTAGAAGAACTACTAGCTGCTTTACATGCTTGTGCCTGGCCTTGTGATGACACAGACTCTGCGTCGATTTTTCCAAAGATTTCTGACCCCATTTCAATACCATAGCCAAGTAAGAAAGAATACATGATGGCATACACCATACGAACAACACCACTCACAGGCTGTCTGGACACAAGTTCAATCAAAGCAACCGCCATTGAATAACCAGGTAATATCACGATAAATGATGCGAAAGCAACAGGAGTGAAGCAAAAACCATACCGCCATACAGCTATTTTTATATGGTTAGATGCATACAGAAAACATCTCTCTTACCTCTAGAGACAAATCCGATAACAATACAAACAGTGATTTCCCAAATAGGTTGGAAACTTAAGTAACGTCCGGAAAATAATTCATACGTAGCAAAGAAAACTATATGAAAGATTAGATATATGCTTTTGATTGAACCAATAGATCTTACTAGCTAAAGCAGCAGATAAACCCCCTCCTTAAAGGTACCGCCATAAAACATGACGCAACCACAAAAACTAGCAATTGCATACACAAACGGATTTAACCAAACAGGATAAAATTGTGGTTCGTTGACCACTTTATCAATAAATTCCAGGGCTTCATCCACAGATACTTCACCGTGAGAAACTAGTCTCTCTAGACGATAAATCTCACCCAACTTATGCATATCAAACAGTTGAGAACTGCGAATAAAGTGTGTTTCTGTTGTATGTGTTGTCTGGTCAAAGAACGTCAGAAACATGACGTTTGGTATATAGACATATTCTGCATCCACCCCAAGTGTGTGCGATACTTCTCGAAGAATATATTCAAGTCTGTGTGCTGGAGCACCATACAACATCAAACATTTTACTAATTTGCGCAAGAATTCCTGTTTTTGTAAAATGTTTGCAATTTCAAAAGTAATACGGATACGATCCTCAAGTGTGATAGGCTCAAATTGAGAAGCAGTTGTGAACATGCTGTCGATGGAAGATCGCCGAGACATACTGACTGAGCTTGTCATTTTGCGCTTCTGTAAACTGGGAACTAAATGGTTGCTGGTCGTAATTGTTGATAGCCAGCTTGTTGGTCGATGGGCAATGTTAGGTCTCTTTAAGCCATTAGGTGGAGTAGATGTTGGAAGAGCATCGAAGCTTGACTGAATATTCAAGTTGTACATGGATGCCGGCTTCTTTATTTTTGGAGTCTTTTTCTTTTTATTTGTTTCCTAAAAATAGTTCAATAACTTGCCATTTATTTTGTTCCCTTACTTTTTTTTTCTTGATTGTCTTTCTTCTCTTGACAGAAGGTTGTCTTCTCTGGGCTTCCAGCTTCATGAGACTGGCTAGAATACTACCACTTCCTCCACCATAATTGTTGGCATTTGCAGAAGAATGATTGGATTGTCGTTCGATTGAATTGAGTTCATCCGTATGGTTTGGCTCTGAGCCTTCATCAATCGTATTACGACGGCGTGAGTCGGAAGCACCACTAATGGATGGGTATCGTGTGCTAATCATACGCTGTACAAGGGTTCCAGCTTCAGCAATATGCTCTTGAAATCTAACATGTCTGTCTCTAGCTTCAGCTTGATCTAGGGCTGCTTCAACAAGAGTACCTGCGGAATCTCGTCGGGCTGCAGCAATTGTACTACGTCTTCTGTTCATAAGATCTTGGTTACTATTCGGACTAATGTAAGGTGCATTATAAATGCTGTCTTTTTCTTTTTCTATATAATCAGAGCTAATACTAGAATCAGTATCAGAGCTTGAAGAGGTTGAGCTGCGAGTGTCTGGTTGGTCAATTACTGGGCTTTTGATGCTTTGTTTTCGGCCGCTTCCGCTGCCATTGGAATTCACAACTTGAATCGTAGGTAATAATGGCCAAGATCTTCTTGTTTGTATAGAAGCGGATCTAGGTCTAGAAAATAATTCATCGTCATTGTTGTTATGATTGACATCAAGATTTTCTGTATTTTTTGCTAAGGGATGGTGATAATCCTCCATTCTTTCTCTTTCTCTCTTTTTTCCTTGATGTAGATGAGTTTCTTTTTATAAGGAGAAAGAAAGAGAGACAAGAAGGAAATAAACAAAAGAGTTGAAATAGAAAATGCCCTGTGTAACTTATTTCTGGAATGTCAATTTCTCTTTTATTGTGTGGAATACAAAAAATTTCTCATCTATAAAAGGTCAAGTTTATTGAAATAATTGAAGAGTCGGGCAAGTCAAAACAAGGGCTTCATGATGCCATGTATCTATCACTGCATATGATGTCATACCAGTAGTTTATATGTATATATGCTTTGTATATGATTCTTTTAAAGGATTATCAAAGCGACTTCGGGTAAATAAACCAAATGAAACTTGACATATCGTTGTCATTCAAAGCAAGTAAAATAACACGAATCAGTATTCAATATATTAAATATATGCAGTAAAACTCCTGTTTTTCCTTTTTGTTAATATTCCATGACAAACGAATTATCTTGCCTTAAGAAGAAAGTGACTGCCATACACAATTTATGATCTGTTGATCATTGTCGTACGTTGTGAAAATATACACACATACAAAGCATGTGAGGGTAAATACTTCCTCCTTTTTTTCTCTCTTTTTGCGCGTGTGTGTGTGTATGTATAATATCGCATAATTTCACTTTTTCTACTTTTTTTTTCTTTTTCTCGTTTTATAAAATGTCTACTTTAACCACTACGCAACATTTAGTTCCCCGCCATCCTACAGCAATCAATAAGACGAGCACAGAATACAAAAACAATGTTGAGCAGTGGCAAGAGTTAATTGTTCAACTAAAAAAAGATTAAATGAAGCTACAGAAGAAGGAAAAGCCAAACACATTGCTCTTCATAAAAAGCGTGGCCAAATGTCTGGTAACACAATACTCCCACACAAAACAGAGAAAAGAAACTCATTTGAGTGGCGATTTATAAGCTCGTGAACGTATTGAATTGTTGCTTGATGAAGATTCACCTTTCTTGGAGTTATGTGCACTTGCTGGTTATGATCAAGACGACCAAACATTGGGTAATAACATATTAACTGCTTTATTGGCCCTTGACAAATTTTCTTAGGTGGATCTATTGTGGCAGGCATTGGTCTAGTCAGGTACAGATTAGAATTACATGACTGGCATAGAATTAATCTTAATTCTCAGTGGTGTTTTGTGCTTAGTTTCTGCCCATGTTGCTACAATGGCAGGTGGTGCAATGAATGAAACATCCGCTTTAAAAGGGAGTCGTCTTCATCAAATTGCTATGCAAAATAGATTACCTACCATCACTTTTGTTCAATCTGTACTAGTTTTTTTTTATTGATTTGATAAACTCTAACTTTTGTTATAGGCAGGTGCTAATTTGCAACAGCAATTCCGTGTCTTTCATCGAGGCGGTGCTGGTTTCCGTAATCAAGCTATACTGTAAATATATGTAGATGTATGGTACGCTATCCTTAACATGAAATCATAGTTCAAAAGCAGGCATACCTTCCTGTTGTGTTGTTTTTGGCAGCTCAACAGCTGGTGGTGCTTATACGCCAGGCATGAGTGATTATGTGATCATGATCAAGGTAAACTGGAGAGACATTTATCAACAAGAATTAATTCGAATATAATAGAAACAAGCACAAGTATTCTTGGGCGGTCCTCCTTTGGTTCAAATGGCTACAGGTGAAGTCACTGATCCTGAAAGTCTTGGTGGTGCTGATATGCATTCCCGTATCTCTGGTGTAAGTGACCAATTGGCCGATAATGAACTTGATGGGATCAGAAAAGCGCGTGAATGGATTGCTAATTTGAATTGGGAACAAAAAGGCAGTTTGCCTAGACGACATATAGAAGGTCAATACGAAGAGCCTTACTATTCAGCTGGTAAGATGGCAGCACACTTGAAATCATGCTTATGCTATTGATAATAGAGGAGTTACTTGGTATTGTTTCGGCTAATATTCGTATTCCTTTTGATGCTACCGAAGTCATTATTCGTATCGTAGATGGCTCGCGTTTTACTCCCTTTAAGCCTAATTATGGCGGTAATTTAGTTTGTGGCTGGGCGTTTATTCACGGTATTCCTGTTGGCATTCTTGCCAATAACAATGTCATTTTCACTCAAGAAGCAAACAAAGCAACTCAGTTCATTCAGCTTTGTAATACAAAGTAGGTTTCTGTAGACATGCTTTCTTTTTTTGTACTTACTTTTTCTTTAGGAATACACCCTTAATCTATTTGCAGAACATTACGGGCTTTATGGTTGGAAAACGATATGAAGAAGAAGGCATCATCAAAGCTGGTTCTCGTTTCATTAATGCTGTGAGTAATTCACAAGTACCCGCTATTACTATTATGATGGGAGCAAGTTATGGTGCTGGCAATTATGCCATGTGTGGTAGAGCATATGAACCAAGGTAATACATATATATCATACACTCAAAAAACTAAACCATCTCGATAGATTTCTTTTCTCTTGGCCTAATTCGAAATGTTCTGTCATGGGAGCAGAACAATTGACTGGTGTTCTTGATCTTGTTATGCGTCAAGGTGCAGCAAGGTTTGTATTTGTGATATCTATAGATCATTTACATATTTTACAGAATAAATCAAGAGATTGATGAAGAGATGGCTAATCAAAGAAAGGCTATGTTTCAAGCATCTGTAGAAGCTGAATCTGATGCCTACTACACTTCTTCTCGTCTTTTAGATGATGGCATTATTGATCCTAGAGACACTCGTACTGTGATTGGCTTTTGTCTTGCTGCTATTTATAATAACAAGGTAGAAGGTGGCAATCTTTATGGTGTTAGCCGTATGTAAAGAAGAAAAAAGAAAGAGAGGTATATCGTGCATATAGTGTTTTATTATCGATACTATGTTAAGAAAGTACTACTGTACACAATCAATCGCTCGCTGTCTTTCTATTCCAACGATGAATAAATATTTATATAATCTAATCGTCTTTGTCTGGCTGAGTTACGATATAACTTGATGCAGTTCTGTTAGCTACATCCAAATACAAAGATGAACATGATCCTTGGTTGAAGTCTACACATAATTAGTTTTTTTTCTTGGATTTTTATCTTACCAAAAGAAGTCTCAGCATCACAATAACATTTACTATTCAATAACCATTTCTCTTCAGTAGGACAGTGTTCAAAATTATCATGCTTATAACCAATGTCATAAAACCAATGAACATCACTTTCTTTCAACATCAAAGCTACTGCGATAGAATGCACTGGCGCATCGCCCCATCTGAATATGATCATTAGACCAGACTCTGGCTATTGAGCTTACCTTTCGTAAAAGAAACCACCTTGTTGATCCAAATATTTGAAATAAGCTTGATATCCTTCTGATCTCATGTATTTCACAGAGGCAATCTAAAAATCTTTATCAACAAACTGAAGGAACTCATTTTTTTTCTTTACCTCAAAATTACTCCAGAAATGACAAAGATTGTATGACCAGCCATTATCATCGCTTACAAAACGTAACAAGCTGTCTGGTCTAGTTCGAGGATAAATATATTGAGGATGACTTTTAGCAAAATCAATTGTTGTTCTCCATAAAGTAGGAATGGTTGCTCGATATTCTCTTAATGCAATCGTAAACCCATATTTCAAATCTCTTTCTTGCATCAATCGAAATGGGTCATAATCAATATCACAGGAGAACTTGACACCAGGTTCAACACGCCTACAAATATTATGCATAAGAAGAATGTTTAATAAATACAAATACATTACCAATAATAATCAAGGTTGTCGAGCAATGGGTGTAACATAAAGAAACCAGATTGATAACGACACATGTGCCTATAACTCTCACTACCGCCATAGACAATTTTTTGTTCAGCCATATCTTCTCTACATTGTTTAGCATAGTCTTGATCGATCCAATCGGGATAGCTCCAGTGTTCTTTAGGAACAAGGCCATAGTGAACTTTAGCTGTTGTCATCATTTGAGTCATGTTGATAAATTCTTCTGTAAAAGGTTCCTCGTTCAAGAAAATCCAAGGGTAATGGTATTTGTGGTTAAAGCGATCTTCAAGGTATCTCATAGAAGACCTCAATGCATACAACTCCTTATTTCTTACCAAGACCACGAAAGCAGCTTTGACGCGCGGTAAACTTGTGTCTGTCAACACCTTGTATTCTTCTTCGGCTGAAGGTGAAACCACCGTTGTGTCTACCAAGTCTTGTTTTGATTTGGCTATCACAGCAGCAGCAGCTTTTGGTACCTCTTCCATTAAAACGCCCATGGCTTTCTTTTCTTGTATCTTTTCTGGATCTTGATACATGGCTTCATATGCTTCGTCTTGTTCTTTTCGTTGCTGTCTTAACTGTTCAAGTAACGGTTCTTGCTGAGCAAAACCAGCAAGACTGTTTGCTGTTGATTCTTTCAATTGCCGAGCCTTTTCTTTCAAGAGGTTATAACATTCGGCTGAATTATTACAATATTTGTTTTCGTTTGTCGATGATTGATAGATCAAAATTATACCAATTAGAGCAGCAGCAGCTATCATAAAGCGAAATATGGTCCTTGAAGAGCATAGCTGTCTAGAATGCAATGTCATATTGACTTGGAAGAAGAAAGAGAAAGATAGATAGTATATGAAACAGGAATGAATTTTATTTATCACATTCCCGAATCTCAGGGCACAATCGAAGGAATGTAATACAAATAAAGAGTGTTTATTTAATTAACGCTGACCAGGTACTTGAATATCTTTAGCTTTAAGAAATTTAGTCATGCCAGAGACAGCTTTTGGATCGATTATTTTCAATAACTTCTTTGTACAGCTCTCTGCATGGAAATCTAAGAAGAAGAAGAAAAACGAATGAGCAGAAGCCAAATATCAAGTATCCTTACCAAAATTAATGTTCACATCGCAGCTACACTGTTGTAAAAGTGTTTGATTGTAAGGACAATGCGTAGCAACAGAGTGTGTGTAACCAATATTGTTGAAGAAATGTATTTGTTCCTTTTTCAAAAACAATGCTGCTGCAATTGTTTGTACAGGTGCATCTCCCCATCTATTTATGGTGAATGACTCCATTCTTTTGCACAAATAAATTAAGGTTACCTCTCATAAAAGAAATTGCCTGTTCTGTCTAGATAAGCAAAGTATTGTTGATACGCTTCTGATCGAAAGAAAGACAGGTTGGCTAACTGGAAGTTAGTCCAGAAATGACATGTATTATAATCATTGGCATCTTCATCATAGATCCATGGATAAATCGTCTCATGCTCTGGTAAAATATAATCAGAAAACCGCTCCACAAATTCATTGACTCTTTTCCAGAGCGTAGGAATGGATTCCGGCATTTCATGCATGGTGATAACAAAACCTAATTAAGTCAATATATGTTCTCTACATGGCTTAATTACCTAAGGTTTTGTTTTGTTCCTTCATCAATAAAAACATATCTTGGTCCATTTGACAGCTGTAATCAGCACCAGGCTCTACACGCCATGTATATTCAACATCTCTAAGCAACGGGTGATGGAAGAAGAAGCCAGCATGGTATCTTAGCAATTGATGATAAGATAGGCTAGAGCCCTTATGAACATTGTTCAATTCTTGCCCCATCATCATAAATTCAGCTCTGTCGACATCAATCCAGTAAGGATAGTCCCAGGTCTCTAAATCAATTTTACCAAAAAAGACTGGTGCTGTCACTACTTTTCTAATGTATTTCTGGAATTCAGCTGTAAATGGTTGATTGTTTAACAAGACCCAAGGATAACGAGTGCCGTTCTTCATATGGTCCTCCATGCTCTTAATCACACTACGCGCTTCTGTTAATTTCTCGTTTCGTACAACCATGTAATATGCTCCCTTCACAGGCAAATCTCGCCAAACACTGTCTGGAATGGTTACATCGGGTTGTGGAGACTCTTTTTGATTAAGATGTTCAGCACGTTGATGTTCGAGTAACAAATAAGAAGGGTCCTTTTCCAACGATTGATCTGACACTTGAGGCAGGTTACACAAGTATCGTGCGAGATCAACATCTTTGTTGAAGCTATAGTTTTGAGATAGAGTGTCCCAATGCACACTGCGTCCTATAAAGTAACATGCTGATAATAAAGCAGTGACAAGAGAAATACGAGACAGTATTTTCCAGTAACGACGACGTTTGTAATTAGGCTTGGAGGGTGAATTCAGATCTGAAGAACTGAAAGGGTTATCATGTAGAAAGACCATATTTTACTGGTAAAGAAACAGGAGAGTGAAAGAGAAAGGGAAAAAAAAAGAGAAAGATATACAAAATACGCATTGTTGTTTTTTTTATTATTTTGGAGAATGCATAAAGCACATATTTGTTACACATTAATATAAACTAATCCGTCAAGAACGATTGCTTTCTTTTTCTTTCCTCTTTCTCTTTGTTACTTTCATGTGGGCAGGAACACGTCGTTATCCTTGCCTTTTCATTCAAATTATGATTGGCGTTCACCTTCTAGGTGCTGCTTTTTATCTCTTGAAACGCAAAGATACCAGTTCTTATTCCATTCTTCAAGTCATTCAAAGATTACAAGCAAAAGATAAACCTGTCTATGATCCTCATTTTGCGGACCAACCCAGCTCCTATACAATTAAGCCGCCTAACCTTCCTTCTTATGAACTCTCTGTGAATTTGCCTCCTCCTACCAACACAACAGAACGTCAAGCAGCTGCTTTTATCGTCTTGGTCCGTAATTCAGAATTAATAGGCATGCTGCAGTCCATGAACGACGTTGGTATGTTATCAAAGTATGTTTGTTGTTATTGACCGTATTGTTAGAGGAACGATTCAATCATAAATTCAATTACCCTTGGATCTTTTTAAATGAAGAACCTTTTACAGAAGACTTTGTCAGATTTACCACCAATGCTGCTTCTGGTAAAACTCATTATGGGTTTGTGAATGAATCTATGTGGGGATATCCTGACTGGATTGATCAAGAACATGCTGCTCATCAGCGTGAAATAATGAAGAATTTACCTTATGGTAAGAGTGAAAGTTATCGTCACATGTGTCGATTTCAAAGGTAAATATGCAAGTCGTGTACGTGTCTTGCTTATGTGTATCTTTAGTGGTTTCTTTTGGAGACACCCGCTTGTTTTGAGTCTTAACCTGGAGTACTATTGGCGTGTAGAACCTGATGTAAGATACTTTTGTGATTTGGATTATGATCCTTTCCTTTTTATGAAGCAAAACAAAAAGAAATATGGCAAGTATCGCATTTGTTTGAATTAATTTGCTCATCTTAAACAAATAGCATTCAATATCTCATTCAAAGAACATTCGGGTACTATTCCTACTCTATGGGAAACAGTTAAGCAATTCGCAAGAGAAGCCACAGTCAAAGGAAAAACTTATTTCCCAAACAAAGTGACAGACAGTATCTTTAAGTTTCTATCTCAAGATGATGCTCAATCTTACAATGGGTGTCATTTTTGGACTAATTTTGAAATTGCAAGATTGGATTTATGGCATACAGAAGCATACCAAGAGCTGTTTGAATACTTGGATCATGAAGGAGGTTTTTTTTATGAAAGGTAAAGAAAAGCATAGACAAGGACGTATTTCTAACCCAACATAGATGGGGAGATGCTCCAGTACATTCTATCTTTGCTGCTCTTTATCTTACTAAAGATGAAATCCATTTCTTCAATGATATTGGGTATAAGCATAGTACTTATCAGCATTGTCCTGCTGAAGAAAGCCTTCTTCGTCGGTGTGCCTGTAATCCTGCTTCCAGTCTAGGTAAATACCTTCTTTCTCTCACACTTGTTTGATAAATACTGACTGTATGATTAGACTTTCATGACCATATGAGTTGTTTGACTGAATACATGGAAGCAAGAAGTTATGATTCAGAAATAGACAAAAGAACAGTGAATGACATGCTTTTATTTTAATCTAAATCCATAGAGGATATTGGATTATTGATAATCTATTATCTATATAAATAAAACTGATATATATATTGACAAACAAACCTCTATATGCTTTGTTGACTTGATACATTTCTCAAATGCCGCTTTATCTCTTGGATCAGTAAATCTAGTTTATAGGTTAATAATCCTCGAAAATACAAATAAACCTTACTCTGATTGATTTAAGACAAAGTCTGGAATATGCGGTTTTTTATCGCCTGGTTTCCATTGAAGTGGAAGTCCAGTCTGTACCGTGTCTGTCTGCATAAATTCATCTTCTGCCAAAAACTGGTCTATATTATTGATTCTAATTACGTTATTATTATTATTATTATTATTATTGTCTAAAGAGATAAGGATAAGTATACTATGTTTCTTTACTTTACTTGTAGAGTCAAGTGTCATGGCTGCCATATCTTTTGCAAAGCTTTCTTCTGAAATAAACCTTTTCCTAGGTAGACCATCACTAGCGATTTCTTCTGCTGAAGGTCGTTTTTTATTATCGTAAAAATTCATTTTATTTTTTTTAAAAAAAAAAGAAAGAAAATCATGTGGTTGTTTCTGCACAACCACAAGGGTATTTTGAATCAATTTCAGCGCAATTAAAGATTGGCTTATGCAGTCTCTCATTCACTTTATTATGCATAGCACATAGCCATTGTGAAGCAGCAAATCGAGACGATGTTTGTGGTGGATAGGTTGTGATTAATTGGTTGAAATGACGTGCACTAGAATGGTCATTAATACGAGTCAAAAGCATTTCGTATTACTTTACCAATCACCACAAGGATACAAGGTAGAGAATAACATCATGAATTGATGTAATGACTGTCGCTCCTGTTCAGTAGGTTTCTCTGGAAAACGACCTACCATTGTATGAAGAAACTAGATAACCTATAAGTGCCTCTATTGACTACATTATGTCTATATATACCTTCCATGTTGCTCTTCCAAGTTCGGCCCTTTTTTTATATATATGCTCAGTATATGCCATATGCATAGGAGATTACCTTTGTGTCTGATTGCCCATAGAAGACATGATTATTTTATCATACTCTAAATCAGCTTTCGCTTGTTGTATGATAGGCGATTCTACTACATTGTTTGTTGTTGGGTCTGTCTGCTTAGTGAAAATAAACAACACTGAAAGCACTAGTAAACAAAAGACACCGATAGATGCTATTATGCTTTGTCGTTTCAACATCAAAAAAATAGAGAAAAGCGTAACATTACTTACTCCTGAACTTCAGTTATGCGATTGGGTGCCACAAACAAGTCACAGCGTCAAGCTTTTTCTTTTTTTTTTGTTTTTTTTTCTGAATCTGGTTTTCTTTTTTTTTTTTCACTACTAATCATCCATGGGTACCGTTCGTCAAAAGAAAGCTGCTAGAAGAACCAACAAAAACACAAGACGTACAGCCGATAGACACAAAAAGAGAGTGACTATTCATGTAAGTGATCCACCTGAGATCAAGCTGGATCGATGGACTGATCTATATTTTTTTTATAGGGCAATCCCATCATCAAAAAGAACTGGGATAAAAAATTGACACTTAAACAAAAGTAAGATAGTCTCATCAAACTCAAAACTAACCTGATTAGCTATGCTAAGCTTGGTTTATTAACTTCTTTGAATGGAGAGACGGGTGGTAAAGAAAAGATCCTTCCCGACGAAAAGCAAGCTGAGACAGAAGAAACAGAACCTAAAGAACTAAAAGATTTGACAGAAGAAGAGATTGAAGAATTAAAAAAGACCTTGAATCCCGGGGAAGGTTTGATTCAGCGTGATGAAGAAGGCAATGTGGTCCGTATTATTGTGGGTGAAAAGAAGACACACGATGAAATTTTGGATGCTGAAGTGGCTCCAGTAGAAGCCAAGACAGACGTTGTTCGACAATTAGAAGCCCATGCTGCTAATGCAGTTCATCACGAAAAGTATCAATCAGAATATGAATTGGATTGGGTTCAAAAACTGATCAACAAGCATGGTGATGATTACAAGGCCATGTTTTGGGATAAAGAATTGAACATATACCAACAAACAGCTGCTCAATTAAAAAAGAAGTGCCAAGCTTATCTTAAGAAATAATAGTTTAATAAAGAGTTAGGGATTAAAGCCAACATCATCGACTACTCTTCTATGTTCAATGTCATGTTCTGCACTATAGTCAAGATGAACAAAGGCTCTTTCTACATTCTCTAGTAATTCTAAAGCGTCTTGCAATGCTTCCCCTACATCATGAGCTTCTCTTAAGGGACAGTCGGGAGGCAAGATAATGTCAATTTCGACCAACAAACGATCTCCAATATAATAAGCTCTGACAGTATCTACAGCTTGAATCTTTTTAGAGAAACGGTAGGCCATGTAAGTCAATTGTTTAAGGTCGTCCGCACTAGCTGCTTGTCCAGTCAATCGACGAATGTTCTCAAGCAAGACCCCCATCCATTCATAAATAATATAGATAGACAACAAGATGGCACCTAATGGATCCAGCCATCCCCATTCCATATAGTTGCCTACAACAGGGAACAAAGTACTTGAGATAGTGAACACCACATCATTTTCATGGTCATAAGCCAATGCTTCGACACTTGAACTTCCCTTGACGGAAGCACACCAAACCCAAAGGACTGCTTTGACAGCCACATTGACTCCCAAAATAATCAAGGCCTGCATACTCAAATCAATCTGTTCGGTAGCTTCACCTGAAGTCAACTTCTCTATGGAGCTAATCAAGACTTGTGAAAAGGATGTGGTGATTACAACAGCAAATACAATGATACCCAAGGGTTCCATACGTGATTTGCCTACAGGATACGTATAGTAGTCCTTCTGTCGAATGATTCTGACTGTAAAGAAGATGATAGCATTACTGACAATATCTAAAAAGCTTTCAAAGGCAGAGGCGAGTAAGGCCATCGAGCCAGAATACCATGCAAGAATAATCTTGGTAAGAAATAAGGCTACATTGGCAAAGAAGGATAGGTTGATGGCTAAATGAATTATCCACATGGGGGACTTTTTAGTATCGAGATCAGGTGAACTTGAGCGACTAAGTAAAGGTTGAGCAGCACTGACATCCATAGGCTTAGGAGCACCTGTTTCGTCTTGAAGGAGACCATGCTCTTCATCTCTAGGAATACTACCATAGGCTGATTGAGAAAGAGGTATTTCGCCTCTCTTAATAGAATCAATGACTCGATCTACTTGAGTAAATTTAGAAATCATGTCATTTTGATGCTATTCACTATCAGTATAAACCATGAATCAATACAACGTATATACCTGATAAAACTTTTTAACATGTTTATTTGTGTATGTCTTGAGTTGATCATCAGAAACACGGAGTGATTCAAAATGAACAGGAGGAGGCAGCACTTCATTGACAGCAGCTACAAGGGAAGCTCTACGCTGCAATTGTCTTGCAGAGCTGCTAGTGTCGTCGTATTCAGGCGACATAGTCTATATACAAGAAAAAAAGAGAGAGAGAAAAAAGAAAGAAGACACTGTCTCGGACTAATTTTGACCTACAAGTGCAACTTTCTCTCTCTTTTACAGGTTCTCCTTGTTATCTCTTATGTTTTCAATCAAGGGCTTTATTTAACTAATAGTATTACCGAATTGGTCGATTATCACGGTATTGAGATCATAAAGTGTATAAGTAGGATCTACTAATACTTTAGCAGGACCAGCCCCAATGTACTTTCTGAAAGGATTCTGTACAACCATAAAGGGCACTGATTCATACACACAGTGAGGATGTCTACCAATGTAGTTGACCATGATACGGTAATGATAAAGACCTGTAACATCGTCTACTTTGAGAGGGAAAGCAACAGAACCAGAATTACCCTCAGTAAAAAGAGCTACATGATCGTATGAGCCATAGATACATTCTACATGAACTACTTACTGATATTTTCACCCACAACATATTGGTTGTGCTGTGTAGAATTCATGACACGAATACGGGTAATAATATCAGGAGAAAAATCAAGGTCTTCGTCTACAGTCCATTTGAGTTGTTGAATTGAGCCAGCTTCGAGTGCAAGACCAGGAGCAACAGGAGCATCAATACGGAAACCCTTACAGAAATCAGGATTGATACGTGGAGGATTGTAGCCATAGATCATCAAACTTTCTCCTGTTTCTGCTCTACGTTCTAACTCTGTTGTGGCCGAGGCAAATCCAAGGATCAAGGCAAAATAAGCAGTGAAAAGCATCATGATGAGCGAATAAAGAATAAAGTATGGGTTTATATACCTTATTCTAATCATGACTATGGCATTTCTTTCAGAAGCTTGTTTACATTCCAAATTAAAGTATGATTTATTGTAGCATAAGGTTTTTGGTTACTGTTACACGATAACGTCCTCTGTTCGTCATTTCAGGGCAATGCATATATGCCAAACGAACCATTCTTCACTCTGCCCATCATAAGGCTTGTCTTTTTTTTTTTTAAAGGATCCAAATCAAGCAGCATGATTCATTGCTCCGACAATTTTGTTGTTTCTTTTTTATTTATTTATTCATTTGAATTATGGCAAGAGTAACGCGTGGTGTTTCGCTTGAAGAGTGGGAAGAAAAGACAAAACTAACAGAAAAAGAAAATCAAAGTGTCTATGACTTACAAGACGCTTGCTCGGAACTACCACTTCCTTCCAACTGGGTATGTCTTTTATCAAAGACAAACACAATACTTATAAAGTAGTACTTTGGAGATAAACTCTTAGCTTCACCTGTCCTGAGTCATACGTTAAGTTCAGGAGGTCTAACACCAGATCAACCGGCATCGAGTCCTCTTAATCCTCATGTATTGGCATCGCGGCTCTTGGGTGCTTCACTCACTCGAACACTTTCAACAGCAGACTTATTAGCCGAAGCTTCAGCAGCAGACTCAGCAGCAGAAAAGCATGTAGCCAACGAAATCGGAAGCGAGAAACCTATCGAGACGTTGCAGGAATTCTTTGATTGGTTTGCTCGAGTGGAATCCGAAATGGAAAAGGGACAAGAAGATGTCTACCGAAACCATGTATTGATTGTTGAAATGTATCAAAAGGCTTGCGATGATTTTTTGACTGATTTAGAGGCAACACGACAATTGTTTCATGAGTCAGAGAAGGATTATGCATTTGTAGACAGTCGTACTCGCTCTGTTCAGACTGCTTGCGAGACATTGTTAGAGGAACAAGATCGTTTGACTCAACTTGCAGATGGATTAGCAAGTCGATTGGCTTATTTTAATCAATTGGAACCCATTGCCAAACTGTTTAATTCTCCAGGAGATGATATCTGTCTAAATTCTGAATTTATACCTATGCTTGGGAAACTAGATGAATGTATAGAGTACATGCAACAACATGTAAGCTTATTTGTATTGACTCTAGACTTATTTGATTCAGCGTGATTACCGAGATTCTGAACTCTATCTTATGCGTTTTCGTCAATGTATGACTCGAGGCATTACACTCATTAAGATGTATGTAGTCTCTACCATTAAGACATTGGGATACGATGCATACAAACAAGTCAATGCAAAAGAAACAACTATTGGTAAACAACTGACCATGTACTATGTCAAGTTCAAAACCATGGCATCGACAATTAAATCATTAACAACCCAAGTCGATAAAAGACATGAGCATAAAGAATATCAATCATTGTATGAAGACATGCTATACGCTTATTTCCAGACAAGACAACAATTGCTTAGTCCTTTGATCTCGAAAAAGATACAACAACTGAATCCTAATGACAAGGACTTGTTGGGATTTGTCAGTATGATTGGTTTGTAATATACTTCTAACCTTGTTTTATGTATAGGCTAAAAATGGCTGTGCTTTTATGATGAGTCTTTGTTCTGATGAATTCAATTTGTTTTATAATTTCTTTCATTTGTCTGGAGAGCAAGAGCTATAGTAAGTCCAAGCGTATTACAACTTGTGTTCAATATCCTGTTCTATAGTCATTATCTAGATTTGCTTACAAGTCATCTCTATGATTATCTTCGGCCACGTATTATTCATGAAAACGATATTGGTACACTTTCAGAACTATGCAATGTATTTCTGATGTATGTCATGCAAGATGAAAATGACTTTGGTAAGTCTATAAGCATACTATAAACAACTCATAATGGATGTTAGTGGTGGGCATCATAGACGATAGAAATGAAGTTAAATTTGGCCATTTGATTCAAAACATTTTAGAAGATACTCAAGCCAGACTTGTCTTCCGTGCCCAGATGTTTATACAGAGTGATATTCAAAACTATCAAACAAAACCTCAAGATTTCGAAATAGTACGTTCTAAGCCTAAAACAGAAGAAGACAAGAAGACTTCTGTTGTCTTGGATCCAAATGTCTCCACAACTGCTACACTTGCTGTTACGAGTGAAGATGCCTCTGATACACAATCCATCCAATCCAATCGATCCAACCTTCTAAGCGAAGGCAACGATAGTTCGAGTGGTTGGTTTCCAACATTACAAAAGACACTTTGGCTTCTTTCAAAACTGTATCGCTCTGTTCAGGTAATCTTATGTTGCTCTTGATAAGTTGATTTACCTTGGTAACATAGACGAGTGTATTTGAGGATTTAGCACAAGAAGCCGTTTCTTTATGCAATGATTCACTGTTGAAAGCAAGTGAGACTGTACTTACACTCAAGGTAATTACCATTACCAAGGTCTATATCACAACTAAACTGCACTACAGTCTCGTCTGGATAGCGAACTATTCTTGATTAAAAACTTGTTAGTATTGAAAGAACAACTCGCTCCTTTTGAAGCCAATTTGGTTCATGCAGGCAAAACTTTGGACTTTTCTCATGTCACAGGTAAGAAAGAAAAATGAGCAATAAAAGACTCACATAGCATCATATTAGATTCTTTATCGTCTTTCCAGCAACAGAAATCACTGTTGTTCAATCCAAATGCACTGATTGGTTTAGCACAACGTGGTATGCCTCGCGTGGTAGAAGTGAGTTTAGATTCTCGAAGAGAAATAGACTTTCAAATCAAGAATGTGTGTGAAAAATTCATCAACAATTGTGTCGACAGTTCAGTGGAACCTCTGACTGCATTTCTTATCAAAGTATGTATGCATGAATGACTTGTAGATCCTCTAAACAAATCTGTATAGCTTTCAACTATCTTGCCTCCAGAAATATCACTACAATCCTCTGAGGGTGGTGATTTTTCCATACAAAGACTGGGTCAAGGCAAGTAACTTGTAGGTTGAGACGTATGATCTCATCATGAATGATAGACAATGTACATGAAGCTGTTGATCAGTTTATGGAAGCTGTAGAAGAACGAATTAGGTTTGTTACACGAAAACTGAAAGAATATGTAAATGATGCCAAAATGGAACAAATCCTGATGAAACCAATAGAGGTATACAGACGCAGACTTGGTTCTTACTGACCTTCTTTAGACAAGCATTATTGAACAATACAAATCTTTCTTGACGCGGGTTGAAATCGAGTCCAAAGAAGGAGGAAGAATTGATAAACTAGAACGACAGCCCATGTCTGTGGAGTCAGTAGCAGTTTCAATTTCACAGTTAAAATATCAGTGATTAAATGATAGACATTTGTTGTTTTGTTTGAGGAATGCGGCATATGGTGCTAAAATACCAAGTTTTAAGTGTTATAATCTGTACTAACACATCTTTTCTCCCCTTTTTGTAAACCCAAATATACTTTTTTTTTTTTTTGGTTCTGTATGATTTCGTAAACAGAATTATGCAATTTACTACACTGACAAAAAAAGGGAGATTCAAGGTTGATATGAATTGAGAGAATTAAAAAGATATCTTGCACCAACTATAGATTATTTTGCCGGTTTCATTACCCTGAAATATGCCTTTCGTTGTCAATTCGCCAGTTGGTCAATCAAAAACGCTGTTTTCTATTGACACTCGGCAATTGCTGTAGGACTTTTTCGAAGCAACAAGACTGAGGGGATCTGTTTAAGAGACTAGAAGATTCCTTTTTTTTATCTTGTAGATAAATGGCATATATTCTATGATTTTAATATTTGTATCGTGGCCAACACTAACTGGATTCAGTAAGACAAGGATGATTACTTTATATGAATCATTTTAAATGGTATAATATGATCAAATCAGACGAATATTATATGTTCTCGAGATCAACGTGAGATATTGAATTTTTTGTTTTCTTGCTGTTGCGCGATACAAAAGTTTCTAATAATTTTGGCAGTGCCTAATCTTATAGAGAAACTGGTTTTATACGACGTGTTGTCGTGATACTTTTCTCTGTTTGTGGTTCTTTTTTGCCATCAAGGCACACAGAGACTGTCAATGAGTCTTTTTTGTTTTATTTTAATATTTGTCGGCAATTCCAGCATCGGTAGTCCTTATTGAAATCAATTCATTCGTATTAGAGAGAAACTTAACTTTAAGGCAAACAACAACCATAAATCTCGGTTCGCTCAATTGTTGTCAAAGAGTATCTATAAAATTTAATAATTTCTTTTTTTAAAAAAGAGTTTATTTGAAAGAATACAGATTTCAAAGAGGAAGCACAACAAAGCCATAATATTGGTTATCGAATTGTGTTTTGTCTTTTTTTTTTTGTATTGTGGTTTGAATTGCATCAACATTATTGAATTCGGTCCGGAGCAATTTGCTATTATTCATAGGAGTCCGTGTCCTTGTGCAAATATTATACAAAGATACATAGGGTCATTCATTGTATAAAACATAAACCACATAGGGAAAGAAGGGAGAAAGTTGCCGGTAAGAAGATCAATTGAATATTCTATATATATATATATATATATAGTAAACCTTTCTTTTGTTTTTTAAGCTCTTTCCTCTTCTTCTCTTTCCTTTATTTCTACATTTCTCAAAACCTTCCTCTCGTACCTTTTGTTGTCTTTCTTGTTGATTTTTGGAATGCTATTAGAACAATCTCAAAAAGCAAAGATTGTTTCTTTAATCTTTTTGTTTTCAAGCTTGATCAATCATGTGTCTGCTGAAGAAGAAGAAGAACATGCTGTTGATCCCACTTCTGGGGAGTTTTGGGGTCAAATTATTGCAATCCTAGGCCTTGTGGTTCTCAGTGGTATTGTAGCTGGTATGTATCTTTTTTTTTTTTTACTACTATTCAATGGCTGCATATACCTGCGCATAACTAATCATTTGACATATATAGGTCTTACTTTAGGCTTGGTAATTCATACTAACTATTGCTTTGAGCGACTAACAATGATTTTAGATGTCTTTGGATACAACTAATCTTTCAATCTTAAAACTTGCTGGTACTCCTCAGCAGCAATATTATGCTTCTCGCATTATTCCCATTCGTAAAAATGGCCATATTCTCTTGGCTACCTTGCTCTTGACAAACACTGTTATAAACGAAACATTACCTATCTTGTTTGACAGTATCTTTAGCAAAGGTAACTTTTGCTTCAGTAGATGGATTTGCATATTCATTTATTTGTTTTTTTTAGGTTTCATCTCTGTGATCGTCTCTACTGCTCTTTTAGTGTTGTTTGCTGAAATTATACCCCAAGCCATTTTTTCAAAGCATGGGCTCAAGATTGGTGCCATGTTTGCTGTTCCTGTTAAAGTTCTGATTGGTATCTGGTTCATTATCTCTTGGCCAATTGCCAAATTTTTGGATCATTTGTTAGGTACACATACTGGTTTTACTTACAATATTCCAGGTATTTTATTTGTAAAAAAAAGTATACATTCAATATTGATGCATATACCGTCTAGAACTTGGTGCATTGGTTGAACTTCATGATGAAACGAAGCATGATGAAGGAGTCTTGAAGCATGAAACTGTCAATTTTGTACAAAACGTACTGTCGATGCAAATCAGACCTGTCAGCCAATTTGTCTCTCCCACAAGCAACATGTTGATGCTGCCTTCAGATACCGTGGTCAGTTTTGAAAAGGCATCTCAATACATCAGAGATGGATATTCGCATATTTATGTCTATGTCAAAGATACCAAGGAACAAATTACTCAAGCTCAAGATGATTATCAAATTCAAGGTGTATTAGATCTAAAAGTAATGTAGTTTATTGATCAACAAAAAAAGAAATAACACTTGATTTTAGCAATTTATTGTTATGCAAGGACAAGACTTGACGGAGCCTATTGGTAATATGAAGCTAAATTCTTTCTTGACAAGCTCTTCAAGAACAACCATGATTGAAGTGATGAGCCAGCTATTAAAAGACAAAAGGTATACATACGTACTTTATGATTTTTTCAAAACTAAACTATAGCTGTAATAGCAAGAGTCAAGTCATGTTGATCTATCGTACAGAGGGCGATGTTAGAAAGAACGGAGAAGAGCGAGCTGAAAAGGCACGTGAAGCTGCATCAATCAAAGAAGCCGCATTAAAGAAGCACAAAAAGAGTATTTCATGTATGATGAAGCAATTGTTCAGCCGTCGTTGCCATGTATGCTACAGTTTCTCTAACTCTCAATTCGTGTCTACTGCATCGATGGACCAACGAATTGAAGAAGGAACGATCCATTCTACCAGTAGTGTTCCTACAACTATTGATGCTGAACTAGAGTTAGGTCTTTTGGGCGTGATCACTGCTGCCGACATTCTAAGCCAATTGTCGTCTCATGGCCCGCATTTGAACTTTAGTCATCATGAGAATGAAGTTACAGAAAAATGAGTTACTTTGCTTAGCTTATAAAGCAATTATATTTTCTCGATGCATGTAAATATAAGTATGTAGTATTTTTAGTAAACCAATAAACAGACACACTATTTTATTGCTAAGAACTGTCGAATGTGTATCATGGTTCAATAAATAACATCACGCATGAATGATATCACCTATAGTTCTATCATCAGTTTCTTTTAAAAAAAAATTCTCGTTTTTTGAAGCGTAAGACCATATAATGATAAGATCAGCATTTTTATAGGCTCTTTCTTCTGTGCTAAACATTACAAATTATGTCTGCTTGTGAGAAAGCAACATATCCGAATACCAATGCTATGCATTAGAGAAAAAAAATCTCTTATCTCATTCGAATCTCTACGAAAGCATACCTATACCAAATCTACAGTCATCCTTATGAATATATATATATATATATATATATATATAAATCTCAATAAACATAATACTCAAAGTAGGAGTATCAGCCAACAAAAGAGAAGATGCTTTTCACAAGTTATTGATTTAATGAGTTAATATCCTTCAATTTCGAGAAATCTTTGATTTCAATGAATTGTATAAATGACATTCTGGACCAAATGCATTAGTTTAATCAGTGGTCTATTAAACGAATAAACAAATACACAAAATTGTCAAGTCATACACAAAGGTAGCATAAAACCCGACTATATACGCATAATTGCTCTAGATACCCACAGATAGTATTTGCTAACATACAGGGTACTTTTAGACAAAAAAAAGCCAAATATCTTTCAAGGCCAAAGGGTGCTACTGGTAAAAATCATCAAGCTGGCAACTCTTTGAGGTTCTTTTTGACGCTACAAGACAGAAAATAGAGCTACCAACCAGCTTAAAGACTCGAAATGTGTGCCAAAAGCTTTGGTTTTTTATCAAAGTGTCTGCTTACCAATCGCACTATAAAGATGGTAAGCTATAAGCTAAAAACCTCATAAACGTTTTTACGTGTTTGCTCAATATTTTAGCAGCAAATTTGCTGCAATCTTTACACCACTAAATTCAAAAAGCAAAGATCCAGAACTTTTGTTACTGCACCAAAGCCATATCGCTGTGTCTTTATACAGTTCTCAGCAAAAAGTTCAATTTGTTTGGTTCTAATTTTAAAGTGAATGCACATGATAATTTGTGCAAAAAAAAAAAGTTTAATTTTTCTTTCTTCAACACCATCATGTATAGAGAATTAAAACTGTGGGTATTTGTCATCCTTAAGAAGCTTGCTCATATACTGTCTTTTCTTAGTTACGTTACCAATAGAGTATATGTGATTTCACCTGAATCAGGTGTCAACTTGATTGTTCATCGTGATACTGGTCTTTTAGAATTATCAGGTACTCATCTATAAAGAGTTTGTTCTGGTATTGACTATCGATCGTAGATGCTGTTCCTTCTGCTACTGAGCAAGAAGTTACTTTAGATATCTGTGGTGTTTTAGGCTTTATCAAACTCTTGGCAGGTAAAAAAACGATAAACAACTGAGCAAGAGTTGAGGGCTTATCTTGTTTAGGTGACTATTTGTTAACTATTACAAAGCGTGAACAAGTTGGTTTTATTCAAGATAAAGCTATTTATCGTGTTGCTGCTTTTCAGATTCTTCCTTTACCTCATAACTTGAACAATTTGACCGAAGAACAGGTATGGTTTATAAGGAGATATAAATATCTTGATAGTAATGCATGAAATAGAGAGCCCAAGAACAAAACTTTGTCAATTTGTTAGAACAGCACCTCAAGAATAACACATTTTACTTTTCTTATGACTACGATCTTACTCAATCTGTTCAGAGACAAGCTCAATTCAGTCCAGAAAAGTTATCTGAGCCTTCATTTAAGCGAGTATGTTAAATGGGCTTCATCTGCATTGGATTTGTTTATTTATTTATTTATTTCAGGCAGATGAGCGTTTTTTTTGGAACAAGTTTATATGCTCTAAATTGATGGATGCTGATATTGATGCCTCTGATTTTATTCTACCTGTCATGCAAGGATGTAAGTAGCGCTTTGGTTGTTAACGTACGATTTATTGGATGTCTAGTTGTTGAATTAGAGAATGTTGAGATAAACAACAAAAAATTTGTTTGGGGCTTAATTACGCGTAGAAGTAGACATCGTCCAGGCACACGTTACTTTTCCCGTGGTATTGATGATCAAGGCCATGTTTCTAACTTTGTGGAAACCGAGCAAATTGTCTTGTATCAACAGTCTGTCTTGTCTTATGTCCAAACAAGAGGTTCTATTCCTGTGTATTGGGCACAAGTCATCAACCTCAAATACACACCTCGACTTTGGATTGGTGAAACCAGAAAGAGTGTATGTATTAGTCTTCATCTAAAAAAAAAAAAAAAAAAAAAAAAAAAAAAAAAAAAAAGTTAAAATAGATCAACTTAGTTGGCCGCTGCCCGTGCTCATTTTGATGAACAAATCCGTATTTATGGTCCTCAAATCTTGGTTAATTTGATTAACAAAAAGGGATATGAACTTCCTATGGGACAAGCTTATGCTCGCACTGTAGAACAACTGAATGACCCTCGCATCTATTATACACATTTTGATTTCCATTCTGAGTGTTCTAAAATGCGATGGCATCGTATTCAACTGTTGGTTGATCAACTCAAAGACAAATTGGCAGAACAAAGGTAAATCAACACCATGCTAGTATATGTACTCACTCTATGTCTCTAGTTATACTTGTTATGATGTTGCTGATAAGAACTTGAAAAAGACACAGACATCTGTTGTTCGTTCCAACTGTATGGACTGTTTGGATCGTACGAATGTCGTACAAAGCACACTTGCTAGATATGTCTTGACTCTCCAATTGCGTGAAATTGGTATTTTGGAACCTAGTCAGAAACTAGAAGATCAAGAAAACTTTATGCACAGCTATAGAAACGGTAATGAACAATAGAAATCTATCAATACTAATACAGCGGTAGTCTGGGCTGATAATGCTGATGGTGTCAGTTGTGTATATTCTGGTACTGGTGCTTTAAAAACTGACTTTACTCGAACTGGTCAACGTACCAAGGCTGGCGCATTAAAAGACTTGCAAAACTCGATTACTCGTTATGTAAAGAACAACTTCTTAGACGGCAATCGTCAGGATTCTTTTGATTTAATTCTTGGTAATTTCAATATTCAACAAGACCAACCTGCTAGTGCTCAGAAAGCTGCTTATACTGAAAAGCCTCTTCGTGTTCGTGTTGTAAGTAGACACTTAAGCCATTTTTTTTTGTTTAATACTATATGCATAGGTCCCTTACATTTTAGCATTTGCTCTCTTTATGCTCTTGACCAACATTCTCCATCCAAGTTATTCCGGCTTCAAGTCATATGCTGCTTATTTCCTCTTGCTTCTCTTTTGGGTTTCTGTTTTGATCTCAGGTGTTCGTTTTGCCCTTAAACATGGCGATGATTTTGTACAATGGCCTAGTTTAGTCAAGCTTCCTTCCTATGATAATGTCTTTGAGGTCGGTTACACTGAAAAGGGTAGCATGGCACCTCCAGAACTTAGTAAAGACGAATTGCTTTAAAATATATATATATATATATATAAAAGGAAATTTTTATTCTACCAATTTAAAAGATTACAATTGATATCATCTTCTCTTTCTCGAACGACAGTAACGATGACCTTGTCTTGCTTCATATTGAATCTTTCTACTTCAGCATCTGTGATATATATTTCGTCTGTTGGTGAAGGTGTACGATAAACTCCAAGTAAAAAGTCGGATTCAAAATAAGCTCTTGTAAATTTAACATGCTTCAGGTGAGAAAACAGGTGTATCAGTTGGTACAAGAAAGTCATGGGCGTGTGCTCGGGCAATTGCTTTAATGTAAGATGAACCACTTGATATGCACTTGTATTTATAAGCTGATCTTTTGATAATTTGACAATCTCAATGGCTGTTGTTGTATCCATTATCAGATCAACAAGCTTTTGAAAACAAGACTGCGAAATCCATCCTGCAAGCTCTTTGCGCGTACATGATTTCAATAAAGATATATCCAGAGATAAAGTATGTTGATAGATACAAGTAAATTTGCGCAAGACTTGCATGTGACATGCTGTCTGTGCTAACGATAGGTACTTTAAATGAGCTGCATAACGAGCAAGCAATTCAAAGCCAGTTGAAGTTAGTTTAGTACAGCCAGTCATATCAAGCTCAAGCAGTCGAATATGTCTGAATTTTGCAAGTGCTACAATTGCTTGATCTTCAAGTGCTGTATTATATTGCACAGAAACAGATTCAAGCTGGTCACATTCAGCAGCAAACCCCGCCAAACCATTTCCTTTATGTCTTGTCAAACCATCCAAACGAACTTGCCTCAATTGACGACATCCACGAGCTATTTGTACAAGCACATTATCATTCACCTGCGAACAATAAGAAAGGTTCAAACAAGTGAGATAAGGCAAACTCCATTCAGCTTTGGGTAATGATTTTTGGCTAAAAAAACTTGTTTTAGACAGATTAAGCACACAGAGTCCTTTAGAACAAGACTGGACTAGAACTCGAAAAAAATTCGAATCCACTCGATGATAGAGGTCTTCTTCCATACTAGCGATATCAATTTTGACTACATGAGATGCTGTACTTTGTCTTACTTGACACAAGCGTGAAATAAACTTGTTGAACATATAAACCTCGTCGTGAATATGTGATAGTCGCTTGAAATTGGGCTCTTTCCATAGAGCTGCTGTTGCTTTTTCATGAAACGCATGATTTAATAAAGAGCATGATACTAAATCTTCTAACTTCAGATAGGGCATCAAGATTGAAAATAACTGGTAGAACTTGTTCTTCTTTTGTATAGAAAGCTGAGTAACCAGCGCATTGAACTTGTCTACATCAAAAGTGTTTTCTTGAGATACATTATCCATAAAGAAAAGAAAGAGAAAATAATCGTTTGAGTCACACGATAAAATGGCTCAGCATTTTTTATTATTGTTATTATTATTATTCTGCAGCTTGAGTGGCTTGAATAATGGACATCCTCCTAAACTTTTCCAGCACATCATACATGGAAGATGAAGCTTGTTTCTTTTTTCTACTGCTAGGCTTTTTGTTTGCCTCATTCAATTTGGATGCTTCTTCTTTTTTTTCAATGGCCTGGATCAATTCTGCGTTTGTTAAGCGGTTTGGTAGGACTGTTTCCTTGTTATGGACTTCAGCATGATCAAAGTCCACAAGTGTCATATAGACCATATGGCGATGAGCATGCGATTTACGAAGCTTAAGTGAGACTCGAACTCGATCAAACAGATTGAAATCAATAGGGTGAGGCAAATCAGCGGAAACAACCTTGATATTGGTAGGCATATTGACCTCAATACTACAGTTAGGTATACTTTCATCTTCATCTATAAAACACATGAGTGCTCTTTTGTTTTTTGTTTTAGTATTCATTTACCCATTGAGCTTTTGCTAGAGATCAAAGAAAGAGGCACATGAGGTTTGCCATCTCTTTTTTTGAGATAAACAGGGCCCTTTAATCCAAGCCTATATGACAATCAATAAGATAAATTAAAAAAAAAAGATTATTCAATCACCTTGACACAAAGACATAAAAGCCATTCGATCTGATCTCTGAAATAACACCAGTTTCTATTAGAGGAGTTTCGTCCGTAGTCTATCAAAAGAATTGGTTAATTGGTCCCCTTTTTATATATTGGGTCCTTACGTTTTGAAGCACATACAGACTTTGAAATAGTTCAGTAGAATCCTATAATCAAGAATATTAGCCATCAAATTGACATGAATAAAACATTTACTCTTTGAGCAAACTTGGACTCTCTTGACTTGTGGTTCAAATTATCACAGATGTCAGAAATAGTTCTATCCTTGAACATGACAGAACCACGCTCTTGAGCATCTTTGACTGTTGTTGGATCTTGAACACACATGAGCAATTGTCTATGTGCAATAATATCTGCATATCGACGAATAGGTGACTATAAAATATAACCAGATGGGCCATATGAAGCAAACTCTACAAAACTTACTGTAAAATGAGTATAGAATTCGAGAGCAAGACCATAATGATAGTATTCATTAACAGGATAATGACCAGAAGATATATAGCCCGCTTCATTCATAGCAATTGTTGCCATTGTCTTGAGTAATCTTGCAATCTCTACATTGTCTTTGCATCCATGGGTGATTTCTTCCAATGATTTGGATAGTGCTTTGTTTGATGAAAAATCAACTGAAAACCCCTACGTTTTATAGATCAATATTATAGCTTGATTGTAAGCCATGCTTTTCTTACTCTGCTTTTTGCTGCTTTGACTAGCCTCTCAAACTGTTTTGCTGAAGGAGGAGGGTGGTGTCTAAGAATAGCTGTGTCTTTAAATCCATCATATATTCTTTTGCCCACTGAAGCATTTGCTAGAATCATTGCTTCTGCCACCAGTCCGTGAATTTCCATACTATCTTTGGGAAGTAAAAAAAAAAGGAAATATGTTAAGGAAACATGGTATCAATATAATCACAATGATGACTATGAACAATTAAAAAAAGGATATTGATATCTGTAATTTGATGTTTATCTGTGATTTTGAACTTGACTTCTGAACCTTCTAATTCCAAGGCACCTTTTGCTAATCTTCTTTTCTATAAAAATGGATACAATCAGTCCATCTATATTCTATGCAGTATCTCATACTCTAATCACACGAAGTACTTGTGCAAGCTTGATTACACTTGGCTTCAGTTTTTTGCATAAGGAGGAGTCTAGAGCAGTAAGTATCATGAATTTCAATGCAAATGTAACAAACCTAAACCTGTAGCCGTCTGTTTTCCATCAAGCAGTTGTTGTGCTTGCTCATATTCCATTTCACAACTTGACTTGATGATAGTTCTACCAAACCAAGTGTCTATCACATTGTGATTTTTATCCATAGTCCAAATAACTGAAACGGCATAACGATCAACCTTATGTCGGAGAGAACAAACTCGTTCACTTAGGACCGAAGGAAGCATATCGAATCTTCGATCAGCCAAATAAACCGTAGTACCTCTATAATGCACATATGTCATGATGCTTGTTTCTTTTTTTTTTTTTTTTTTTTGTAATATTTACCTTGATCTTGCTTCGAGATCAGTCATATAATTTTCTTTTACGAAATAGCTCACATCTGCAATATGTACACCAAGTTCAATTCTATCATTATCAAGTTCTTTTACAGAAAGTGCATCTATTTTGATTATTTGAGTGAGATTGAACAATAGAGTTGATTTTTACCATCAATATCTTGACAATTAGGAGGATCAATACTAAAAACCGTGAGGTTCCTCAAATCTCTTCTCCTTTCAATCTCGTCCTAAACAATAGTTATATAATGTATAAATGTACGTACACATACCTTTGATGGTCTCCATGGTTGTTGAGGCGTATCTATTGGCATCTCATTTAAAGACGCTTCACTAAAACCTTGAGTAGCTTGGGATACAGAGATGGAATGTTCTACCAAAATGGCAGATACTTCAGTGTCTAATTGATGAATTGGACCTAAAGATCGTACAAAATGACCATTTGGATATTGAGAAGAGATTGGCCTTTTTTTGAATTTGTGAGCCACTGTTAAATCACTACCATAAATACATACCAATTGTCTATTCGAACAACAATACGTTGTTTTTCAATCATCTTCACATCATGATATCTTATTCTAATTTTTGGAATAACAGGATCCAAAGGAATTGCTAAATGAATAGAGCCTCCGGTTTCCACACTATCTTCCTGAATCGTAGTAACATAAGATCGCCAGTTACGATTAAGAATACCAACGACTCTGCCAGTAGGTTGGTTTGATGAAATGCCACTGACAAATCTATCTTCTTCATATTCTAAATAGTTGACGAATAAGCACTTTTGTTTTTTCTTATTGTTACTTGCCATCTTCTGCATTACTACTGCTGAATGCTATTTCATTTGATGGTACTGTCCAATCATTCTCTGACAATAGCTCTACAACAACAATGTCTCCGTGTACTACGCAGGTGTTCATTTATTTATTTACGGATCCCGAGGAAACTGTAATTTCCTTACCTGCACGATTTCTATTTTCGTTACCGATAATCAGAATGTCTTTACCGTGCTGGCTTATATAGGCTTGATCTCGACTATCTTTTCTGCAACGTAAAGTACCTGAGAAATAACGAGCTGACTTGATCCCAACTTCCAATTCGTCCATGGGCTTATACTATGAAACACTAAGCATGACTTCCTCTCCCTCTCCATGACCTTTTTTTTGTGTTTGTACCTCTTTATATCCTGCCACAGCCGCGCTATTGTTACTTTCTCCATTCGAGTGCTTTGATGTAATTCGGATGCGTCCATCATCATTGTCTTCTAAGACAATATCAGCCAATGCTTGAACAAGGTTCTGTAACAAGTGGTTCTTTCTCCAATAGGTGTCTAAATATTGCTTGACTGACATGACATTTACATCGTTTGGTGTATCATGAGGTGATTCTGAAAGTAAGATGATTTTCTTTTTATGCTGTAGGTGAGCATCATACCAACGAGCCAATTGACAAAGGGCTTTCCAATCACGGCTAGCACCTGTCTCGTCTGGTGAGCGTAGTATCTTTGTTTCTTTAAAAACTTCATTGTAAAACATGACGCTTTTCTTTCTCGAATCATTGGTTATTTGTCGAAGTTTTCGATATGTTTTGTGTTTATCATGTTGTTGAAGCTATAACAAATTATTAATATGTACATATTTGTCAAGTATTAAACAGGAATTTACGTTGATAGTAACAGTTTGACTTAAAATGATTCCCGTTATTTCATCCTGCTCTAAAATTTCTAGGTATCGCATGATAACCTATCATATAGAACACGTTTAGATACATTTGCTGTATTTAGATAAATGACGGAAACAGAAATACCGAAATATCAGGAATAATGTAATGGTCTGCAGCTACACTTAGAAGGGCCTGTTGACCTTCGTTAGGACAGCGAGAACATGCTTCTGATAAACAAGGTATGTCAGTGCGCAAATATTCTATAAAAACGCGTGAGTAACATAAACCAATAAAACCTTGTTTCTTACGCTCTCGAACTAGCTTAATAATAGCATTTCCCTTTGTTTTCTTATAGAAGGCGCGATCCGTCTTGATCGTCATGACAAGATATAGAGCAGTTTTTGTCGAGAAAAAAAAGACAAATGGGATGTGAATAAATTTCAAGAAAGGGGTATTTCAATACCAATGGAAAAATGGGGGCAGTCACCTGCATAATCCGCGTCCACTGTAGGCACATTTGTGTTACTCTCGATCAAACAATTGAAGTTTCAAAGTGTACATGTACTAGCAAGGCCGAACAATAAGAACAGAAAGGAGATTCATGCCACGTGCGGAGCCTTTTTTATTTTAGTATAAATAACAAGGTCCTGTGCCTTTTCTTTCTTTCTTTTCTTTCTCTTTTCTAGTGACAGACTGATTCATGCTTGTCTGTGTATGTCAAATTACTAAATGAAGTTTTCAAAGTATCTAGAAGACCAAAGTGTACCTGAGTGGAGAAAAACTTATATAAACTACAAAGGATTAAAAAAGAAGCTAAAGCAAGTTGAAAAGGTAACAAAAATAAAATTAGACAAGTGCTCACTGAATGCAGTATCGAAGATATAAAGAAAAGAAAGCTGCTGCTGAACTCATTCATGTATTTCAAGAATTTGAAGATAATGATGCAAGTTGCTTTTGGTCTAGTCAACAAGAATTGATGCGACCACAATCAACTATCAGCAAAATGTCATCAAAATTCAACGTAAATTCAGATGATCGGCCACATTCTCGGCAAGGTAATACCTTTAAATCGATGCTTGACATCAATGCAAATAAGCATATTTTTAGGATCTTTCAATACTTCAAGGGCTACTTTTTCCGCATTAGATGAAGTCTTGCTTCATGCTAATTCATTAGAACAAAAGTTTTTCCATTCGCTAAATGATGAATTAGATAAAGTAACACAATTCTACAATGGTAACCTAACATAGACATACATGTAAAATTTAAACTTACGTATGATATAGAAAAAGAAAGAGAAGCCAAGCTCAAGCTAAACGCGCTTAAAGTGCAAATTCAATTGATTACCGAGTATGGACACCATTTACTGGATATAGGGGTATACTATACAAGAAGAAAAAGAAGAAACTTGTCATTTATTTGTTTATTTATCAGTTGCCTGTTCAGAAAGAATTTCTTCCTCCTGAATTTTTCGGTCATCATCGGTTCTATGACTGGTTCAAACACCAAGATCCCCATACACAGCCATATACATTATCAGAATTTTCACCAAATTTTGATTATGTAGGTGACCAAAGAATTAGTTACAATGTTGCGAGAAATAGATTAAAAAAAGCAATTACCGAATATTATCGTAGCTTGGATTTCCTCAAGTCTTACAAAACTCTAAATGAAACTGGCTTCCAAAAGATCTTGAAAAAGTTTGATAAAATCGCTGGTTGGAAAGCAAGCAACTTGTATATGCAAAATGTCAAAAAATACAATTGGATTACTTCATCAAGCATTGATTATCTTATTACAGAAACAGAGGTAGGTAAAAAAAAACTCTGTAAAAATTGATCAACTTTTATAGGCCATGTACATAACCGAGTTTGCTGATGGCCATCGTAGACGTGGTATGCAAAAATTACGAACACCTGAAAGAGATAAAGTAAGATCTGGTCACGTCTTTAGTATTTAACCTTATTATTTATGTAGGATTACGACTCTACTATTCTTAGAATCGGTCTATTCCTAGGAATTGCTATGCCTTTACTGTTTCAGTTCTTTTGTTTGGCTATCGATCCCAAAACAGCAAAGCAATCACCAAACCTTTTGACAAACCTACAAATTTATGCATGCTTTTTACTGCCCATCTTGTTTTCTCTTGGCTTTTCTGCTAATCTAGTAATATGGCATCGTTCAAGGATTAATTACAAGTTTATTTTTGAGCTTGATTCCAGGCAAAACCTCGATTATCATCAATTTGCAGAGCTTCCGGCCCTTCTGTTACTAGTCAGTTCTTTTGTGATGTACCTGGATCTCTCTCAATGGTTCTTTCCTACGATACCTTCTGAACTATACCCTTTGATACTGTTTTTAATTTTGATTGGCATCATGCTTTGTCCATTTGACATTCTGTATCGCTCTTCAAGAAAATGGCTTGGCGTGACTCTAGGACGCATTATCTTATCGTTCTGCTTTCCCGTCGAATTTAGAGATTTTTTCATTGCTGATGAATTAAACAGTCTAAGTTATTCTCTATGGACCTTTTCTTATTTTTTCTGTGCTTATTCATGGAACTGGGTAGATTTGGGTAATACACAGTTTATGCATCACACTGTTAACTTTAATTTTTATATTTAGATGGAAAGTGTAACATGGCACAAATGTGGGTTGCACCAACTTTAGCCTCACTCCCTCCTTTGTGGCGACTACTGCAATGTTTAAGAAGATACCGAGACTCGAATGAGAAAGTCCATTTACTAAATGCAGCTAAATACATCAGTAGTATTATGGCAACTTTTGCTACTGGAGCAAGACGTATATATCGTAAGTAGCTTAATCTCAATTGTGGGCCTTATTGATATTTTTGTCTTCTTTTTTATAGCCTCCATACCCGTGTCTGCATTTTGGTTTTTGGCATGTCTAATTAACTCAATCTACACTTCCACATGGGACATCAAGATGGATTGGGGGCTATTGCAATCCAATAGCAAATACTTTTTACTAAGGAATGAACTTGTATTTAGAAAATGGGTAAGATCTCAATTATGCTAGTGGCTTCACGTGATACCACTTGGTGCAAGAAAAAGAGCTGACAAAGTAAAAATAGGCTTATTACACTGCAGCACCTATAAATATTCTACTTCGCTTTACATGGACTTTAAGCATCGTTCCATTACGGATAAATGGTTTGGCACTCGGAGTTTTGCTTGCTGCTTTAGAATGTTACCGTAGAATACAATGGAATTTCTTTCGACTAGAGAATGAGGTAAGGAGATAGATAGAAACTCTGCTTTTAATAACCAATAGCATTTGAATAATTGTGGACAATATCGAGCAATCAAAGAGATTCCATTACCATTTGCATTATTAGAAACGGATCTTGCACCTGAAGCACTTTGCGATGAAGAAAGAATAAGCACCTGTTCAAGTAAATCTATACCACCTAAACAGGAAAACTACTCAACTATATCTATGCCTTCAAAAAAAGACAAGAGCCACAGCCTCGCATCTACAATGGCGATACCAGCCTCCCATTACTCGTATAACGATAGGATTTCTTTTGGTGGTATGTCTGAATCAGGAAACCAGGAATCGTTTTATGGTAGACGAGATTTTGATGATTCATCAAATATTGTTATTGGATCTATAAACACAAATAGACTTGGCCGGAGACCTTCTACATTAAACAATGTTTTTGCACGGATAAAATCTTTGGACCATTCAGATCATAGTGAAGAGTCAGAAGGTGATGATGATGACGATTGCTATACCTCTTTTTACAACACAAGAGAAAATTAAGCACGATGGTATTATTTTCGGATATCTGCATATAATAAAAGAAGTTGTAACACATCTAACATTAAAGTTTAAATATTCAAACTGTTTTAAAGCACCATTAACTACTTTTGAAATACAATTTTTAAAGGGAGAAATGCATACTGATATGTAAAGAAAAGATAACACGCAAAACATACCAAAATTCAAAAAGACTTATAATGGTAGTAATTTTTATTCACAGTAGCATACCTTTTGTTGAGCAACTGCAATTATGAGTCTATTCTATCAATTTTAGCTCTTGCTGCATTCAAACAACAATGAATGTTGTATA